GGTGGTGGTGGTCGGGGTGGTCCTCCTCGGGCTCTTCTTCGCCGCCCTGTTCTTCTTCATGGACTCTGGGACATGGGTGTCCTCCATGTTCTTCCACATGATGACGGCGGTGCTGGGTTTGGGGGTCATCATGCCGTGGCTGTATCGCCTCATCAAGCGGAACCCCTTGTTTTGGTTCTACCAGTTCTTATCCCAGACACAGAGCCGAGTTTACCTCCTGTCATACTGGGTCCTTTTGGCCGCCTCAGCGTGTGCCGTGGTGCTGTACCAGAACGCCAAACGGGCCTCAGGCTCAAAAAAACACCAGGCGTCAACTGTGACGAGGAAGTATTTCCATCTCATCGTGGTGGCGACATACGTTCCGGGGCTCATTTACGACCGCCAGCTGCTTTATGTCGCCTCTGCGGTGTGCCTGGGGGTCTTCATCCTCCTGGAATATGTCCGATACTTCACCATCAAGCCCTTTGGACACTGGCTCCGGCATTTGCTTTCGCTCTTTCTGGATGAGCGGGACAGCGGGCCTTTGGTCCTGACACACATTTACCTCCTCCTGGGGATGTCCCTCCCCGTCTGGCTCTTCCCCAGACCTTGCGCCCCCAAAGGGGCCCTGCCGGGAGCAGGAGCTTTGGCGCACTATTCGGGGGTCCTGGCCGTCGGAGTCGGGGACTCGGTGGCTTCCGTCTGCGGCAGCACCATGGGGGAGATCCGGTGGCCCGGGACCAAAAAGACCTTCGAAGGGACCATGACCTCCATCTTCGCACAGGTCATCGCAGTGGCCATCATCCTCATTTTCGACCCGGCCGTGGACCTCAACGCCAGCTACGCCTGGATCCTGGTCTCCATCAGCTTGGTGTCCCTCTTGGAGGCCTACACCAGCCAAGTGGACAACCTGCTCCTGCCGCTCTACCTCCAGATCCTATTGATGGCATAGCAGTTGGGAAATTGGAGGGTGCCAAACGTCAGGAATCCATTCTATTTTCGTTTCAAATTTCGGGTTCCCATCCCGAAATACTTTCGGGTCTCTGTCCCGAAATATTTTTGGGTCCCCATCATGAAATATTTTCGGGTCTCCATTCTGAAATATTTGTGAGTCTCCGTCCCCAAATATTTTTGGGTCCCCATCCCCAAATATTTTTGGGTCTCCATCCCCAAATATTTTTGGGTCCCCATCATGAAATATTTTTGGGTTCCCATCATGAAATATTTTCAGGTCTCCATCCCGAAATATTTTTGAGTCTCCGTCCCCAAATATTTTCGGGTCCCCGTCCCCAAATATTTTTCGGCCTCCGTCATGAAATATTTTCGGGTCTCCATCTCGAAATATTTTTGAGTCTCCGTCCCCAAATATTTTCGGATCTCCATCCCCAAATATTTTCGGGTCTCCATCCCCAAATATTTTTGGGTCCCCGTCATGAAATATTTTCGGGTCTCCATCCCCAAATATTTTCGGATCTCCACTCCCAAATATTTTCGGGTCCCCGTCATGAAATATTTTCGGGTCCCCGTCATTAAACATTTTTGGGAATTTTCTAACAGTACGGAATTTCAGATCCCAAATTATGAATACAAATGGCCCCCACCTCCCTCCCCCCCCAAAAAAAAATCTTGTGAAATTTTCCTGGAAACAGAACGGATTTCTGTCGTTTCGCACACCCCTATTGAAAAGATACCCCCCCCCCTTAGAAAGGGGACAGATATGGAATAATGGCTCCTTGTTATGGTTTTTGGTGGCTTTGCATCATGTAAGCTCGTATCATGGCTGTGGCTTGTGACATGTCAAAAGCGGTTGCTCGTGGATCCAATCAATATTTAAAACAGGAATGTAAACAAGTTGTCTGTTTTTTTTCATTCCCTACATATATTGTTTCAGTCCTAATTGGTTCTATCATGAAAACATGGGAAAAGTTTATTAAACTGCCAAAACTTAGTTCTTGTGGGAGGGACATCCTGCTATAGCACGTTTTACTCTTGTTTCCAATGAATATCTGATAGAATCTCTTCCAATTCAACATAATTTGTGCTGCAAAAACTAAGTTTCTGGAGTAGAACAACTACTTTCAAAGTCAGGACTGCACAACGCCGCTGACAAACGAGTGTGATGTTATTATTATTCCTATTACTATTTTAGTGTAAGGCCAGGAATATGCCAATGTTTTCCTCTATGATGATGATGATGATGATGATGATGATGATGATAATAATTATTATTATAATTATTATTATTATTATTAGCTTGGGTGCCCGGCGTTGCCTGGGTTATTTGAAAAGGTCAATTTCTTAATTGTACAAGATGCATGAGGTTGTAGGTGAACTACAACTCCCATAATGCCAGGTTAACCCTGTGAAATTCCATCAGTACTTAAAAGTTTGTTATGTTGAACAAGTTTGCTCTAGATTAATCATCGCTGGGGTTCAGGGTGTTCTCTGGGTGTGGGGTGAACTACAACTCTCACTATAGTGAATTTGTCTCCTCAAAGCCCTCCAGTAGGTTGCGTTAGTCATGGGGCTCCTGTGTGCCAAATTTGGTCCAGGTCCATAATCAGTGGGGGTCACAGTTTCTCTGATTGTGGGTGAACTACAACTCCCAGAAAGGAAAGCCAGTTCCCTCCCAAAGCCATCCAGTAATCAAATTTGAACGTATCAGTTCGGTCCAGATCTATTGGTGTTTGGATTCACAGTGCTCTCTGAATGTAGGTGAACTACAACTTCCCCGAATTAAGGTGAATTTTCCCCAAAGGCCTCCAATATTTTTTGCTGTTCATGGGGCCTCTGTGTGCTAAGTTGGTCCAATTCCATTTTTGGTGGAGTTCAGAGTGCTCACTGATTGCAAGTGAACTATACATCCCAGTACCTACAACTCCAAAATATCCATGGCAATTCCCCTCAAAACCCACCAGTATTCAAATGTGGACATATCGGGTATGCATGCCAAGTTTGGTCCAGATCCATCATTATTTGGATTTGCAGTACGCTCTGGATGTAGGTATACTACAACTCCTATGAATCCCTCCAGTATTTTTGGTTGGTCATGAGATTTCTGTGTGCCAAGTGAGTTCCAGTTCCATCGTTGGTAGAGTTCAAAGAGCAGTTCTTAGATTGCAGGTGAACTATACATCCCAGTACCTACAACTCCTATAAATCACGGTGAATTCTTTCCAAACTTCTCTGGTATGTTCAGTTGGTGCTCAATTCCTGTGTTTGCTGTGCGCTGAAGGAAAGGGTTAAGGCAGGGGCAGTGGGCGGGGTCATGCAAATTCCACACCAAGGGAGAGAGTAAGGAACACTGGGATGCCTGTGGTGGAGGAAAAACGGAAAATCTAGGATGAAGTTGTCCCCATATGAATGCCTTCCCTTGGGTGGTGGGCAGTGTGGTGTTTGTGGAGGACATTGGCAGGGTTCTTGGACATGTTTACGGTGCTTGCTATAATCCGCAATGTCATTGGAGCGAGGGCCTTTGGTGTCTCCTGAGTGATGAGAGCTATAGTATCTGTGGAGGCAGGAGCCTGTCTTTGGAAGTGGACACCCCAGCTACACATATGCATATTTTCACCTTTATTATGTGGATAGATTATTATTATTTGTGTCAACTTTGCCATGTTTCCCCCTCCTTAAAACTTAAAGAAAATACTACAAATCAGGTAAGGATTATTCAATGGTGTTGGTCAAGAAGGAGTGCAGACCCTGCACTCGTTTATTGGTTTTGCGTTCCTTTTTCTTCACCTTCTCAGAAGTGCAAGGCAGGGTTCCCATCCAGACACTTTTCTATGCAAGGAATGCTTCAACCGAAGTCAGACGACGAAGCGAATGGCTGATGACGATGCATCAAGAGTAAGAGATTGCCTCGCTGTTTCCATCGCTAGTTGTTCCCATCCTACGCGACTCCCATTCCTACATGTCAACACTGAAATGACGCAGACCTTGCAGGGCTTCGATCCCGAGTGATGCAGCCATAACATAAGCATCCAAAAACTTCTAATTCTGTGTATACAGAGCCGGGAAAGGCAACTCAGGAGTTGGTTGAAGCCTGGAAAATAAAAGGGAACCGTGATAGATTTGCTTGCCCACAACCAGAAGACAAACAAAACAGAAACTATATTCAATCTTACATCCTTACATGTTTTAAATATGGTTTCATGGGAGTAGGTTAACTCTAATTCCCATCATCCTGGGTGAATTTCCCTCCTCAAACACCTCCTGTTTTTAAAGTTGGTCATGTTGGGTTTGCATACCAAAGTTCGGTCCGGATTGATCACTGGTTGGAATCTGGATGTGAGTGCACTGCAACTCCCATCATCCTGGGTCCATTCCCCTCAAACCTCTCCAGTATCTTCTGCTGGTCATGGTGGATTTGTGTGCCAAGTTTGGTCTGGATTCATCATTGGTGGGAGTCACAGGGCTCTCTGGGTGTGAGTGCACTACAACTCCCATCATCCTGTGTCCATTCCCCTCCAAACACCTTCTGTTTTTAAAGTTAGACATTTAGGCTTGCGTACCAAAGTTTGGTCCGGATTCATCACTAGTGGGAGTCTGGATATGAGTGCACTGCAACTCCCATCATCCTGGGTCCATTCCCCTCCAATCCCTCCTGTTTTTAAAGTTGGTCATGTTGGGTTTGTGTACCGAAGTTTGATCTGGATTCATCACTGGTGGGAGTCTGGATGTGAGTGCACTGCAACTCCCATCATCCTGGGTCTATTCCCTCCAAATACCTTCTGTTTTTAAAGTTAGACATGTTGGGTTTGCGTACCAAACTTTGGTCCGGATTCATCACTGGTGGGAGTCTGGATGTGAGTGCACTGCAACTCCCATCATCCTGGGTCCATTCCCCTCAAACCCCTCCAGTATCTTCTGCTGGTCATGATGGGTTTGTGTGCCAAGTTTGGTCTGGCTTCATCGTTGTTGGGGAACATTAGACTCTCTGGATGCAGGGCGAACTACAACTCCCATCATCACAAAGCCCTCCAGGTCTGGCCCACCTCCCTCCCATTCTTCTTTACCAGTTCTCCGGGCTCCAGGTGCTACCCTTGGCCTCCATCAAGTGGAAAGTGTAGACGTGGCGGGATCTGTCGGAGAGGTTGGCTTCGCTTTTGTGGACCACCTCCCCATGGATCAGGACAAGACCACCTGCCCAAAAGGAAAGGAGAATACCCTGGCTGAGACCAAGAGCTGTATTGGTTCACCGCAGCCAGGACAACTAACTAACGAACTAACTGCTACTAGATTCCGCTGAAGTCGGTGCCCAATAAAATAAGTTTGTCTTTAATGGGCCACAAGGCTCTCTAAAAGAAATGGTAAAATGCGGGAAGTTTTTGCAGTTGCTGCAAGGCAGTTCCCCCCAAAATCAGAAATATTGAGAGGAAATAATAGTTAGAATAATTATTATAGTAATGATACTACTACTACTACTCCTCAAGAGCTCAGCTTTAGCACAGCTGGTTAATCACCAGCAGCAATAAGATCACACCAAGTTGACAGTTCAAAGCCCAGGTAATAAGTAATAAAATAGTAGTAGGTAAAGGTAAAGGTGAAGAGATCAAGAGAAGGTGGCGAGACTATACAGAAGATCTGTATAGGAAGGATAATAATATTGAGGATAGTTTTGACGGTGTGGTGAATGAATTAGAACCAGACATCTTGAGGAGTGAGGTTGAATGGGCCTTAAGAATCATTGCTAACAACAAGGCAGCAGGAGACGACGGGATCCCAGCTGAACTGTTTAAAATCTTAAAAGATGATGCTGTCAAGGTGATGCATGCCATTTGCCAGCAAATATGGAAAACACAAGAATGGCCATCAGACTGGGAAAAAATCAACTTATATCCCCATACCAAAAAAAGGGAAATGCGAAAGACTGCTCAAACTTCCGTACAGTGGCCCTGATTTCTCATCATGCCAGGAAGGGAATGCTCAAGATCCTGCAAGGAAGAAGACTCCAGCAATACATGGAGCGAGAGTTGCCAGATGTCCAAGCTGGGTTTAGAAAAGGCAGAGGAACGAGAGACCAAATTGCCAATATCCGCTGGAGAATGGAGAAAGGCAGGGAGTTTCAGAAAAACATCTACTTCTGCTTCATTGACTATTCTAAAGCCTTTGACGGTGTGGATCATAATAAATTGTGGCAAGTTCTTGGTGGGATGGGCATCCCAAGCCCCCTTCCCTCTCTCCTGAGGAATCTGTACAAGGACCAAGGAGCAACAGTCAGAACTGACCACGGAACAGGAGACGGGTTCAAGATTGGGAAAGGCGTCCGGCAAGGCTGCATCCTCTCACCCAACCTTTTTAACTTGTATGCAGAACACATCATGCGAGGATGTGCGGGGCTGGAGGAATGCAAAGCTGGGGTGAAAATTGCTGGAAGAAACATTAACAACCTCAGATATGCAGATGACACCACTCTGATGGCCGAAAGCGAGGAGGAGCTGAGGAGCCTTCTAATCAAGGCGAAAGAAGAAAGCGCAAAAGCCGGGTTGCAGCTAAACGTCAAAAAAACCAAGATTATGGCAACAAGAATGATTGACAACTGGGAAATAGAGGGAGAAAATGTGGAGGCCGTGACAGACTTTGTATTTCTAGGTGCAAAGATTACTGCAGATGCAGACTGTGGCCAGGAAGTCAGAAGACGCTTACTTCTTGGGAGGAGAGCAATGTCCAGTCTCGATAAAATAGTGAAGAGTAGAGACATCAGACTGGCAACCAAGATCCATTGCCTAGTCCAAGCCATGGTCTTCCCTGTAGTCACCTACGGATGTGAGAGCTGGACCTTCGGGAAGGTTGAGCAAAGGAAGATAGATGCTTTTGAGCTGTGGTGCTGGAAGAAAGTTCTGAGAGTGCCTTGGACTGCAAGAAGATCCAACCAGTCCATCCTCCAGGAAAGAAAGCCCGGCTGCTCATTGGAGGGAAGGAGACTAGAGACAAAGTGGAAGTCCTTTGGCCACATCATGAGGAGACAGCAAAGCCTAGAGAAGGGAATGATGCTGGGGAAAGTGGAAGGCAAAAGGAAGAGGGGCCGACCAAGGGCAAGATGGATGGATGGCATCCTTGAAGGGACTGGACTGACCTTGAGGGAGCTGGGGGTGGTGACGGCCGACAGGGAGCTCTGGCGTGGGCTGGTCCATGAGGTCACGAAGAGTCGGAGACGACTGAACGAATGAACAACAACAAAGGTAAAGGTAGTCCCCTGACATTAAGTCCAATCATGTCTGACTCTGGGGTGTGGTGCTCATCTCCTTTTCTAAGCCGAAGAGCCGGTGTTGTCCATAGACACCTCCAAGGTCATGTGGCCGGCATGACTGCATGGAGCGCCCTTACCTTCCCGCCGGAGCGATACCTATTGATCTACTCACATTTGCATGTTTTCGAACAGCTAAGTTGACAGAAGCTAGGGCTGACAGCGGAAGCTCACGCCGCTCCCCGGAATCGAACCTGCGACCTTTTGATCAACAAGCTCAGCAGCTCAGTGCTTTAACCCACTGTGCCACCAGGGGCACAAAATAGTAGTAGTAGTAGTAGTAATAATAATACCCTGAGAACAACAAAGCCATTTAGGTAAAAGCAAAAGGTAAAATCAGGATGTAACTAAATATAATAATAATAATAATAATAATAATAATAATAATTTTAAATGGCTGTGTTGTTCTCAGGCTATAATAAAACCCTGAGAACAACACAGCCATTTAAATTTATTATTATTAATGTTAATATTAATATAATAATAATAATAATACCCTGAGAACAACACAGCCATTTAAATTTATTATTATTAATGTTAATATTAATATAATAATAATAATAATAAAACCCTAAAAACAACACAGCTATTTAAATTTATTATTATTAATGTTAATATTAATATAATAATAATAATAATAAAACCCTAAGAACAACACAGCCATTTAAATTTATTATTATTAATGTTAATATTAATATAATAATAATAATACCCTGAGAACACAGCCATTTAAATATATTATTATTTTAAATAATATAATAATACCCTGAGAACACAGCCCTTTAAATTTATTATTATTAATGTTAATATTAATATAACAATACCCTGAGAACAACACAGCTATTTAAATTTATTATTATTATTATTATTTTGTTGTGTCAGGAGCAACTTGAGAAACTTCAAGTCGCTTCTGGTGTGAGAGAATTGGCTGTCTGCAAGGACATTGCCCAGGGGACGCCAGGATGATTTTGATGTTTTTATCATCCTTGTGGGAGGCTTCTCTCATGTCCCCGTATGAGGAGCTGGAGCTGATAGAGGGAGCTCATCCGCCTCTCTCCGGATTCGAATAATAATACTCTGAGAAAAACACAGCTATTTAAATTTATTAATATTAATATTATTAATAATATAATAATAATAATACCCTGAGAACAACACAGCCATTTAAAATTATTATTATTATTATTATTATTATTATTATTATTATATTTAGTTACATCCTGCTTTCACCTGTTGCTTCTTGTTTGCTTTGCACCTGTACCTTTTTTGTCATGGCCTCGGGCTAGTACAATAAACCATCTGATTGGGTAACGTTACCTTTCTGGACGGATACAGGGACGAATTGGGAATTGTCGTATGTAGGCTCTGTTCCGACAAAGGTGGTGCAGGGTATCGTCCCCGGCGGGGTCCGGACCATTCGCCGCGGGATGCCGCTCGGAAACCCTACAGGAAGTAGAGAAAACGGGACAATAACAACAACAACAACAACAATGAGGTTTCGTAAGGGTGGATTCGGTCTTCCAAGATGGTCCGTACTTGTGTGTGATCCGGGGAGGAACCAGAGGCAGCCGTTCTCTTGCGTGGCGTCTTCCAAAGCCACCCAAAGGCCCAATATCCGCCCCAAGGGCTCCGTGAAGAGGAAAGTCGCATCCTGGTGAGGCGTCACTGAAAGACACAAGCACAATGCACCACAATGGTTGTTCCTCAAGGCCATTCCCTAACTGGTTCTATCATGAAAACACCACCAAAACTTTGTGGGAGGGATGCCGTCATGGAGCACTGTTGCACGAGAGCCCTGAAATACCTGTGAGAAATAAAGCGGGGAGGGCCAAAGTGATGGATATGAGGTGAGAGGGAAAGCAACTGTCAGATGGAACTTTGCGTATAATCGTACTGTAAGAAATAAAAAGGGGAGGGCCAAAGTAATGGATATGAGGTGAGAGATAAACTAACTGTCAGATGGAACTTTGCTTGTAATCGTACTGTGAGAAATAAAGAGGGGAGGGCCAAAGTGATAGATATGAGGTGAGAGGGAAAGCAACTGTCAGGTGGAACTTTACTTGTAATCGTACTGTGAGAAATAAAGAGGGGAGGGCCAAACTGATGGATATGAGGTGAGAGATCAACCAACTGTCAGATGGAACTTTGCTTGTCATCGTACTGTGAGAGATAAAGAGGGGAGGGCCAAAGTGATGGATACTGAGGTGAGATGGAAACAGACTGTCAGATGGAACTTTGCTTGTAATCGTACTGTCAGAAATAAAGAGAGGAGGGCCAAACTGATGGATATGAGGTAAGAGGGGAAACAACTGTCAGATGGAACTTGGCTTATAATCGTACTGTGAGAAATAAAGAGGGGAGGGTCAAAGTGATGGATATGAGGCGAGATGGAAACCAACTGTCAGATGGAACTTTGCTTGTAATTGTACTGTGAGAAATAAAGAGGGGAGGGCCAAAGTGATGGATATGATGCGAGATGGAAAGCAACTGTCAGATGGAACTTTACTTGTAATCGTACTGTGAGAAATAAAGAGGGGAGGGCCAAAGTGATGGGTATGAGGTGAGAGGGAAACCAACTGTCAGATGGAACTTTGTTTGTAACCGTACTGTATGCTTTGAAAAATAAAGCCTTTCAGTCAGTCTGTGAGGGAATTACTTCTCCAGAAAACTGCAGACCAGGACACTATACTAAAAATATGGGCCACTTGCCTGCCTTATAAGGGACAAGCTTTCCAGCCCTAAAATATGATAAAATATGATAAGGAGACCTGCCAGCTCTATAAAGGACAAATAATATGCGTCTTTGGGTTGTTGTAGGTTTTTCAGGCTATCTGGCCATGTTACAGTAGCTTTCTCTCCTGACGTTTCGCCTGCATCTATGGCAAGCATCCTCAGAGGTGAGGAGACCTCACCTCTAAGGATGCTTGCCATAGATACAGGTGAAACATCAGGAGAGAATGCTACTGGAACATGGCCAGATAGCCCGAAAAACTTTCAACAATCCAGTGATTCCAGCCATGAAACCCTTCGACAATAGAATAAGCGTTTTTTTCAATACGGGACAAATTGCGAGAAACATTCCTAAAAATACAACACACTTGCCCCTATATTTTCCTTATTCAATCCCAATATGATGCAATCACGCGCCATGCAGGTGTTGGCTTGAGGGCCTCACCTTCGCCTCCGATGCCAGGTTGCTGCCAAAGGGAGAAAGGAGGAAGCAGTATTTAAATGCAAGAAATATTTAAATATTTATATTCAGAAATGAATCACGTTTGAGAAGGAAAAGGGTTGCCGTACCTTGAAGATGTACATGCTTTGCACCACCACGGGTTCTTCCAGCCCTATTTGCCTTGCTAAGGCCTGAAAGAGGTAAAAGAAAAGGACCATATAGGGTTGGAAGGGAGCCATATAGTAACAACAATCAGAAAAATTTATAACTATACTAATAATAGCTAATAATATTATTTATTCATTTATTTATGGCATTTATATGCCGACCTTTTCACCCATGGCAGTTTACAAGATATATATAATATAATATAATATAATATAATATAATATAATATAATATATAATAATACATAATATATACATATAATATTGATAATATTATAATGTAATGTAATATAATACTAATAATAATAATATGATATTATAATTATATATTTATAGTGGGTTGTTGTAGGTTTAATATGAAATATAATATATATAATAATATATAATATATAATAATACATAATATATACATATAATATTGATAATATTGTAATGTAATGTAATATAATACTTATAATACTACTAATAATAATATGATATTATAATTATATATTTATAGTGGGTTGTTGTAGGTTTAATATGAAATATAATATATATAATAATATATAATAATTGCCAGATGTTCAAGCTGGGTTTAGAAAAGGTAGAGGAACGAGAGACCAAATTGCCAATATCCGCTGGAGAATGGAGAAAGGCAGGGAGTTTCAGAAAAACATCTACTTCTGCTTCATTGACTATTCTAAAGCCTTGGACTGTGTGGATCATAATAAATTGTGGCAAGTTCTTAGTGGGATGGGCATCCCAAGCCACCTTGTCTCTCTCCTGAGGAATCTGTACAAGGACCAAGTAGCAACAGTCAGAACTGACCACAGAACAGGAGACTGGTTCAAGATTGGGAAAGGCGTACGGCAAGGCTGCATACTCTCACCCAACCTTTTTAACTTGTATGCAGAACACATCATGCGAGGATGTGCGGGGCTGGATGAATGCAAAGCTGGGGTGAAAATTGCTGGAAGAAACATTAACAACCTCAGATATGCAGATGACACCACTCTGATGGCCGAAAGCGAGGAGGAGCTGAGGAGCCTTCTAATCAAGGTGAAAGAAGAAAGCGCAAAAGCCGGGTTGCAGCTAAACGTCAAAAAAACCAAGATTATGGCAACAAGAATGATTGACAACTGGAAAATAGAGGGAGAAACCGTGGAGGCCATGACAGACTTTGTATGTCTAGGTGCAAAGATTACTGCAGATGCAGACTGTGGCCAGGAAATCAGAAGACGCTTACTTCTTGGGAGGAGAGCAATGTCCAATCTCGATAAAATAGTAAAGAGTAGAGACATCAGACTGGCAACAAAGATCCGCCTAGTCAAAGCCATGGTAATCCCTGTAGTAACCTACGGATGTGAGAGCTGGACCTTAGGGAAGGCTGAGCGAAGGAAGATCGATGCTTTTGAGCTGTGGTGTTGGAGGAAAGTTCTGAGAGTGCCTTGGACTGCGAGAAGATCCAACCAGTCCATCCTCCAGGAAATAAAGCCCGACTGCTCAATGGAGGGAAAGATACTAGAGACAAAGTTGAAGTACTTTGGCCACATCATGAGGAGACAGGAAAGCCTAGAGAAGACAATTATGCTGGGGAAAGTGGAAGGCAAAAGGAAGAGGGGCCGACCAAGGGCAAGATGGATGGATGGCATCCTTGAAGTGACTGGACTGACCTTGAGGGAGCTGGGGGTGGTAACGGCCGACAGGGAGCTCTGGCGTGGGCTGGTCCATGAGGTCACGAAGAGTCGGAGACGACTGAACGAATGAACAACAACAACATATAATAATACATAATATATACATATAATATTGATAATATTATACTGTAATGTAATATAATACTAATAATACTACTAATAAAAATATATTATAATTATATATTTATAGTGGGTTGTTGTAGGTTTAATATAAATATTTATATATTTATATTACATGTAATATTACTAATAATATTACAATATAATGGTATAATGCAATATAGTAATATTTAATACTGATATTGTACTATGCTAATAAAATAATATATTGTATGTATATATATATATTTTTAAGCTGCTCTGAGTCCCCTTCCGGGTGAGAAGGGTGGCATGTAAATGTCGTAAATAAATAAGTAAATAAATAAATACAATATATTATATTATTAGCATAGTACAATATCAGTATTAATTATTACTATATTGTATTATACCATTATACTGTAATATTAAATGTAATTTAAATATATAATTATAATATATTATTATTATTAGTACTATATTGCATTATATTATAATATTATATGTATACACAATATATGATATGATATATTATTAACATAGCACAGGTTAGTGCCGAAGACCCATATCTTCTGGCAGAAGGCCAACCCAATTGACTTTCAATTGTGAGTTTGGATTTGCATTCTTATTACCACGATTTTGTACCTGTGCTTAGTATAACTTTTCATTTGTTATGAATATATATATATATGAGTTTGTTTGTTTTTTAAAAAATAAGTAATTTATTTAAAATATTTAATTATTATTATTATTATCATAACAATATTTACTACTACTATTTTATAATGACAATAATTTATAATATTTATATTCCTTCGCAGGCACAACTGGTCGGGACGAGAGACAGGGCCTTCTCCGTGGTGGCCCCTCGGCTGTGGAACTCCCTCCTGAGTAACATCAGATCAGCGCCCGTCCTCCTGATCTTTCAGAAAAAATTGAAAACGTGGACGTGGGACCAAGCGCAATATGTGAATGTGAAATGGTGCAATGACTGAAGGTTCCATTATTCCTAATTTTAAGAGATATCTCAAGGAGGGATTTATCTTCTGTTTAGGCTCTATTTATACTAGTTTGACATTGAATAAACTGCTTCCCTTTTCATTTTTCAGCCCTTTTTCCTCACCTGGACTTGTTCGGAGTGGGTGATTTCCTTGAAGACAGGATCGTGGGCATGCAAAGCTGCAAAAATAAAATAAAATAACATTATAATGTGTTTCCCGCTTTCTCCCTCTGAAAAAAAGACTCAAACAGCTTATGGTAGAACCAATATAGTGCAATGTAAAACCTAAAAATACACAAACATTGAACTAGAATTAGATATTAAAAGTATTAAACTGTTATGGCAGGTGACATAGGTTGTATTTCAGGGGAAAGAATGGCCAAAATCACATTATTATTATTATTATTATTATTATTATTATTATTATTATTATTTCAGGGGAAGGAATTGCTGAAGCTGTTATTATTATTATTATTATTATTCATGGGAAGGAATTGCTACATATTATTATTATTATTATTATTATTATTATTATTATTTCAGGAGAAGGAATTGCTGAAGCAATTATTATTATTATTATTATTCATGGGAAGGAATTGCTGAAGATATTATTATTATTATTATTATTATTATTATTTCAGGGGAAGGAATTGCTGAAGATATTATTATTATTATTTCAGGGGAAGAAACTGCTGAAGATATTATTATTATTATTATTATTATTTCAGGAGAAGGAATTGCTGAAGATATTATTATTATTATTATTATTATTATTATTTCAGGAGAAGGAATTGCTGAAGATATTATTATTATTATTATTATTATTATTATTATTATTATTATTACTATTCCATGAGAGAATAGTAATAATAATTAATAATAGTAATAATAATTAATATTATTAATTAATATTAATTAATATTAATTGATATTGATATTAATAATATTATATTATTAGTATTAATAATATAGTATTAATAATATTATTACTATAATTAATGGGGCTGGAAAGGATGCCCCAATGACCCCTGTGGTTGGTGGGTACTTACCATGCCCAATTTTGTTGATCGACCTTTCTTTCGGGACGAGGAAATCCCCTAAACACAAATAAAACATTCATATTAATCACACAGAAAAGATACCTTGAAGGATGGTGTGAAGGAGGGTAAAATTACTGCCACCAAATTTGTGAGGAAGCCCTGTAATTCTCAGCATCAACTAAGGAGCTGGTTTATAAAGGGACTATTAGTTACAGAAGTATTTAGTTATTTGATAGCGTAGCTTTTAATGTCCCTGGTTTGGTTTTTCTACTTATGCAGGCTGTTTGATGTAGGAGAAACTGTATCAGGCACCTGACTTATCTAACTATATTGGCTCACAGCCAAACCTTGATTCTTAATATTACAGAACCAGTCTTCCCTATAGTTCTCTAACTATAGGATTCCTGCTGGTTTTCCACACACCACAGGATCAACTACCTTCTCCTGTAACTCTTTGGTCACAGACTAGTTCCCTGAATCTCCTACCCAGAGATTTCAGTGTTCTCTGTAGCTCACCAGCTTACAGACTCTTCCCTGATTCTCCCACTAGAGAAATCAGTCTTCCCTGTAACTCTACCGGTCACAGACTGCCTATTTCAAACAGCTGCCCCGTGAAGTGACAGTTGGCTCCGCCCCCGTTGCTATGGTAACTCAGCTCAAGCCACCAGCCACCATCTCTAACAAAATATAATCTTACATACTTACCATTTATTAACTACTGTTTAAACAACATATAACCATAAGAATAAAAATTACACATCGTCACAGATGGGAATCTGGAAGCGCTGCTGGACTGCTTCTCCCATCATCCCTAGAGAGGAAAGTGAGGAATGTATTGTCGAAGGCTTTCATGGCTGGAATCACTAGGTTCTTGTGGATTTTTTCGGGCTATAGAGCCATGTTCTAGAGGCATTTCTCCTGACGTTTCGCCTGCATCTATAGTGAGGAAAGGAAGGAAGCAAGGAAGAGAAGGGAAGGAAGGAAGGAGAGACAGGAGAGGAGCAACAGTGAGGACCTCACTACCTCTGAGGGTGCTTGCCATAGATGCAGGCGAAACGTCAGGAGAAATGCCTCTAGAACATGGCTCTATAGCCCAAAAAAACCCACAAGAACCTAAAGTGAGGAATGATGGGAAAGGGAGCCTGGCATTCACTGTGGGGAAAGGGGAAACCAAATATCTCACTGACACAAATATTGCAGCTGTTTAGATGAGTGTGTGTGAAGAGAAAAAAGAGATGAGAAGGGAGAAGGGAAAGAGATGAGAAGAAGATAAAAAGGTGAGAAGAAAAGAGTAGTAGAGAGAAAAGAGAGGAAAAGATTCTTCATTTCCACCTCGCTTCTCCTGTCTCTCCTTCATTCCTTTCTTTTTTCTCTTCGGTCTCTCCTTCCTTCCTTCTTTCCTCTCCTGTCTCTTCTCTCCTGTTGCTCCTCTCCTGTCTCTCCTTCCTTCCTTCCCTTCTCTTCCTTGCTTCCTTCCTTTCCTTTTCTCCTCTCCTCTTCTGTCTCTCCTTCCATTTCCTTATCTCCTGCTCTTCTGTCTCTCTATCCTTCCTTACTTCCTTCTCTTCCAAGTCTCTCCTTCCTTTCTTCTCTCCTCTCCTGTCTCTCCTTCCTTCCTTCCCTTCTCTTCCTCTCTCCTTCCTTCCCTTTTCTCCTCTCCTCCTGTTTCTCCTTCTCTCCACTCCTATCTCTCCTCCCTTCCTTCTCTTCCTGTCTTTCCTTCCTCTCTCCTTCCTGTCTTCCTGCCATCCTTTTCTTCTCTTCCTCTCTCCTTCCTTTCTTCCTTCTCTCCTCTCCTGTCTCTCCTTCCTTCCTCTCCTTCTCTTCCCCTCTCCGCTCCTCTTGTTTCTCCTTCCTTCTTCCTACTCTCCTCTCCACTCCTCTCTCCTTCCTTCCTTCCCTTCTTTCTCTCCTTTCTGCCTTCCTTTTCCTCCTTCCTCTCCTTCTTTTCCTTTCTCCCTTCCCAATCTGCTTCCCTTCCTTCTCTCCTCTCCTCTTCCAACCCAACGTATCTCAATTTTAAGTATAGATTTGAAAAATAATATTACCGTTTGCATCAAAAACACCTTTTTCAAAAAAGAACCGGATTTGGTCTCCGCTGGTGAGGAAATATTCGGCGCTGCCCTTTTGGGAAAAGGGAAATCGAAATTAAAATGTGAACTTTTGTGTTACACACCACTGTATATAATGGAATTAATATATAGTAATAATATATTATACTTGCTTATAACTATGTGATTGTTATATCCCCTGTTATATATATTATGCTACATATTTTCTGCAAACAAGGATGTGTTTACCTGCATCTTTTCAGCCACAAACAAATGCCAGCATGGAGGGAAGAAGAGAAGGACAATACTGTTTTACTAAAAGAGCTCCCATATATTTATAAAAATAATATATGCGTCAGATAGTCACTGCAGGGACACCTCAGCAAGCGAGAGTCCAAAAGTGGCAGGCTCAAACCCAGAACCTTAATCAGTGCAGGTTCTCGTGCACCATGAACATGTCCAAGAACCCTGCCCTGTCCTCTACAAACACTATACTGCCCACCACCCAAGTGAAGGATTTCCTACAGGGACCTAGATTTTATGTCTTTCCTCCACCACAGGCATCCCAGTGTTTCTGCCTCTCTCCATTGGTGTGGAATTTGCATGACCCCGCCCACTGTCTCTCGCTGAACCCTTTTCTATTTCACACATCAAGCAGAGGAATTGATCGGCAGGTACACATACTAGAGAAGTTTGAGGGAATTCACCATGATGTATAGGAGTTGTAGGTCCTGGGATGTATAGTTTACCTGCTATCTAAGGACTGCACTCTGAACTCCACCAGCGATGGACCTGGAACCAACCTGACACACAGATGATGATGATGATAACAATAAATGCTATACCTGGGCTTGCAATTGCTCCTGTTCTTTGGTGGAGAACTCGGTGCGGCAATGGGGTGGCACATCCATCCCGGAAATGACCCTCTGGATCTGGGCACGCATGGCATCGCAGGCCTCGGAGCTGAAGAACCCCTCCAGGACCAGGAAGCCATCCTGGTGGAACTGCAGAAAGGGGAGGAAAACAGGCATTTCTAGGAGCCTGGCAGAAAGGGGAGAGAAGGAAAAAGAAGGAAAGAGTAATTGAAGAAAGGAAGGAAGAGAGGGGAAAATGAAAGAAGGGAGGGAGGGAGGGAGGGAGAGAGGGAGGGAGGGAGGGAGAAAGAAAGAAAGAAAGAAAGAAAGAAAGAGAAGAAAGAGAGGAAGGAAAAAGAAAAGGGTAAAGAAGAAAAGAAGGAAGAGAGGGAGAAATGAAAGAAGAAAAGAAGGGAGGGAGGGAGGGAAGAAAGAGAGGAAGGGAGGGAGGGAGGGAGAAATTAAAGAAGGAAAGAAGGGAGGGAGGGAGAAAGGGAAGAAAGGCAGGAAAGAGTAAAGGAAGAAAGGAAGAGAGGGAGAAATGAAAGAAGGAAAGAAGGGAGGGAGGAGAGAGAAAGAGAAGAAAGAGAGGAAGGAAAAAGAAGGAAAGAGTAAAGGAAGGAAGAGAGGAAGAAATGAAAGAAGGAAAGAAGGGAGGGAGGAGAGAGAAAGAGAATAAAGAAAAGAAGGAAAAAGAAGGAGGAGAAAAGGGGGATGAAGCAAGGAAGAAGAAAAGGAAGAAAGGAAGGGGTAAAGGAATCACGGAAAGAAGAAAGTAGAAAAAGGGAAGGGAGGGAGGGAGGAAAAGGTAGAAAATAGGGAAGGATGGAAAGATAGAAAGAAAAAGGAAAGAAGGAAGGAAGGAAGGTAAGAAACAGAGAGGAAAGGGATTCAGAAAGTGTGACAGTGTTTTGAACATGGGACTGTGGCTCTGAACCCAGTGAGTGATTTCAGCAAGAAGTCTCACTCTCTCAGCCTCAGAGGAAAAGAGGGAAGGAAGGAAAATTAAAGAGGGGGAAGGAAGAGGGAGGGAAAGAGGGAAGGAAGAAGGGAGGGAGGGAAAGAAGGAGGAGCAAGGGCGGGGGGGGGGGGAGTGGGAAGGAAGGAGAGAAGGGAGGAAAGAAAAAGAGTCAAGGAAGGAGGGAGAGAAGGAGGAAACAGGGAGGAAGGGAGGGAAAAGAGGGAAGGAGGGAGGAAAGGAAGGAAGAGAAGGAAGAACGATAAAAAGGGAAGATAGGAAGGCAAGAAAGGAAGGAGAAAAGGGAGGAAAGGAGGAAGGAAAAAGGGAAGGAAGGAGAGATGGAAGGAAGGAGGAAAAATGGAGGGAGGAATAGAAAAGAGGGAAGGAAGGGGGGAGGGAAAGAGGGAAAGAAGGGGAAAAGGGAGGAAGGGAGGGAGAAGGAAGAGAATAGAGGGAAGGAAGGAGGGAAGGAGAAAGGAAAAAAAGAATGATAGAAGGAAGGGAGAGAGGTAAGAAAGAGAAAAGGAGGAAGACAAAGGGAGGAAAAGAAAGAAATGTAGAAAACAGGGAAGAAAAGAAAGTAAGACAGAGTGGTAGGAAACAAGAGAAGGAAGAGTCGGAAATGCTTCAAAAGCCAACACAACAACAACAGCCCTAAAGACATCATCCTTGGCAAGTGAGGCCTCCTTCGCCCGCAGCCCTGCATTCCCGAATGAGTATTCCCTCTTGTTCTGGAGCAACCATTCTTTTCCAAGATACTTCTCCTTATGCCCAATAAGTATATCGTTCCAGACAACCTGTGTATTTGCGGCCTCTCCTCCTCCTGCTTGCAACCATTTATAGAAACCAAGAGGATTATCCCTCGAAAGGGGCTTTCGGAGGAGAAGCAGCCGAGGAGGAAGACAAGAACTTCGATCTCGTCGCAGCAGAGAATTGCTGGTTTTCTGTTGATACCTGGAACCATTTCTGGCCTGGATCCTGTTAACTGAAAACAAGTTACCAAGAACAGATCTTTTTTCTATCCCTGCAAAATGTCTGGATTTATTTGTGATTTATTATATTACTTCTATTGGGATTCGAAGTCGGGATCCCGAGACTCTTCTGGATTGTCAAACTTGGAAAAGTGGAAGAATGGAAGGCAGGAAAAAGAGGGAAAGGAAGAAGGAAAGAAGGAAAAAAAGAGGGAAGCCTTTGCCTCTGTCTATGTATTGTCTGTCTTTGTTATCAATTGTATAACGGCACTGAATATTTGTACCCTGTAATCCGACTCAGAAAGATAGAGCGGAATATTAATAATAATAATAATTTATTTATAATAATTTAAAATATATAATAATAATAATATAATATATAATATATAATAATTTATAATAATAATTATAATAATATAATTGTAAAAATATTATAATTATATATAAATATAATATAATAATAATAATAACGGCGCTCCATGCAGTCATACCGGCCACATGACCTTGGAGGTGTCTACGGACAACGCCAGCTCTTCGGCTTAGAAATGGAAATGAGCACCACACCCCAGAGTCAGACAGGACTGGACTTAATGTCAGGGGACTACCTTTACCTTTACCTATAAAAATATAAAAATAACTAGTCATCCCCTGCCATGCATTGCTGTGGCCCAGTCTGTGTATATGTGTTCTGTGTGTGTAGATATGTGTGTGTATTTGTGCATAAATGTATATATGTGAGTTTGTAATATGTGTGGTTTTGCACATACATTGTAATGTATTTTTTTTTGGCTTTTTAAGTCTCTTCGCTGTGTTTTTCAGTGTGTTTATGAGTGATGGTCACTCGTTGGCCCAAGAGGTCTCTTGTCTCCAAATTTGGGGTCAATTCATCCAGTGGTCCACCAAAGTCAACATCGACACCGAAATACAACACCGCCTGAGCTCTGCGAGCGCAGCATTTTTCCGAATGAAGCAGAGAGTGTTTGAGGACCGGGACATCCGTAGGGAGACCAAGGCGCTTGTCTATAAAGCTATTCCCCTCCCAACCCTGCGAAATGTGGACTGTCTACAGACGTCACATGCAACTCCTGGAACGATTCCATCAGCGCTGCCTCCGGAAAATCCTGCAAATCTCTTGGGAAGACAGGCGGACAAACGTCAGTGTGCTGGAAGGAGCAATTGAAGCGATGGTCCTCTGCCACCAACTCCGCTGGACCGGCCACGTTGTCCGGATGCCTGACCACCGTCTCCCAAAGCAGCTGCTCTACTCCGAACTCAAGAACGGAAAACGTAGTGTTGGTGGACAGGAAAAGAGCTTGAAAGATGGGCTCAAAGCCAACCTTAAGAACTCTGGCATAGACACTGAGAACTGGGAAGCCCTGGCCCTTGACCGCTCCAGCTGGAGGTCAGCTGTGACCAGCAGTGCTGCAGAATTTGAAGAGGCACAAATGGAGGGCGAAAGGGAGAAGTGTGCCAAGAGAAAGGCGCGTCAAGCCAACCCCAACCGAGACCGCCTTCCACTTGGAAACCAATGCCCTCACTGCGGAAGAAGATGCGGGTCAAGAATAGGGCTCCACAGCCACATACGGACCCACAAGAACACTGGAAGACAATCATCCTCGGAAAACGAGGGATCGCCTAAGTAAGTAAGTAAAGTGTGAGTTATGTTAATACCACAAATGAACAGAACATTATTTATATAGATAATAATAACTATATAAGCAATAATAATAATAACAACTACTACTACTACTTGGGAAGTGTCCGACGTGTGATCCAATGCAACAGCCAGTAGAGTGTCTGCTGTGGACTCATCTTGTTGTGTTTCAAATAATAACAATAATAATAATAATAATTATAATTATTATTCTCATGACTATTTAAGGAGAGGCTCTATTGGAATTTGGATTTAAGTTGGACTTCCCTTACCTGCTGAATCTGTTCTTGGCTGACGGTTGCCATTCCCAGGCCTTTCCTCCTTGTTTTCCGAGGATTTACTTCTTCTTTCCTTCCTTCCTCCTTCCTTTCTTTCCAGCAACAACAATCATGTGATCTTCCTCCTTCTCCTCCTCCTCCGGAAAGCGACAGGGACCTTGATGCAAATCCAGTCTGTTGTTTACTTGGCTGGACTTTGAGATCCTCTCTCTTTTTTGGAGGCCGTCCAGTTTCCCTTCATTTCTTTCGTTCCTTTCTTTAAATGCCTGGAAGGGAAAAGGAAAGAAAGGAAAAGGAAGCAAACCCCTTCTCTGGACTGTTTCTTTCACAAGCAGCTTTATGTAAGAGGGAAGCTATTTAAAAAGGACAGCCCGAAGCCAAAAACAACCACAATAACAACAAAACAACAACACGAAGCTATAAGAGCAAACGACTCAGTTCAGAAGGAGCGAAAGGCCTTCTGTGTGTTGGGGATGGTGGGAGTTGTAGTCAAATCGGAAATCCAGTGGGATAGAAAGGAAAGGGACCCTCGGTGTGTTGGGGATGGTGGGAGTTGTAGTCCAAAAGGAAATTCAAAGGGCTAGAAAGGCATGAAAGGAGCCCAGCATTGGTTGGGGATGGTGGGAATTGTAATCCAATAGGAAATTGAGGCTAGAAAGGGGAGAGGAGCCACCAGTGATTGGGGATGGTGGGAGTTGTAGTCCAATAGGAAATTGAGGCTAGAAAGGGGAGAGGAGCCAGTAGTGGTTGGGGATGGTGGGAGTTGTAGTCCAACAGTCAATTCAAAGGGGTAGAAAGGGAAGAGAAGACCTCTCTATGGTTGGGGATAGTGGGAGTTGTAGTCCAATAGGAAACTGAGAGGGATAGAAAGGTGAGGAGCCAGCAGTGGTTGGGGATAGTGGGAGTTGTAGTCCAACAGTCAATCCAAAGGGGTAGAAAGGGAAGAGAAGAACCCTCTATGGTTTGGGATGGTGGGCATTGTAATCCAATAGGAAATTGAGAGGGATAGAAAGGGGAGAGGAGCCAGCAGTGGTTGGGGATGGTGGGAGTTGTAGTCCAACAGTCGATCCAAAGGGGTAGAAAGGGAAAAGAAGACCCCTCTATGGTTGGGGATGGTGGGAGTTGTAATCCAAAAGGAAATCGATAGGGATAGAAAGGCAAGGAAAGAGCCGTGTGTGTGTTGGGAATGGTGGGAGTTGTTGTTCAATAGAAAACAGAGGGATAGAAAGGCAACAAAGGAGTCAGCAGTGGTTGGGGATGGTGGGAGTTGTAGTCCAGTAGGCAATTCAAAGGGATAGAAAGGGAAGAGAAGAACCCCTCTATGGCTGGGAATGGTGGGAGTTGTCATCCAATTGGAAAACCAGAGGGATAGAAAGCCAAGAAAGGAACCAGCAGTGGTTGGGGATGGTGGGAGTTGTAGTCCAATAGGAAATCCAGGGGGATAGGAAAGGAAGGATCCTCTATGGTTGGGGATGGTGGGTGTTGCAGTCCAATAGGAAATTAAGAGGAATAGAAAAGCAAGAAAGGAGCCAGCAGTGGTTGGGGATGGTGGGAGTTGTAGTCCAATAGGGAATCCTGAGGGATAGAAAGGCAACTGGACATAATGGCAATAATGCACTGATTTTTGGCAGCTAAACTCACCAAAGGCTTGGACTGGACATTAAACTTCCCTTCAAAAGGAACTTCATTTTCACTTTTTGCCTTTCTTTCCCGATCTCGGACCGGCATCCCTTTTCCAGCGTGTTTTAAAATCACAACAATAACAATAATAATTAAAGAGCAACTGTAAGTCCAATATAGATATTTTTATAGGATTTTAAAAAGAATTTTCCAGTTAACACATATCAGTGTTTGACATCGAAAGATCTCTTAGGTAAACAGTAAACTGGGCTGACAGTCAGGAGCTCACACCAACCCAGGGCTTCAAACTGGCAACATTTTGGCTGGTAGATCCTTATCATTGCTGTGCTAAGACATTGTTGTTGCATTTAAAGCCTGATTTCTACACATTTATATTAATATAAATTATATCATTTATATAATGCAAATTCATTAGGATCTTAATTAATCCTAATGAAAGCCGCTGTGTTGTAGATACCATTTCATACATCTCTTTCCGACCAAAAAATCCAATACTTTTTCCAGTGAACACATATCAGTGTTTGATATCGAAAGATCTCTTAGGTAAACGGTAAACTGGGCTGACAGTCAGGAGCTCACACCGACCCAGGGCTTCAAACTGGCAACATTTTGGCTGGTATATCCTTATCATTGCTGTGCTAAGACGTTGTTGTAGTATTTAAAACCTGATTTCTACACATTTATATTAATATAAATTATATCATTTATATAATGCAAATTCATTAAGATCTTAATTAATCCTAATGAAAGCCGCTTTGTTGTAGATACCATTTCATACATCTCTTTCCGACCAAAAAAATCCAATATTTTTTCCAGTGAATACATATCAGTGTTTGACATCGAAAGATCTCTTAGGTAAACAGTAAACTGGGCTGACAGTCAGGAGCTCACACTGACCCAGGGCTTCGAACTGGCAAATTTTTGACTGATAGATCTTTATCACTGCTGTGCTAAGTCATTGCTGTTGTTGTATTTAAAGCCTGATTTCCTCTCTTACACAAGACTCAAAGCAGCTCAGGCAACGTATATTATTTATTAAATAAGGGTCGTGGCTAGCCAGATACACAACCGAAAGGTTGGCAATTCAAGGCACGGGTCACGGTGAGCTCCTGCCGTCAGCCCTAGCTTCTGCTTATCTAGCAGTTCGAAAACAGGAATGCGAGTAGATAAATAGGTACTGCTTTGGCGGGGAGGTAAAAGGTGCCCGTGAAAATATGCCGGAAATTCGATCAGGAAGGTGTCGGTGGACAACAGGCTCTTTGGCGTGGAAAAATGAAACAACACCTCCCCATGGCTGAGTCGAGCACAGCATCCAGTTGCCAGAGACCAGCATCCCAGGGTTCCTTTCTCTCTCCATTGGTGTGGAATTTGTATTACCTCCACCCACTGCCTCTCCCATAACCCTTTCCTATTCTTTTCTATGGCACACAACAAACACCATGATTTATAGGAGTTGTAGGTCCTTGGATGTATAGTTCCCCTGCAATCTAAGAGAAATCTGAACTCCACCAACGATGGACCTGGAACTAACTTGGTACACACAACCCCCATGACCAAGAAAAAATACTGGAGGTCTTTGGAGGGATTTATAGGAGTTGTAGTTCACCTACATCCAGAGCGCACTATGGACCCAAACAATGATGGATCTGTACCAAGCTTGGCATGCATTCCCGATATGCCCACATTTGAATACTGGTGGGTTTTAAGGGGAATTGGCCTGGACATTTTGGAGTTGTAGGTACTGGGATGTATAGTTCTCCTGCAATATAAGAGCGCTCTGAACTCCAACAAAAACTGAATTGGACCACTCTTGGCACAGTGAACAAAAAATATCTTTCGTCTTTGGGAAAAATTCACCTTGATTTGGGGGAGTTGTAGTTCACCTCCATCCAGAGAGCACTGTGAACCCAAACACTGATGGATCTGGACCAAAGTTGGCACACATACTAATATGCTGAAATTTGCTTAATAGAGGGGTTTGGGGAAAACTGACCTTCTTTTCTGGGAGTTGTAGTTTACCTACAACCAGAGTAACTGTGTCCATCACGGATGATGGACCTGGACCACACTTGACACATATAAAACCCCCATGATTAACTCAACCTACTGGAGGGGTTTGAGGGGGCTGATTCACCATAGTGGGAGTTGTAGTTCACCCCACAGCCAGAGAGCAGATGATGCCTCTAGAGCAAACTTGCCCGACATAACAAACTTTAAGTACTAATGGAGTTTTTTGGGGTTAACCTAGCCTGATGGGAGTTGTAGTTCACCCCGCAGCCAGAGAGCAGATGATGCATCTAGAGCAAGCTAGCCCAACATAACAAACTTTAAGTACTAATGGAGTTTTTTGGGGTTAACCTAGCCTGATGGGAGTTGTAGTTCACCCCGCAGCCAGAGAGCAGATGACGCATTTAGAGCAAACTTGCCCAACATAACAAACTTTAAGTACTAATGAAGTTTTTGGGGGGTTAACCTAGCCTGATGGGAGTTGTAGTTCACCCCGCAGCCAGAGAGCAGATGATGCATCTAGAGCAAACTTGCCCAACATAACAAACTTTAAGTACTAATTGAGTTTTTTGGGGTTAACCTAGCCTGATGGGAGTTGTAGTTCACCCACAACCTTATTATATAATAATAATAATAATAATAATAATAATAATAATAATAATAATAATAATAATAAATATGCATTCGGTACAATTAAAAAATCAGCTTTTTCAAATAATCCAGGCAACGCCGGGTACCCAAGCTAATAAACATAATAAATATCATTATAGGAATTTTTTTTGTTGTTAAAGGACAGACCCAGCTTTTCCGAGGGATTTCCACGAAGCTTTATTGAAACACTGACCATTACCAGAGCCTGGTTTACATGGGTTTGTATTTGTTTCCCGGCTTTTGCTATTGCGCACAAAGAAAGGAATATAAAAAGCAAGAAAGTGACATTTGTGAGGGTTTTATTTCTCTCTTTTTTCCTTTTTTTTTGCAGATTTAAATGCCTCGCTTCGCCCTCCAAAAAGGCACCAGATAACGAAATCTCTGTGGTTTCCTAGACGGGAGGGCTAAAATCTGCAATTAGAAACAACCTCCCGGCGAGTCAAAGAGTAGTGCAAATGTCCTATTTGTTTCCCTCGTTTCCAAGAAAGCGGCCTTCCCGGTCCTTTCCTTTAATACTGGAGGGTGATTCGGGAGCGAAGGGAGGCAGAGACCCTCAAAAAGACCCAAATCCCTGATTTTTAACACAAAAATCAGAATATTTAATGGCATTATAAGCATAATAAAGCTCTTATCTTTCGTAGTGTTTCCTTACATGACGTATTATTGTCAGAGACGGCTGTGTTTCAAATAGATAGCCCTGAGAGGAACACAAAGGCAATTTTAAATATCAAACCCACGATTCCCATTACGTTTCGGCTTCCCAGTCCCCCCGGAAACACGACCCCAAGGACGTAATTGATAAGAAAGCCTTGGGAATTGATCCTAATCTCATAGCAGGGGGAGACGTAACACAAAAAGGTCCGTATTTCTGCATAATAGAACACAAAAGGAGGTCCGTTTGGCATCCGAGGGAGGAGGGGGTTTCCCTCTGCGTCCGAAAAGGTCAGTGATTGATTGATTGTGCAGCAAAGGGATGGGGGAGAAAGGGAAGGCCCGCCCCTCGCCGTGTGCAATTCTCAAACTCGCTTCCTGTCCGACTTCCTGTCCAAAATGGCCACCTCGCCCCGGATGCAACAGAGGCACCCTTCGATCCAGAGGAACACAACCCCAGAACGTTCCAGGCTGTTCCGATTTGCAACAGCAGCCACAACAAAAAAGCAAAACGCCCGTCCGTTCTCGATGTCTGGTCGTCCGCCGCTTCTTCATCTTCCTCCGATTGGAAGGAACTCATTCACACCTGCTTACGGAAAACTCGCCATTATTTTTTGGTGGGTCCTTCCATCTGAAAGAAGGCAACTCCCAATCCCAGAGAGTTCCTGGCTCTTCCAAAATGGGAGCTTCTGGGTGAGAAGAAGCAGGGCAATCGGTTTCTCGTAGATATCCGGTCATTTGGAAGGACCGCCAGGATATGACCGCATCCGCTTTCATTCTTCGGAGAGTCCTTCGATCTGAAAGAAGGCAACCTCTCAGTCCGACCTGCTTCTGAAACGTTCCAGACAGTTCCTGGCTCTTCCAAAATGGGAGCTTCTGGGTGAGAAGAAGCAAGACAATCGGTTTCTCGTAGATATCCAGACATTTGGAAGGACCGCCAGGATATGACCGCATCCGCTTTCATTCTTCGGAGAGTCCTTCGATCTGAAAGAAGGCAACCTCTCAGTCCGACCTGCTTCCGAAACATTCCAGACAGTTCCTGGCTCTTCCAAAATGAGAGCTTCTGGGTGAGGAGAAGAAGACAATCGTAGATATCCGGTCATTTGGAAGGACCGCCAGGATATGACTGCATCCGCTTTCATTCTTCAGAGAGTCCTTCAATCTGAAAGAAGGCAACCTCTCAGTCCGACCTGCTTCCAAAATGTTCCAGACAGTTCCTGGCTCTTCCAACTGCTTCCAAAACGTTCCAGACAGCTCCTGGCTCTTCCATTTGCAAGATGGAGGAAGAGAAGAAGCTTCTCATAGATATCTGGTTATTTGGATGGACCGCCAGAATATGACCGCATCTGCTTTCATTCTTTGGAGGGTCCTTCGATCTGAAAGAAGGCAACCTCTCAGTCTGACCTGCTTCCGAAATGTTCCAGACAGTTCCTAGCTCTTCACTTTGCAAGATAGGAGAAGAGAAGAAGGAGCTTCTCGTAGATATCTGGTTATTTAGATGGACTAACAGAATATGACCGCATCTGCTTTCATTCTTTGGAGGGTCCTTCGATCTGAAAGAAGGCAACCTCTCAGTCCGACCTGCTTCCGAAATGTTCCAGACAGTTCCTAGCTCTTCCATTTGCAAGATAGGGGAAGAGAAGAAGAAGCTTCTCGTAGGTATCTGGTTGTTTGGAAGGACCACCAGAATACGGCCGCATCCGCTTTCATTCTTTGGCGGGTCCTTCAATTTGAAAGAAGGCAACCCTCAATCCGACCTGCTTCCCAGACATGCTACAGTTCCTGGCTCTTCTGGTTGCTTCCGAAACGTTCTGGACAGTTCCTAGCTCTTCCATTTGCAATATAGGGTAAGAGAAGGAGAAGCTTCTCGTAGATATCTGGTTGTTTGGAAGGATCGCCAGAATACAGCTGCATCCACTTTCATTCTTTGGCGGGTTCTTCAATCTGAAGGAAGGCAAACCTCGATCTGACCTGCTTCCGAGACATTCCACAGTTCCGGGCTCTTCCGATTGCTTCCGAAACGTTCTGGACAGTTCTTGGCTCTTTCATCTGCAAGACAGGGGAAGGGAAGAAGGAGCTTCTTGTAGATGTCTGGTCGTTTGGAAGGACCGCCAGAATATGACCGCATCCACTTTCATTCTTTGGCAGGTCGTTCATTCTGAAGGAAGGCAACTCCTCGAATCCACCTGCTTCCAAAACATTCCTGGCCATTCCAAATACAAAGGGGGAGCTTTTGGGTGAGAAGAAGCAGAACGACGGTTTCTCGTAGATATCGGGTCATGTGGAAGGACCGCCAGGATATGGCCGCATCGGCTTTCATTCTTTGGCGGGTCCTTCAATCTGAAGGAAGGTAACACCTTGATCCGCCCTGCTTCCGAAACATTCCTGGCAGTTCCACGTTATTCCAATTACAAAATGGGAGCTTCTGGATGAGAAGAAGCAGAACAACTGTTTCTTCTCCTACACATATCTGGTTGTTCTTCAATCCGAAGGGACACAGAACTCGATCCCATTTGCTTCCGAAACATTCGCGGGAGAGCGATTCCAGGGGGGAAAGGGAGAAACAGGAAGTTACCCCCAGTGCTCCGCTTCACTCCTCATCCTGCTCCGGGTTCATCCCTTGATCCGTCCGTCCATCCGGGGTCCTTGTCGCCCCCCCTTCGGCCTCAGGCCTGTTCTTTGTCGGCCCTCCAGAGCCGCTCCTTGACTTCCAATGGGAGGGTGTTGAAGAGGTCCTCCTCCACCACCAGGCCGCTGCGCTTGAGGAGGGGGCAGTCGCCCAGCTCCACGGGGAGCCCCTCCAGGCGGTTGCCCCGCAGCTCGATCTGTGAGAGGCTGGCCAGCTCCCCCACCCGGGAGGGCAGGCACTGCAGCACGTTGTTGCCCAGGTGCAGCGTCCGCAGCTTGCGGCACTGGAAGAGCTCCGCCGGCAGGGCCTCGATCTGCAGGGAGAGGGGGAGACCGAGGCAGAGAGGGGTCAGGCACACACATCACACTGAAACACACAGGGAAGTCCTCCCTGACGTAATATTAGTAGTCATAACAGTAACAATCATGCCATGCAAACATTCAGCTACTCTTAGCAGCAGCACCAATAGTAATAATAAAAGCAATAAAAATATAAATGATAATGTTGTACAAATACTCAGCTACTCTTAGCAGCAGCAAAAGGAATAAGAAGAAGAACAAGCTTGGGCAAACACTTAGCTAATCTGAGTAGCAGCATCAATAGCAATAGTAGTAGTAATGTTCAAACACCCAGCTACTCTTAGCATCATCATAATAATAATAGGAAGAAGAAGGTTGTAGTAGTAATAACAATAATACTGGCTTTGGACTGCAACATAATAATAACAACAATACCAACAACATGCAATTGCAACACCTTCCCAGTGTCTTTGGACTGTAACATAATAATAACAACAACAACCACCACCTGCAATTGCAAGGCCTTTACAATGTCTTTGGACTGCAATAATAATGATAATAATAATGATATGCAACCACAAGGCCTTTCCAGTTGCCTTTGGACTGCAACATAGTAATAATAATAATAATAATAATAATAATATGCAATTGCAAGGACTTCCCCGTGTCTTTGGACTGCAATAATATTGATAATAATAATGATATGCAACCACAAGGCCTTTCCAGTTGCCTTTGGACAGGAACATAATAATAATAATAATAATAATAATAATAATAATAATAATAATAATGATAATAATAATAATATGCAATTGCAAGGCCTTCCCAGTGTCTTTGGACTGCAACATAATAATGATAATAATAATGATATGCAACCACAAGGCCATCTCAGTATCTTTGGACTGCAATAATAATAATAATAATAATAATAATAATAATATGCAATCGTAAGGCCTTCCCAGTGTCTTTGGACTGCAATAATAATAATAATAATAATAATAATAATAATAATAATAATAATATGCAACTGCAAGGCCTTCCCAGTGTCTTTGGACTGCAACATAATAATAATAATAATAATAATAATAATAGGAATATGCAATCGCAAGGCTTTCCCAGTGTCTTTGGACTGCAATAATAATAATAATAATAACGATAGTAATAATAATATGCAACTGCAAGGCCTTCCCAGTGTCTTTGGACTGCAGTTATAATGATAATAATAATGATATGCAATAGCAAGGCCCTCCCAGTTGCCTTTGGACTGCACATAATAATAATAATAATAATAATAATAATAATAATAACAACAACAACATGCAATTGCAAGGCCTTCCCAGTGTCTTTGGCTTGCAATAATAATAATATGCAACTGCAAGGCCATCCCAGTGTCTTTGGACTGCAACAGAATAATAATAATAATAATAATAATAATAATAATAATAATAATAATATGCAATTGCAACATTTCCCAGTGTCTTTGGACTGCAATAATAATAATAGTAATAATAACATGCAACGGAAGGCCTTCCCAGTGTCTTTGGACTGCAACATAATAATAATAACAACAACAACAACAACAACAACAACAACATCTAGCAATCTTCTCTGTACTGGCTCCTGGGAGGTGCCTTTGCAAACGACCAAACTCCCAGTGGCCCTGCTGGCCAGTGGATTCTGGGAATCGCAGCCTCCTGTTTTGCCAGGGAGACGCATTGCGGGTTGTGGCCAAGCTCTGAAGTAATCTTCCTTTTCTCTCCTTTCTTTGGCAGGACAACAAGCCTTTTCACTCAAGGATTCTCCTTTTAATTAGAAAGGGGTCACAGGGACCCAATGTCCCCAGGAAACAGGAAACGCCCGGGTTTGCTTCACCCTGGCCCGTCCCTCCCGGCCGCAAATCCTGGTTGTTTTAAGTTATTTTCATGCTATGTTGAATGCTATTTTAATATTTGTATGTACTTGATTTTTAAATTGCATTTTTTGAAATGCATTTTTTAAAATGCCAAGATTTGCTTTGAGTTTTAGTCAAGAGATTAAAAAAAATAGGATATGAAGAAAATTTGAGAACACTGGCTTGTGTTAACCTGGAGGAGAAGGTATAATAATGTAATCATCATTATTTGTTGCTATAGGAGCAAAAACTCAGCTACCCTTGCTTTGCAGCAACAACAACAACAACAACAATAATAATGCACAAACTGCTACCCTTGCTTAGCAACAGCTGAAAATAATAAAATGAAATACTAATGAAATAATAATAATAATGAATAATAAAATAACAAACATTAATGAAATAATACTAATAAAAATGTGAATAATACTAATAATGAAATAATAAAATTATAAATACTAATGAAACACTAATAATGAAAATAATACTGACGAAATAATACTAATAATAATGAAACAATTATTATTATAATGAAATAAAATAATAAATATTAATGAATACTAATAATAATGAGAATAATACTAATGAAATAATACTAATAATTTAATAATAAATACTAATAAAATAATAATGAGAGTAATACTAATGAAATACTACTACTAATGAAATAATAATTATAATGAAATTAAGTAATAAATATTAACGAAAGACTAATGATGAGCAATATACTAATGAAATAATACTAATACTAATAAAGAAATAATAAAATAATAAATACTAATGAAATAATAACTATAATGAAATAAAAAATAAATATGAATGAAATAATAATAACACTAATGAAATAATACTACTATAATAATAGTAATGAAATAATACTACTAATAATAAAATAATAAAATAATAAATACGAATGAAATAATAACTAGAATGAAATAAAAAATATGAATGAAATACTAACAATAATGAGAGTAATACTAATGAAATAAAACTAATAATTATAATAATGAAGTAATAAAATAATAAATACTAATGAAATAATAAGGAGGATAATACTAATGAAATAACACCAATCATAATAGTAATAATGAAATAATAATAATAATAATAATAATAATGAAATAATAATAATAATAATAATAATAATAATAATAATAATATTCTTAGCCCTTGGAAAGAGTCCAATATTCAGAGACGAATCCCAGACACTTATACCTAATGTGCATGTGTGCTGTGCTGTTATGTACATTTAATAAATAATAGTAATAATAATAATAATAATTAATAATATAAGCCGTAATAATGAAGACGATAGTGATGTGATTTCAGGGCCTGGAGAGTGCCTTTTTTGTCCTCCCACTCCCAGAAACCTCAAGCCTTTACAAGGATGACGAAGGATATTTGACACAGAGATCACTATTATTATCAACATCATCATCATCATCATCATTGCAATGTAATTTCAGAGCTCGAAAAGTGCTGAAACCCGGAAACCCGAAGCCTTTCCCAGGCTCTGGGCCGTTTTCCAAAGGGATCCCGATCCCACGCCGCATTTCGCAATACGGGGAAAATGCACCAACCCACACCTTGAGGAACTCCTTCAAATTAGGCAAATGTCAAGTAAGGGCTGCTCGCATTTCTCCCCGCCTGTGCCTCGGGGAAGGAGGAATTGCAAAATCGGCTCTGTCCTCACAAGGAAGTGGATTTGCAGGCAGAGAGGAAGATATCCCTCGATTCAGACATTATATTCCTATGGATGCCACCTAGAATCGCACCAAACTCCTATTGAGGGAGCCCATTGGGTTATTATGTATTATTATATTTGTTTACATCCCTCTTTTGCTTTCTTAAAAGAGATCAAAAGTGGTTGAACTCAATGTATTATTATTATTATTATTATTATTATTATTATTATTATTATTATTGGTAGTAGTAGTAGTAGTAGAAAGCCAGGGGATGACCTCCAACCCAATTGACTTACGGTTCCGGCCCAAGATACCTAACTGACCGCCTCTCGGCCTATGAGCCCACGAGGACTTTGAGATCTTCCGGGGAGGCCCTGCTCTCGATCCCGCCTACGTCACAGGCACGGCTGGCGGGGACGAGAGATAGGGCCTTCTCGGTGGTGGCTCCTCAGCTGTGGAACACCCTTCCCGTAGACATCAGGCTAGCCCCCTCCCTGTTGATATTCCGCAGGAAGCTAAAGACCTGGCTGTTTAAGAAGGTATTTGAATAAAAGTGCAATGACTGGTAACTTGACCATAGGAATGGAACAACGGAAATGGTATCGGATTGTGAACTTGACGATGAGACGACTCGGAATGGCTTTGTAATAATGTTGATGTTTTTGATGAGATGTTTTGATAATGATGTACTGCGGATTATTTTTCACTATGTTTGTATTTTGCACCTGTTTTTCTATGTTATACACCGCAATGAGTCGCCATTAGGCTGAGAATTGCGTAGTAAATAAATAAATAATAATAATAAATGTCCTTCATCCTAGTTTTCCCTTTAAATGTATTATTATTGCTATTAATTCAGGAGATGACCTCAACCCAAGTGACTTCCGGATGTCCATCATCCTAGTTTTCCTTTTAATATTGGTTGTTACTGTTATTATTATTAAGCCAGGAGATGACCTCCAATCCAATTGACTTATGGATGACCTTCACCCTAGTTTTCCCTTAAAATTTATTATTATTATTGCTATTAATTCAGGAGACAACCTCAACCCAAGTGACTTATGGATGTCCATCATCCTAGTTTTCTTTTTAATATTGGTTATTATTGTTATTATTATTAAGCCAGGAGATGACCTCCAACTCAATTGACTTATGAATGTCCTTCACCCTAGTTTTCCCTTAAAATTTATTATTGCTATTGGTATTAATTCAGGAGATGACCTCAACCCAAGTGACTTATGGATGTCCATCATCCTAGCTTTCCTTTTAATATCTGTTGTTATTGTTATTATTATTAAACCAGGAGAGGACCTCCAACCAAATCGACTTACGGATGTCCTTCACCCTAGTTTTCCCTTAAAATTTATTATTATTATTGCTATTAATTCAGGAGATTACCTCAACCCAAGTGACTTATGGATGTCTCTCATCCTAGTTTTCCTTTTAATATTTGTTATTAATGTTGTTGTTATTATTATTATTAAGTCAGGAGAGGACCTCCAACCCAACTGACTTACAAATATCCTTCACCCTAGTTTTCCCTTAAAATTTATTATTGTTATTGTTATTAATTCAGGAGATGACCTCAACTGAACTGACTTATGGATGTCCATCATTCTAGTTTTCCTTTAAATATTTGTTGTCATTGTTATTAAGCCAGGAGAGGACCTCCGACCCAAGTGACTTATGCATGTCCTCCTTCCTAGTTTTCCTTAAAAATAATTACTATCATTAGTCGTAGGAGTAAGCGAGATGACTTTCAACCCAAGTGAGTTATGCATGTACTCCATCCTAGTTTTTCCTTAAAATGTATCACTATTATTATGAAGCCAGGAGATGATCTCCAACCCAAGTGGCTTCTGGATGTCCTCCATCCTAGCTTTTCCTTAAAATCTATCATTATTATTATGAAGCCAGGAGATGACCTCCAACCCAAGTGACTCTAGATGTCCATGATTCATCATCATCATCATCATCATCATCATCATCATCATCATCATGCCAAGAGATACCTCCAACCCAAGTGGCTTTTGGATGTCCTCCATCCTAGCTTTTCCTTAAAAATTATCATTATTATTATGAAGCCAGGAGATGATCTCCAACCCAAGTGACTCTAGAAGCCTATCATCCCTTTTTTCCCTAAAAGTTAACATCATCATCATCCTGCCAAGAGATGACCTCCAACCCAAGTGACTTCTGCATGTCCTCCATTCTAATTTTTCCTTAACATTGACTGTTGTTGTTGTTGTTAAGCCAAGAGATTACCTCCAACCCAAGTGACTCTAGACGTCCATCATCCCAGTTTTTCCTTGAAATTTACTATTATAATCATGCTAAGGATGACCGTCACCCCAAGTGACTCCTAGGCGGGAGCCCCTTGCCCCGTTGTTACTCCTTACCCGGTTTGCCGTCACGGCCAGGTTCTGCAGGTTCTGGAGCATCCCAATGTCAGCCGGGATGGCGGTCAGGAGGTTGTGGCTGAGGTCCAAGTAGCGCAGCTTGCGGCAGTAGAAGAGCTGGGTAGGGATCTTCTCGATCTTGTTGCGGTTCAGGTAGAGGCGCTCCAGGTTGGTGAGGTTGCCGATCTGCATGGGGATGTAGGCAATGTGGTTGTACCAGAGCTTGAGGCAGGTGAGGCGGTGGAGGTGCTGGAAGCTGATGATCTCCTCAATGGTTTTGAGGTTGTTGTCCTTGAGGTCGATCTCCTGCAGGTTGTGGAGGCTGAAGATGGAGTGCGGGATGCGCTCCAGGTCACAGCGAATGAGCTCCAGCTCTGTCAGGTTGGCCATCTTCTTCAGGCTGTTGAGCACGATCAGTTTGGTGCCTTCGTTGTTGATGGAGAGCTTCTGGAGGTGGACCCCAACGTCCGTAACCACCTGGGGCAGCTTGGTCAGGTTGCTCTTTAGCCGCAGGACCTTGAGTCGCTTCAACTCCCGCAAGCCGTCAATGACGATGTAGCGATTGTTTTCAGCGCTCAGGTTCCCCGTCAGGTGGAGCTCCTCCAGCGTCTTCAGGCTGTAGATCCACAGCGGGATCTCCTTGATGTCAGTGAACTTGATGTGCAGGGACTTGAGGTTCTCCCGCAAGAAGGCCAACGCTGGGGCCTCAATCTTGGCCGCTGTGTGGTACAGCCATAACTCTTTGAGGCTGGTCAGCTGGGCAATGCTTGGCGGGATGGTGACATCTGGGATGAGCTCCAGCTTCAAGACCTCCAGCTCAATGAGGTCAAAGACAGTGTCTGGGATGCCGCTGAGCATGAAGAGGTGCAGCTCCAGCTTGTCCTGGGAGTTCTTGGTGATCCTCTGCCGCAGCTTCTCCAGCGTCCACTCGTTGTTGAGGTTCAGCTGCCGGAGTTTGTTCTCACTCACTTCGGAGAGGAAGACGGCGAAGCGCTTGGAGTACAGAGGGTCATACTGATCGATGAGGTGGAGCATGAAGGCAAAGTCGTTCTTGACATCGGGGATGTCGCTATAGCTGCTCTCTTCTCGGATGGACTCAAAGGAGTACTTCTTGAGCGACCGCCGGAGCATCCACCAGAGAGTATACATGCAGATCAGGCCATAGAAGATCACCAAGCTGATGTAGAAGGAGGCAAGGATCTTGAAAAGGGTAGCCAAAGGGTGAGCACAGCGGTACATGCGGTAGCCGGTCAAGCTCTCGATGTCCACCTTGCAGTCAATGTCGAAGGTGATGTTGTTTACATAGTAGACAGTGTAGCAAATGATGAGGATGAACTTGATCACCTTGATGATGGTTTGCCGCATGTAGAGGCGGTAGACGATGTCCCCTTCCTCCACGTGTGTCCGGAACTTCTTGACTTTCTCGAAGAGGGCCTTGGCCTGCTCCCCTTCCTTCTTGTCCAGGACGCCATTCTCCGTCCGGTCAACGATGCCCTGCTCAATCCGGGACTTGGTCCGTTGCAACATGGGTGCCGTGGCTTCCACATCTTCGCTGACGGTGGAGGCCTTCTTGTCCATGGAGCCGTTCATCTTCCCAAAGGCCGGCTTGGGGTCGCTCTCCTCCACCACCGTCTCCGACAGAGCCCTCGTCGTCCAAGGAGAGTCAAAGCACTTCAACAGGATGGAGACAAAGTGCTCCAGTTTGGAGCTGGTCCGGGGGAATTTGAACCAGAAGTTGCTGCAGGCCAAGAAGATCAAGGTATGGAGCAGCACAAGGTAAGGGAAGTACTTGGCAAACCAGTGGAGGCGGTTCTCGTAGCAGACCGCGTCCACGTAATTGTACTGGTGCCGGTCCAGGTCATACTTGATCCCCATCGGCCCGGAGTCGGCCGAGACGGCAAGGGAGGAGTTAGAGTATCCCAGGTCCGGTTTGGCGGGCACCCAGTCGCGGGAGGAGTCGTTGCAGGCGTCTTTGGTGACCCATTTGCAGGGCAGGCAGATCATTTTGTCCTGAGTGACCTGCAGCGTCCCACCGAAGACGGCAATCATCAGCATCACGATGGAGATGTAGTCCGTGAAGACGTCCCACCAGGGCTTCAGGATGCGGTAAGCCGGCTGGGTGTCGGCGAAGTAGCGCAACTCGGTGACCGGAATCATGGCTCCCCTGGGGTCCAAAAAAGAGGAGAGACGTCAGCAGAAAACCTATCTCAAGGTTGGGGTGTATTTACCAAGATGGCGCCCACATCCAGAGAACACTGTGAACCCCACCAAGGATGGATCTGGACCAAGCTTGGCACACAGGCCCATCATGCCCAACTTTAACTACACTTTCTATTGGGGGAAATTGAGCTTGGACATTGGGAGTTGTAGTTCACACATAATCAAAGAGCACTGAAAACTCCACTGACGATGGATATGAACCACACTTGACACACAGACCCATCATGACCAACTTTAACTACACTTTCTATTTGGGGAAAATTGAGCTTGGACATTGGGAGTTGTAGTTCACACATAATCGAAGAGCACTGTGAACCCCACTGAGGATGGTTCTGGACCACACTTGGCACACAGGGCCATCATGCCCAACTTTACTGTTTCCATTTGAAAAGAACTGACCCAGGATGTTAGGGTTTGAGGGGAACTGAGCCTGGACATTGGGAATTGTAGTTCACACATAATCAAAGAGCACTGTGAACTCCACTGAGGATGGATCTGGACCAAACTTGTCACACAAACCCATCATGACCAACTTTAACTACTGCTATAGATTGGAGAAAATTAACCTAGGATGATGGGAGTGATAGTTTACCCGCATGCAGAAGAGCACTGTGAACCCCACTGAGGATGGATCTGGACTGCACTTGGCACACAAACTCATTGTGACCAACTTTAACTTCTGCTTCAGTTTGGAGAGAGTTAGCCCAGGATGATGGAAGTTATAGTTTACCCGCATGCAGAAGAGAACTGTGAACCCCACTGAGGATGGATCTGGACCAAACTTGGCACACAAACCCATCGTGACCAACTTTAACCATTGCTTCAGTTTGGGGAGAATTGACCCAGGGTCACCCAACATCCTTTCGCATTTTCTAATGGGTCCGTTCATAAAATCCAAACGCAAAGAGTGGTTATTTATAATATATAACATTGCCAATTAGCTAACCTGGGCACCAAACCTAGTTATAAACACCTTTAAGGCTACAACCATGAGGAAACCATGTTGGAAATGCTGACCAATTGACGAGAAAGGAAACATGGAAGGTGAATGTATTTTATTGTTGTTTTAAACTGCTTATTTTATGATGTTTTACACTTACACAGACTGGGCCACAGTAATGTGTGGCAGGGGATGGCTAGTATTATATAATTATGTATGTGTATATGGATTGTTGTTTGTATATGGATTGTTGTTTACATGATTTTAATATGCTGTAAGCTGCTTGGGTCCTATGTGGGAGAAAAGTGGGATATAAATAAAGATTTATTATTATTATTATTATTATTATTATTATTATTATTTGAAACACGACGAGTCCACAGGAGACACTCTGCTGGCTGTTGATATTATTATTATTATTATTATTATTATTATTATTATTATTATTATTATTTGAAACACAACAAGATGAGTCCACAGCAGACACTCTGCTGGCTGTTTATATTATTATTATTATTATTATTATTATTATTATTATTACTATTATATAATGTCAGCAAGAATAATCTCAAAGCAGAGATGGAAGCAACACATGATCCAAACCGAGAAGAACAGCTGACGAAGATCTGTGAATTATCCAAGATGGAGAGACTTGGAGAAACCTATGAGGAACTTCACCTTGAACTCCCTGTGTAGTTGTGTGCTGGTAGATCAATATGCGCATGCATGTTAATGGAGGTATTTGTTAAGAGTGTTTGCTTTTGATTTAGTTTTGGAGCAGCAGGTTTCTCCGCCAATTCTTCCTTATCATCTCAATGGGCTCCCTTTTGTTCGACATTCCGATAAAGAACACAATTGGCTCACTGTGTGGAAAGCCCATTCCCTGCAGGTTATTTCCTTCACTGGCTCAAAGCACACAATATTCGGCATTATCTCCACAAACAGGGAATAAGATGCTTTTAAAATACTGGAGAATGCCTTCTGACATCAGGCACACATTGCTGCCTCTCCTTCATTTGCTCTCAAAAAGGAAAACCTAACCGAGTAGGTTCAAATAAATTACAGATAGAAAAGCATAACTACTAGACTTTCACGCTGGTAGGGATGAAAGCGCCCCGAAAACTACAAAATTCTTCCATTTTTGAAAACACTGGTCTGACTTTCTGGCAGTCAAATGAAAAAAGACTGGAAGATAAAAAGGAAATGGGAAAAGAGCATTTTGGGTCTCAACCAAAGTGGGGCACAACTAAATCTATATAAATAAAAATGCAATGTTGGTTTGTGGGATTAACATAACTCAAAAACCACTGGGTGAATTGCCATCAAATTTGGACACAAGACACCTATCAGGCCAACGAGTGACCATCACTCATCAAAACACCGGAAAACACAGCAGAAGGGACTTTAAAAGCCAAAAAACAAAAATTACATTACAACGTTATGTGCAAAACCACACATATATAAGCAAACACACATATACACAAATATACCTGTCTGAATGTATTCTCCCCTATGAACCATCAAAAGTGTTAAGATCATCTGGAGAGGCCCTGCTCTCAGTCCCGCCATCTTCGCAGGCACGTCTGGTGGGGACGAGAGATGGGGCCTTTTCTGTGGTGACCCCCTTTTCTGTGGTGGCTATGGAATTCCCTCCCAAATGAAATTAGATCTGCCCCCTCCCTCCTGACCTTTAGGAAACTAGTGAAAACCTGGCTGTGCAACAAAGCTTTTGTGGAATGATGTCTGAGACCGTCAATCGACTAATGGTACTGATCACAATATATGGATTGGACATATGGACTGAGTTGGACACGATTTTATCCTGGCAAACGGCTTTTATGTAATTTTATGTAATTTATGTAATGTAATTGGTAACTTAATGTTGTGTACTATGTTTTAGATTTTCAGTGTTAGCATTGAATCTTTGTTGTTAGCCGGTCTGAGTCCCTCTGCAGAGGTAGAGAAGATCGCGATATAATTTTTAAAAAAATAATATATATACACACACACACAAAACACATATACACAGACTTTGCCACAGCAACATGTGGCAGGGGATGGCTAGTATTATATAAACAAAAATGTAATTTTCGTTTGTGGGATTAGCAAAACTCAAAAACCACTGGATGAACTGCCACCACATTTGGACACAATACACCTCTCAGGCCAATGAGTAGCCATCACTCATAAAAACACAGAAAAACACAGCAGAAGGGACTTAAAAAGCCAAAAAACAAAAAATACATTACAATGCATGTGCAAAACCACACATATATACGCAAACACACATATACACAAACTGGGTCACAGCAACGTGTGGCAGGGGACGGCTAGTATTATATAAACGAAAATGCAATGTTCATTTGTGGGATTAACATAACTCAAAAACCACTGGGTGAATTGCCACCAAATTTGGACACAATCCACTGATTAGGCCAACGAGTGAGCATTACTCATAAAAACACGGAAAAACACAGCAGAAAGGACTTAAAAAGCCAAAAAACAAAATTTACATCACAACGCATGTGCAAAACCACATATATACGCAAACACACATATACACAAATATATACACACATATACACACACAAAACACACATACACAGACTGGGCCACAGCAACGTGTGGCAGAGGACGGCTAGTATTATATTAACAAAAATGTAATGTTCATTTGTGGGATTAACTTAACTCAAAAACCACTGGACGAATTGCCACCAAATTTGTACACAATACACCGATCAGGCCAACGAGTAACCATCACTCATAAAAACACGGAAAAACACAGCAGAAGAGACCTAATTACATTACAACACATGTGCAAAACCACACATATATACGCAAACACACATATACACACACAAAACACATATACACAGACTGTGGCAGGGGATGGCTAGTATTATATAATTATAATTATTTCGTTTGGAAGGTTTACGCTCACCTCCTCCGTGCTGATTCTCGCGGACATCCAGCATTCTAGAACGCGGCCAGATTGTGAAATCCAGCCATTGTGACCTCCAAGCCAATACTTTCCCTCAGATCGCAAGAAAGTCAGCAAAAGGGAGAAGAGAGAAGAAAGCGATTTGGCAAGACACCTCGCGAACGCCGAACAGCTCCTTGGAAACCAATTAGGCATTCCCAGACCAAAGCAATTAGCAATGGCTCATGAGCCCTAGAAATACATTTATTCATACATGGCAACCATTGAAAGATGGCTAAGGCAATGGAAAGAAAGAGAAACCTAAAATGGAACAATACGTTGCAATTCTTCAAGAACAATGAAGAATCTACGGGAAGCTCTCTTCTGATGGAGTCCTCACATTTTACAATCTGAGGACATTCCGTCCATTGAATTGTTTTATATTCAAGTCACATCTGTAATGCGATGCAAGAGCATTCCTTCCCCATTCTCTACTCTCTTCAATGCCTTTCCCTTCAGGCTGCGACCAAACCTTTTCCTGACTTTCGAGAGCCCAGCAGCTCCTTGGAAACCAATTAGGCATTCCCAGACTGAAGCAATTAGCAATGGCTCATGAGTGTTCCCTGGAAAAACATTCACTCCCTACATGGCAATCATTGAAAGATGGCCAAGGCAATGGAAGGCAAGGGTAAACCACCTTTATAAACCACAAGTTGCAAGTCTTTAAGAACAATGAAGGATCTACAGCAGTGTTTCTCAACCTGGGGTTTGGGACCCCTGAGGGGGTCACCAGGGGTTGTCAAAGGGGTCACCAAAGACCATCAGAAAACACAGTATTTTCTGTTGGTCATGGGGTTCTGGTTGGGAAGTTTGGCCCAATTTTACTATTGGGTAGGTTCAGAATGCTCTTTGATTGTAGGTGAACTATAAATCCTAGGACTACAACTCCCAAATGTCAAGGTCTATTGTCCCCAAACTACACCAGTGTTCACATTTGAGCATATTGAGTATTCTTGCCAAGTTTGGCCCAGATCCATCATTGTTTGAGTCCACAGTGCTCTCTGGATGTAGGTGAACTACAACTCCAAAACTCAAGGTCAATGCCCACCAAACCCTTCCAGGATTTTTCTGTTGGTCATTGGAGTTCTGTGTGCCAAGTTTGGTTCAATTCAATCGTTGGTGGAATTCAGAATGATCTTTGATTGTAGGTGAACTATCAATCCCAGCAACTACAACTCCCAAATGACAAAATCAATCTCCCCCCAAACCCCACCAGTATTCAAATTTGGGCCCATTGGGTATTTGTACCAAAATTGGTCCAGTGAATGAAAATACAACTTGCATATCAGATATTTACATGACAATTCATAACCGGAGCAAAATGACAGTTATGAAGTAGCAAGGTAAATAATGTTATGGTTGGGGGTCACCACAACACGAGGAACTGTATTAAGGGGTCGCGGCATTAGGAAGGGTGAGAACCACTGATCTACAGTAAGCTCTCTTCTGATGGGAGTCCTGACATTTTACAATCTGAGGACATTCTGTCCATTGAATTGTTTTATTTTCAAGTCACAGTTGATGATCGTGCCATCACCGCTCAAGCAGGAAGCTTTGAGATGGTTGAACAGAAGCTCTCCGAACCTCTAGGTGCTTATACTGCCTATTACAGGGAAAACCAACTGATCCCTAATCCATCTAAAACACAGACATGTGCTTTTCGTCTTAAGAACAGACAAGCATCCTGAGCTCTGAGGATTATGACCTGCGAAGGAGTCCCACGGGAGCATTGCAGCACACCCAAGTACCTGGGAGTCACTCTGGACCATGCTCTGACCTACAAGAAGCACTGCCTGAACATCAAGCAAAAAGTGGGCACGAGAAACAATATCATACGAAAGCTGACTGGCACAACCTGGGGATCACAACCAGACACAGTGAAGACATCTGCCCTTGCGCTGTGCTACTCTGCTGCTGAGTATGCATGCCCAGTGTGGAAGACATCTCACCACGCTAAAACAGTGGATGTGGCTCTTAATGAGACATTCCGCATTATCACGGGGTGTCTGCGCCCTACACCACTGGAGAAACTATACTGCTTAGCCGGTATTGCAGCACCTGACATCTGCCGGGAAGTAGCAGCCGATAGTGAAAGGACCAAGGCAGGGACATCTCCAGCTCATCTCCTGTTGGGTATCAGCCAGCACGCCAACAACTTAAATCAAGAAATAGTTTTCTAAGATCTATAGAGACACTTGCTGGAACACCCCTAGCAAGTGAGAGTCCAAAAGTGGCAGGCTCAAACCCAGAACCTCAACCAATGGCTGATACCAAATGACAGACTTCCCCCTGGGCACACAGAAGACGGGGCGACCTGGAAGGCGCTGAACAGACTGCGCTCTGGCACCACGAGATGCAGAGCCAATCTTAAGAAATGGGGCCACAAAGTGGAATCCACGACATGGGAATGTGGAGAAGAGCAAACCACTGACCACCTGCTGCAATGCAACATGAGCCCTGCCACATGCACAAGGGAGGACCTCCTTGCGGCAACACCAGAGGCACTCCAAGTGGCCAGATACTGCTCAAAGGACATTTAATAAACTACCAAGTTTGCAAATTTTGTTTTTTGTTTGTTTGTATGTTTTTTAATGCAATACAACTGGTTTGGTTAGCTCCTGGCATGATAGATAGATAAATAAATAAATAAATAAATAAATAAATACAGCTGTAATGCAATGCACAAACTCTGGCCCAGCTTACTTATCCAAACATATCTCCCTCTAAGTTCAGCCTCATAGTTTAAGATCCACTGGGGAGGTCCTGCTCTCTGTCCCACCAGCCTCACAAACGCGTCTGGTGGGGATGAGGGACATGGCCTTCTCGGTGTTGACCCCCTGCTTGTGGAACTCGCTCCCCAGCGAGATTAGATTGGCGTCCTCCCTCCTTTCCTTTAGGAAAGAACTGAAATCGTGGCTGTGGAACCAGGCCTTTGGCTAGCAGACATAACGGCACTTTGGACACTGAACTGGACCAGATGATTGTTATAATAATGGAAGCGGCTATACGATGGTATGACTAATGTTATGTTCTTAATTTATTGTATATTTATGATTTTTCTATTGTTGTTCATTGTTAGAATACGGCATTGAATTGTTGCCAGTGTTAGCCGCTCCAAGTCCCCCCTCGGGGGTTGAGAAGGCGGGGTAGAAATGTTGTAAATAAATAAATACATTTATTCTCTACTCTCTTCAATTTATTTTCCTTCAGCCTCCAACCAAAACTTTCCCTGACTTTCTCTACTTTGTACATTTGAAAATACAGAGGTCACCCAACAGCTCCTCTTTGAGAGACGTCAACTCTCATCTAATGGCAATGATTCAATACTATGGGATCCTGGGATGTGTAGTTTGGTGAGGCACCAGCATCCTTTGGCAGAAGATGCTCAAGACAGCGCACAACTAGACAATTTCATAGCATGGAGCATGAGATTTGCGTCATACAGTAATGTGAGCCCTGAGCCAAAGCAAAAGGGGAAGCTGCTTGTGGAGCTCCTCTTTTGAGGGACCTCATCTTCTGTCCTTTTCCTGGTCCCAGGGTTTTGGAAATGGAGCTATGCATGAGATTCAATGGTATATGAGATTCGAGGAAATACGGTATATTACCAAGTCCGTCATCACCAGAGGAAGAGGACCGATTCGCCGCTATCTCCACTTCATCCTTCTGTGATGCAGTTCAAGAAGGTTTCGATGTGCCGGATCCTGCGCTGCTCTTTCCCCAAACGCCATGGGAGCAGCACCTGGAAATAAACACATATCAAACGTGTGGTGGAATGAGAATCATGCGTAGTCCACATTTGTCTTGCTAGAGAAAAGATATGCCACACACAAGGATATATACAGTCATGTGAACAGTTGCAGTGACTAACACAATATCCTTTGAGAGAGATTCGAATACTCCTTAAGTATCCATGTGGAAGATCTTCTTCCAGCAGCCCAGAAGCAAAAACTGTCTTGGTAAGCTAAAAACTAAATATGTAACTGTTGCCAAAATTCCCAGGCTCAGCTAGTCTCTCAATAATAGCCCACCCAATCAGTTTCGTGCTTTGTATTTTCAGTTAACACGCTCACCAACTGATTTTTACATGCCCTAAGGTCTGAATTGACCATCGGTTTCCTAAATGCTCAACTAACAAACAATACTCCAGTCTATTGTCGAAGGCTTTCATGGCTGGAATCACTAGGTTCTTGTGGGTTTTTTCGGGCTATAGAGCCATGTTCTAGAGGAATTTCTCCTGACGTTTCGCCTGCATCTATGGCAAGCATCCTCAGAGGTAGAAGTCTGTTGGAATTAGGACAATGGGTTTATATATCTGTGGAATGGCTGGGGTGGGGCAAGGAGCTCTTCCCTGCTGCAATTAGGTGTGAATGTTTAGCTGATCACCTTCATTAGCATTTGAAGGCCTGCCTGAACTCCAGTCCTTTGAATGTTTTTAGTGCAAATATTGACACCGACTTGTTCTTAAAAGGCACGTCCTTCAAGACGAAGACAACAATGATGCCTCTCTGAAGACAACAACAATGCCTCTGTATCGTCCGTAAACAAACAAAGCAAGCTTTTAAAAAAGGAAAAATCAATCCAGTCATTGATTCCCGGAAGGCCGTAAAAGGTGGCCAAGTTGTTCTTGAGCTTCTGGAACATATTGATAACTATGTTCCAGAAGGGAGTCCGAACAATCCCATCTATCCATACAATCAAACCTGGGGTTCTCCATTGAGCACAAATACCTCTGATAACACTATGTAACAACATTTAAATTATTTTCTGTTTCTGGTTTGCAAGTGATATTTCCTGTTTCATTGTGCGATCCTTACTTTGAAAGTTGTTGTTTTACTCCCGAAACTCCAGATAAAAAAGCTAATAATGATGATAATAATAGTAATAATATGCAAAATTCAATTCGTTTCTATTTGAGAAACAAATCTAAGTGCCTATGCTTTCTTCCTACACACACACACACACACACATACACAATATATATCTATATCTATATATCTATCTATCTATCAATACACACATAATATATAGATATTATGTTACATGGGATTAACATAACTGAAAAACCACTGGACGAATTGTCACCAAATTTGGACACAATACACCCAACAGTCCCAACAAATGTTCATCACCCCTAAAGCCACAAAAAACAAAAAAAAAACACACAAAAAACAGAACAGACTTAAAAACCCCAAAAATACACCATATATACATATACACATACACTCATATACATATGTGCACATATATATACACACGTGTATATATGCACAAGTACACAAATATACACACAAATATGCATATAGACAAGCACACACATACACAATATACATATACACATATAAACACAAATATACACACACATATATACATATATATACACACACACATATATGCAAACACACACACACACACACACACACACACATATATATATATATATATATATATGTATAAAATACACTATTTCTATCTCGCCCATATCAGACTAAAGGCGACTCAGGGCGTATACACATATATACACACACATATAAACACATAAATACACACACAAAACACATATATACAGGCTGGGTCACAGCAACATGTGGCAGGGGACGGCTAGTTAAATATAAAGTTGGATATAAAGTTATATAAAAGTTATATAAAATAAAGTAAAGATAAAATGCAAAGTTATATATTAAATCTAAAGTTAATATTATATTATTAAATATAAAGCCGTATATAAAGTTACAGAAAATAAAATAAAATACAATATATACAGTTAAATATAAAGTCAACAATCACATATTAAATATAATATTTAATACAGGATCATCACCGACTGAATAGGAAGTTGATAATCAGATATTAATTATAAAGTTAATGGCCGCATGTAAATATCGAGTTAATGATCATATATTAAATGTAAAAATAATATATTATTAAATATAAAGCTGTATATAAAGTTACAGAAAATAAAATAAAATACAATATATATACAGTTAAATATCAGGTTAACAATCACATATTAAATATAATATTTAATACAGGATCATCACCTATTGAATATGACGTTGATAATCAGATATTAATTGTAAAGTTAATTATCGCATATAAATATCAAGTTCATGATCATATATTAAATGTAAAGTTAATAATATATTCTTAAACATAAAGCTGTATATAAAGTTACAGGAAATAAAATATATACAGTTAAATATCAAGTTAACAATCACATATTAAATGTAATATTTAATATAGGATCATCACCTAGTGAATATGAAGTTGATAACCAGATATTAATTATAAAGTTAATAATCACATATAAATATTGAGTTCATGTAAAGTTAATAATATATTATTAAATATAAAGCTATATATAAAGTTACAGAAAAAATAAAACACTATATATACAGAAAGTCAAGAATCACATATTAAATATAATATTTAATACAGGATCATCACCTACTGAATATGAAGCTGATAATCAGATATTAGTGATTGCATATAAATATCAAGTTAATAATCATATATTGAATGGAAAGTTAATATTATTATATATAAAGCTGTATATAAAGTTACAGAAAATAAAAAATACAATATAGACAATTAAATATAAAGTCAAAAATCACATATTAAATATAATATTTAATATAGTAAGCTGATAATCAGATATTAATTATAAAATTAATGATCGCATATAAATATCGAGTTAACGATCATATATTAAATGTAAAGCTGATAATCACATATTAAATATCAAGTTAATAATCATATACCAAATATAAAGTTAATGTTGATATATTAAATGTAAAGTTAATAGTCACATATTAAATAATAATCATCATATATTACGAAATATGAAGTTTATCATAGAATTATAATTGTATGAGGAAGGGATTGCAGGGCCTTCTGTGTGGTCGAGATTCAAAGAAGGAGCGCCTGATTTCAATATGGCAACCTATACTTTCAGAGGAACACGTATGACTTCATGTATGACATGCATCAGCCCTTTCTCTTGGAATCTGTGGGGTTTTCCCCACATTATTTGCCTATTTGCAAGGTCCGGAGATATCATCTCTCAATGACAGATACTGGAGAGCTTCCCAAGAGAAGCAAAGCATCCCTTGCGCCTTGATTTGGAGGCGTCCAAACACGAAGGCGCCGTGTCCGGAAACCGCAGCTGACCCCAAATGACCCGCCGCGTCTCCAGTTCGCAAATCGCCCCATAGATATGGGAAATGCAATGATGGGGAGAGAGAGGCACAGACGTCACAATCAGGGCTGCAAAGCATCCCAGGAAAAAGTCAAGACTCGGCTGCAAAGAAATCCTAAATTGCTGGGACTTCCCTTCGCTCCCAAAATGCTCCTTTTCCTTGCCTTTCTTTTCCATTCCTTCCTTCTCTTTATCTCTCTTCCTTTCCATTCTTGCTCCCTCCATAACGGAAGGAGGGAAGAGAAGGAAAGAAAAAGTAAGAAAAGAAGGTAGGAAAGAGAGAGGGAAGGAAAGAAGAAAGATAGGAAGGAAAAAGAAAGGGAAGGAGAAAAGGAAGAAGGAAGGAAGGGAAAAGGAAGCAGGGAAAAGAGAGGGTCAGAAGAGAAGTAGGAAGGAAAGAGAGAGGGAATGAGAAAAGGAAGGAAATAGGAAGGAAAAAGAAAGGGAAGGAGAAAAGAAGGAAGGAAGGAAGGAAGGAAGGAAGGAAGGAAGGAAGGAAGGAAGGAAGGAAGGAAGGAAGGAAGGAAGGAAGGAAGGGAAAAGGAGGCAGGAAAAAGAGAGGGACAGAAGAGAATTAGGAAAGAATTGTAGGTAGGAAAGAGAGGGAAGGAGAAAAGGAAGGAAGGAAGAAGTAAGGCAAGGAGAAAATGGAGAAAGAAAGATGCAGAATGATAATAATATTATATAATAATAACATAATAATAATAATAATAATAATAATAATAATATATTATTATATAAAGGGAAGAAACATAATAATAAAAGTAATATAATAACTTAAAAGGGGTATAAACAACAATAATATAAAATAAGTAATAATATAATATTATGTTTCTGCACCTTTCTTTCTCCATTTTCTCCTATTTTTGGGCCATTTAGTAATAATATATTATTATATAAAGGGACGAAACATAATAATAATAACAGTAATATAATAATAGAAAAGGGGCATAAACAACAACAATAATATAAAATAAGTAATAATAATATAATATAATAATAGAAAAGACGGTATAAACATAATAATAGTAATTTAATAGTATAAAGGGGTATAAAATAACTAATTATAATGATAATAGAATAATATAAAAGAGTTATAAACTATAATAAAAATAACATTAATATAATATAATAATATAAATGGGTTATAAACAATAATAAAAATAATAATACAAGACAATAGTATAGAATAATAAGTAATAACAATATGATATTATAATAATATAAAAGAGGTATAAACATAATAATAAATAAAATATAGTATAATAATATATAGGGTATGAATTATAAAAAATAATATAATATAATATAAATGGGTTATAACCAAAAATAAAAATAAAAATATCATAACATAACATAAAAGGGGTATAAACATAATAATTATAATGATGATACATTATAAAAATGGGATATATCCAATAATAATAAAAATACATAATATAATATAACAATATAAAAGGGGTACAAACAATCATAATAATATAATAATATAAAAGGGATGTATACATAATAATATACCATAATATAAAAGGGGTATAATAATAACATTATATAAAAGGGGTATAAACATTATTATTATTATTATTATTATTATTATTATTATTATTATTATTATTACTATTATTATTAAGTTTATATAAAATCATACTTCGGAGGTGAATAACACCAAAGAAAATACAATGTATAATCTAACCATAATAATAATAATAATAATAATAATAATAATAATAATAATAATAATAATAATAGGGTTATAATAATAAAAACATAATATAAAGGGGTATTATTATTATTATTATATAAAATCTTACTTTGGAGGCGAATAACACCAAAGAAAACACAATGTATAATTTAAACATAATAATAATATAATAATATAAAATGATTATAATAATAATAATATCATATAAAGGGGTACAATTATTATTATTATTATTATTATTATTATTATTATTATTATTATGTTTATATCAAATCTTACTTTGGTGGTGAATAACACCAAAGAAAATACAATGTATAATCTAAACATCATAATAATAATATAATATAATAATATAAAGAGGGTATAAACATTATTATTATCATTTATATTATTATCACTACTATTATTATTATATTTATATAGAGGCAAATAACACTAAAAGTATATAATGTAAAAGCTATGCATGTAAACATTGGGAGAGAACTGAACCCAGAGCAGGTCCAGGCCATGAGGACTAGAAACTTGACAGGACTTCAAGTTCCTAGTCCTCAGTGTGGCTTTGGCCCTCCTTCCCGCTTTTAAATCAATACTAATGATTAATCAATACGAGTATTAATGCCCTGGATGGGGCTGGATGCTCTCAAGAGGCCCCCCCTGGCCTCACCTCCGTCCTTTTGGGCTTCTCGGCTCCTTTTGTTTCTCCCTCATCCCTTCATTGCACCACTGAGGCGAAGCCCCGCCCCGGAAGTGTCCTCACCCGCCGGCCAAGGCCGCCTCCTTGCCCACCTCAGCGCCCACCATGCTTGAAAAGGGCAGGGTTCGCTGTTTGGGAATGAGGGGACGCAGCGGAGGCCATTTTGAAAAAGGGCAAAAATGGAGCAAAGTGGTTAGGCGAGTCCGTCGCCATGTTTGGAAAGGGCACAATGGGAGGTTTAGTGATAGGGAGACGCAGCGGAGGCCATTTTGAAAAAGGGCAAAAATGGAGCAAAGTGGTTATGTTTGGAAAGGGTACAATGAGCGGTTTAGTGATAGGGGGACGCAGCGGAGGCCATTTTGAAAAAGGGCAAAAAAGAGAGTAGTAGGAGTGAGATTCCGCCGCCATGTTTGGAAAGGGAAAAATTGGCAGTTTAGTAAAAGGGAGACGCAGCAGAGGCCATTTTGAAAAAGGGCAAAAATGGAGCGTGGCGGTCAGGCGATTTCGCCTCCATGTTTGCAAAGGGCATGACGGGCGGTTTAGTGATAGGGGACGCAGCGGAGGCCATTTTGAAAAAGGGCAAAAAATGGAGCGTGGTGGATAGGCGATTCAGCCGCCATGTTTGGAAAGGGCACAATGGGCACATTTGTAATAGGGAGTAGCAGTGGAGGCCATTTTGAAAAAGGGCAAAAAAAGAAAGTACTGAGAGTGAGATTCCGCCGCCATGTTTGGAAAGGGAAAAACGGGCAGTTTAGTGATAGGGGGACGCAGCGGAGGCCATTTTGAAAAAGGGCAAAAAATGGAGCGTGATGGTCAGGCGATTACGCTGCCATGTTTGGAAAGGGCACAATGGGGACATTTATAATAGGGAGACGCAGCGGAGTCCATTTTGAAGAAGGGCAAAAGTAGACAGGGTGAGAGGGAACACTCCGTCGCCATGTTTGGAAAGGGCACAATGGGCACCTATGTAATAGGGCGACGCAGCCGAGGCCATCTTGAAAAAGGGCAAAAATGGCTGTATGAGAATTAAATGACGTTGCCGCCATGTTTTGAAAGGGCAAAATGGGCCATTTAGTAATCGCGTGATGCAGCGGAGGCCATTTTGAGGAAGGGTAAGAATTGAGAGATTGAGATGGCGAATTCGCCGCCATGTTTGGAAAGGGCACAACGGATGTTTAGTAATGAAGTGAAGCACCGGTGGCCATTTAGAAGAAGGGCAAAACTAGACTAGTAATAAATTGAGGCAGCAGAGATTACGTATCTTGTTTAAGGGATTTGATGGCTATTTCGCCGCCATGTTAGGGAAGGGCAAGGGTTGACCATTTACCGATAAGAAGCAACAGACGCCATTTTGAAAAAGGGCAAAAAATTGTTAGACTTAAACAATGCCGGCGCCATGTTTTAAAAGGGCAGACTAGACAGTGGGCGGTTTAGTACAGTGGCGGGAAGCGGCGGCGGCCATTTTGACAAAGGGCACGGGTGGGAGGAAGAAAATGAAGCGGCGGCCATCTTTGTTGTGGTAAAGTAAACCCTAATTTCGCCATATTGAAAAAGGGCACTTCTTTTTTTCCTTTTTAAAGGGACAGTTGCCAATTGTCGAGTGTTACAAAACTGAAATCTAAAAAAAAATAGGAAAGTAGAGACCATTTCCGGTTATATAAGCCACGGTTGTGCATTCATCCAACATGCTAAACTCCTTGGGAATATTTGTATATATATATAAAAGAAAAGAAACTAAAGCAATGCAAGGGGTCCGACTAGATGATCTTTGGGAGTCCCTCCCATTTGGATTTAAAAGGGACACAGAAGGGGTCGCCTTGCATAATGACATGCTAATCTATGCAAATCGTGCCAGATGTGCATATATGTAAAAATCATTCTGGGTGATTTTTACATATATATTCAAATCATGCTATGTGATTTTTTTTTGCATAGATATGCAAATCATGCTGGGTGATTTTGCATAGATATAAAAATCTGTGTACATATGCAAATCTATGTATAAACATGCTAATCTACGCAAAGTCATGCCAGATCTTTTGCATATATATGCAAATCATGCTGGGTCATTTTTGCATATATATGTAAATCATTCTGGATGATTTTTGCATATATATGCAAATTATGCTGGGTGATTTTGCATAGATATAAAAATATGTGTAGATATGCAAACCTATGTATAAACATGCTAATTATGCAAATTCGTGCCAGATCTTTTGCATATATATGCAAATAATGCTGGGTGATTTTTGCATATAAATGCGAATAATGCTGGGTGATTTTTGCATATATATGCAAATCATACTGGGTGATTTTTTGCATAGATATGCAAATCATGCTGAGTGATTTTTGCATAGATATGGAAATCATGCTGGGTGATTTTTTTGCATATATGCAAAGCATGCTGGGTGGTTTTTGCATAGATATGCAAATAATTCTGGGTGATTTTTTGCATAGATATTCAAATCATGCTGGGTGGTTTTTTGCATATATATGCAAATCATGCTGGGTGATTTTTTGCATAGATATTCAAATCATACTGGGTGATTTTTTTGCATATATATGCAAATCATGCTGGGTCATTTTTGCATAGATATGCAAATCATTCTGGGTGATTTTTGCATAGATATGCAAATCATGCTGCGTGATTTTGCATAGATATGCAAATCATTCTGGGTGATTTTTGCATAGATATGCAAATCATGCTGGGTGATTTTTGCATAGATATGCAAATCATGCTGGGTGATTTTTTTTCATAGATGTGCAAATCATGCTGGGTGCTTTTGCATAGATATAAAAATCTGTGTAGATATGCAAATCTAGGTATAAACATCTAATCTACACATAGATATGCAAATACATGCATAGATATGCAAATCATGCTGGGTAATTTTGCAAAGATATAAAATCTATGGGTAGCTATGCAAATCTATGTTATAAATATGCTAACCTATGCAGATCTATGCATAGATATGCAGATCTAGGCCTGGGACTGCAACTCTGCCCTGCTGTGATTTTTGGCCCTCCTTGCTGGGCGGTGGCTCCTCCCTCCAAAGCACTTCCGAAGTTCAGCAGATCCAGAGGGATCCTTCCGGGTAAGTGGATCTCTTTGCTCTTTCTCCTTGAAGTCCTTGGACTCCAAATTGGGCCTCTTCCCCTTTAAGGGCAAAGCCCACCACTCTCCCCCTCCCTCCCTTGGCAAAGCCCAGGCTTCCAAAGCATTGCACTTCTGCAAGATGGATAGAGAGAGACACTGGCAGATCATATATTACAGATATTATATTATATTCAATGTATAAGTATTCCCTTTTAACTGCAATGTCTCTCCAAAGGCAAAGGGACAGCCTGGGAGGTGTGGTTTCCCCAAGGGTCTTGCAGCCTACAAATCCCAAGCAGGCAATCTATCTATTACACTATATATATATATATATATATATATATATATATATATATATATATATATATACACACACACACATACATACATACACACACACACACATACATACATACATAGTATACATATATACTATATAAGTAATTGTAATTATATAATAATTATAATACTATATAACATATATGTAATATAATAATATGTTGTATTATATTATATAATAATAAGTATATATAATATTAATTATATTATTACTATACAATAATATAATATTAATTATATCATTAATCTATATAATAATATAATAATCAAATATTATATATATTATACAGATATACATATATCCTTACATCTATATAGTATGCCTATATACTATATATGTAATTGTAGTCATATAATTATAATAATATAATACTATCTAAAATATATGTAATATAATAATAATAAATATATATAATATTTATTATATTATTATATACAGATATCCATACATCTATATAGTATGCATATATACTATATATTTAATTGTAATTATATAATTATAATAATAATATACTATCTAAAATATATGTAATATAATAATAAAAAATATATAATATTAATTATATTATTACTATATAATAATATAACATTAATTATATAATTAATCTATATAATAATATAATAATCAAATATTATATGTGTGTGTATACACACACACACACACACAATTGGGCATCCCTGGGTTCCTTTCTCTCTCCATTGGTGTGGAATTTTCATGGATCCCCCACCTCTCCCGTTACCATTTCCTACCCTTTGTTATGGAACACTGTAAACACAGAGCAATTGAATAGTAACTGAACAGATTTGAGGGGTTTGGGAAGGACTGAGGCCAACTGGAAATACAGGCAGGATTTGCCCTTGGCATATGGGAGTTGTAGTTCACCGTTATTCAGAAAGCATTGAACCTAGCCGATATCGGATCTGGACCAAACTTGGCACATAGATCCAACATGGCCAACTGCACATACAGGCAGGGTTTGGCTTATGGGAGCTGTAGTTCACTGTTCACCAAAGAGCACTGAACCCACCCAACAAATAACTAGCCGACAAATGCCCTTTTCAAATAACCCAGGCATCCTAGTAATATAATATAATATAGATATAGATATGACCTTTACCTGCTAGGTCTCTCAGTGTGATGGGAGCCTGGGAGGTGTAGTTTCCCAAGGGCCTCTGGGCCTGTTTTGCCTAAAAGAGTGCAGATAAAGCAGCACCGAACCGCATTGCTTCTGCAGCATAGATGCATCCTCAAACTACAAATCCCAGGTGAACGCCCAAAGTGCTGGATGGATCTTGCTGCCATAAACCTGTTTTTCTCCATTCTTCAGGATGGCTTTGCCATGACATGCTCCGGCTTTCGGCATCGGGTTCGAGGCTCCTGAAAGCACACACTCATTTCAGGTCCAAGGTACGGCCATTGGAGCGAAACCACGGGGTTGGGCTAGATGACCTCTCGAGATCCCGTTCCTGTTCTGTTGGATTGCTGGAATTGCTTTGGCATCCCCTTGAGGTTCCAAAAGTCGAGGATTAACGGCCCTCTATCGGGAGAGTTTGGATTGTGCCTGGATGTGGGACTAGCTGACCTTTGGGAGCCCCTTCCCATTTAGAGCAGCTTCATTTCCCCAACCGTTATATTTTGCTTTCTCTCTCTCTGTTTTGCAGGCCAAAATGTCAACAAAGAGACTTCCTGCTCGGAGGCTGGAAGGCACCGATGCCAATATCTGGTATGTATTAATGATGATGATGATGATGATGATGATGTTTATTTATATCCCGCTTTATTCTCTCCATACAGAGACTCAAAGTGGTTGTTGTATGTCAGCCTGTGATTGTGTCTGATGCTCAGGATGAGAATGGGGTTCATGTTCCTGATGGTGGGAACGGGGATGAGGGTTTGCCTGGGCCTAAAATAAGGTCTCTCAGGAAGATTCACAAGGCCACATTCCTGGGAGGGGCCCTTCGCAATCTTTCTCAGAGCAACTTCCTGAAGATGATTTGTCTGGTGCCGAAGTTGATGTTTATCTGGTGGTAAGGTTCAAAACAAATGCTCTCCTTTCGGTTTTGGGATCTGGAAAAGCCTTATATTGATTCATGGGAGTCGCCTCAGTTGGGTCAACGTTGGAATCTCATGACAGTCTTGGGTGGGATGCTTCCTTACGGATGCTTCCTTCACAGTCATTCTCAGAGCAACTTCCTGAAGATGATTTGTCAGGTGCAGAAGTTGGTGCGAGTCAAGTTAATGAGTGTGTAGATAGAAGGCAAGGCTTTTGTAAACAATGATAGAGTACTCAGGCCAAAGAAGATCAGTTCGTTTACAGGAAAAGAGAGATAACAAACCTTTATCTGGTGGTAAGGTTCAAAAGAAATGCTTTCCTTTCAGTTTTGGGGTCCGGAAAAGCCTTATATTGATTCATGGGAGTCGCCTCAGTTGGGTCAACGTTGGAATCTCATGACAGTCTTGGGTGGGATGCTTCCTTACGGATGCTTCCTTCACAGTCATTCTCAGACCAACTTCCTGAAGATGATTTGTCTGGTGCAGAAGTTGATGCGAATCAAGTTAATGAGTGTGTAGAGAGAAGGCAAGGCTTTTGTAAACAGTGATAGAGTACTCAGGCCAAAGAAGATCAGTTCCTTTACAAGAAAAGAGAAATAACAAACCTTTATCTGGTGGTAAGGTTCAAAAGAAATGCTCGCCTTTCGGTTTTGGGGTCCGGAAAAGCCTTATATTGATTCATGGGTGTCGCCTCAGTTGGGTCAATGTTGGAATCTCATGACGGTCTTGGGTGGGATGCTTCCTTACAGCTTACAGTGTCTGATGTTCCTGATGGTGGGCCTGGGTCTGTTGGCAATGGGGATGAGGGTTTGCCTGGGCCTGAGATACGGTGTCTCAGGAAGATTCACAAGGCCACATTCCTGGGAGGGGCCCTTCGCAGTCTTTCTCAGAGCAACTTCCTGAAGATGATTTGTCAGGTGCAGAAGTTGATGAGAGTCAAGTTAATGAGAGTGTAGAGAGAAGGCAAAGCTTTTGTAAAGAGTGATAGAGTGTACAGGCCAAAGAAGATCATTTCGTTTACAGGAAAAGAGATAACAAACGTTTATCTGGTGGTAAGGTTCAAAGGAAATGCTCTCCTTTCTGTTTTGGGATCTGGAAAAGCCTTTTATTGATTCATGGGAGTCGCCTCAGTTGGGTCAACGTTGGTATTTCATGACGGACTTGGGTGGGATGCTTCCTTACAGTATGGAAAATGGTACGGTATATACAGAACTCAACAGGTGACATACAACGAGATCAAATCTCCTAGTGATCCAGAAGAGAGACCATGGGATTGAACTAGGAATTTTTTAATACTGTTTTCATGTTCGTATATGTTGTACGTCAGCCTGTTCAGCCTGTGACTGTGTCTGATGTTAATGATGGGAATGATGTTCCTGATGGTGGGCCTGAGTCTGTTGGCAATGGGGATGAGGGTTTGCCTGGGCCTGAGATAAGGTATCTCAGGAAGATTAACAAGGCCACATTCCTGGGAGGGGCCCTTCACAGTGTTTCTCAGAGCAACTGCCTGAAGATTATTTGTCAGGTGCAAAAGTTGATGAGAGTCAAGTTAATGAGAGTGTAGACAGAAGGCAAGGCTTTTGTAAACAGAGACAGAGTGCTCAGGCACAAATAAGATCAGTTCATTTACAGGAAAAGAGAGATAACAAACCTTTATCTGATGGTAAGGTTCAAAAGAAATGCTTTCCTTTATGTTTGGGGATCTGGAAAAGCCTTATATTGATTCATGTGAGTCGCCTCAGTTGGGTCAACGTTGGAATTTCATGACGGTCTTGGGTGGGATGCTTCCTTATGGTATGGAAAACGGTACGGTAAATACAGAACTCAGCAGGTGACATACAATGACATCCAATCTCCTGGTGATTCAGAAGAGAGACCATGGGATCGAACCAGGAATTTTTAACTATTTGTATATGTTGTATGTCAGCCTGTTCAGCCTGTGACTGTGTCTGATGTTCATGATGGGAATGAGGATGATGTTCCTGATGGTGGGCCTGGGTCTGGTGGCAATGGGGATGAGGTTTACCTGGGCTTGAGTTAAGCTCAGACGAGAGGCCCGAGCTGTATCAGGAAGGTTAATAAGGCCACATTCCTGGGAGAGGCCCTTCACAGTCTTTCTCAGAGCAACTTCCTGAAGATGATTTGTCAGGTGCAGAAGTTGAGAAAAGTCAAGTTAATGAGTGTGTAGATAGAAGGCAAGGCTTTTGTAAACAGAGACAGAGTGCTCAGGCACAAATAAGATCAGTTCGTTTACAGGAAAAGAGAGATAAGAAACCTTTATTTGGTGGTAAGGTTCAAAAGAAATGCTCTCCTTTCGGTTTTGGGATCTGGAAAAGCCTTATATTGATTAATGGGAGTCGCCTCAGTTGGGTCAACGTTGGAATTTCATGATGGTCTTGGGTGGGATGCTTCCTTATGGCATGGAAAATGGTACGGTAAATACAGAACTCAACAGGTGACATACAACGAGATCCAATCTCCTAGTGATTCGGAAGATAGACCATGGGATCGAACTAGGAATTTTTTAATACTTTTTTAATATTCGTATACGTTGTATGCCAGCCTCTTCAGCCTGTGACTGAAGAGGCTGTCTGATGTTCATGATGGGAATGATGTTCCTGATGGCGGGCCTGGGTCTGTTGGCAATGGGGAAGAGGGTTTGCCTGGGCCTGAGAAAAGGTGTCTCAGGAAGATTCACAAGGCCACATTCCTGGGAGAGGCCCTTCACAGTCTTTCTCACAGCAACTTCCTGAAGATGATTTGTCAGGTGCAGAAGTTGTTGAGAGTCAAGTTAATGAGTGTGTAGATAGAAGGCAAGGCTTTTGCAAACAGTGATAGAGTACTCAGGCCAAAGAAGATCAGTTCCTTTACAGGAAAAGAGAGATAACAAACCTTTATCTGGTGGTAAGGTTCAAAAGAACCTTTCGGTTTTGGGATCCGGAAAAGCCTTATATTGATTCATGGGAGTCGCCTCAGTTGGGTCAACGTTGGAATCTCATGACAGTCTTGGGTGGGATGCTTCCTTATGGTATGGAAAATGGTACGGTATATACAGAACTCAATAGGTGACATACAACGAGATCCAGTCTCCTAGTGATTCGGAAGAGAGACTGTGGGATCGAACTAGGAATTTTTTAATACTGTTTTAGTATTCGTATATGTTGTATGTCAGCCTGTTCAGCCTGTGACTGTGTCTGATGTTCATGATGGGAGTGATGTTCCTGATGGTGGGCCTGGGTCTGTTGGCAATGGGGTTGAGGGTTTGCCTGAGCCTGAGATAAGGTCTCTGAGGAAGACTCACAAAGCCACATTCCTGGGAGAGGCCTTTCACAGTCTTCCTCAGAGCAACTTCCTGAAGATGATTTTTCAGGTGCAGAAGTTGATGAAAGTCAAGTTATTGAGTATAGATAGAAAGCAAGACTTTTCTAAATAGTGACAGAGTGCTCAGGCACAAATAAGATTGGTTTGTTTACAGGTAAAGAGAAATAACAAACCTTTGTCTGGTGGTAAAGTCAAAAGAAATGCTCTCCTTTCAGTTTTAGGATCTGGAAAAGCCTTATATTGATTCAACGGAAAGAGTTGCCTCAGTTGGGTCAACGTTGGAATTTCATGATGATCTTGCTTTCAAGAGCTCTTAGTTTCATGTATCAAGTTTTTGCCAAGCTCCTGATTTGTGTATTGGATTTCTCATTCTGCCTTGTTTCATGGATTCTTGTGCCTGTTCCATGGATTTCCATACCTATGGATCTTGTTTTGCCTTGAAGCTCATGGACTAACTAACCTTTGTTTTGGGAACTTTACTGTTTTTGCTAATTTTGCTGATTTTTATGTGGAAAAGAAGTGAATCGTTTCTCTGGTTCTTGGCACTGTTTGACCAGGGAATTAATGCCGTTACGCATTTGGATTAAAAAGTAACTTGTTTGCTGTCTGTTAGTCTCCTTGCATGAGGAGAGAAGGGACCCAAGTCTAAACACAGAATTCATTAGTGATTAATCGCAATTCCAAACAAAAGGAATATGCAACTTTAGCCTCCAGCTATGATAATAATCAGGTTTCAGGGGGAATCATTTCAACTCAATGGTATTTATATTTGATTGATTGATTGATCAACAGCCACTTCTGTTAGTCTAGTGTCAATATTCACAACAAATAACCAAAACGAATCATGAAACAATTCACAAAATTATTCACAAAAATTATTCGCAAAATAGATTCACAAACCTATTCACAAAAATATTCGGAAAACATATTCACAATATTATTAGCAAATAAATTCACAAAAATGTGTATGATATTGTTTGCAGGAAAATATTCACAAAAATAATGTCAAAAATATTTGCAAAAATATTTGCAAAAAATAATAAAGTCTTTATTTTTATTATTATTATTATCACCCAAAGAGGAAGATAACAATTATTATTATTATTATTATTATTATTATTATTATTATTATTATTTATTTTACATGTATATAACAACACAACACACATGCACATGAGGTCCAAGTGTCTGGGATTTGCCTATTATTAACGACATATAAATCCTAATTTTACGTCTTCTTTCTCTCCCTCTTTAGGGTGAAGTTTGTGTCCCTGACGGCCGCTCACAAAGCGGTGAACCTGGGCCAAGGCTTCCCGAATTTTCCGCCTCCGGATTTCATGAAAGAAGCCTTTGCGGAGGCCGTTTCCGGGCAAGACCCCCTCATCCACCAATACACCCGAGCCTTCGTACGTCGCAATTTTTTTTTATATGTTTATTTTATTATTATTGACGTACACCAGAGCAGAAACACCTCTGACCTTAAACACTACACCAGCTTGGTAAAATCATCAACCGTATATGTAGACAAAGCAGGTAATATATGTTGGCAAAGCAGTAAAAAATAGCGAAACAGTAAAAGTCCAAAATCCAAATTAATCCATAAGCTTCTAAGGGAAACAAGATCCATGAGTACATAGAAATTAATGAAATAAGGCACCTGAAACCATGAAACAAAACAGCAGGAAAATCCCATTGGCAAAACTCAGGCTTGGCAAAAAGGCGATAGTAGTAGTAGTAGTAATAATAATAATAATAATAATAATAATAATAATAATAATAATAATGTGTATTACCTGCCTCTCGGGGCGATAGTAGTAGTAGTAACAACAACAACAACATGTAGTATTTGCCTCCCAGGACGATAGTTGTACTTACTTACTTACTTAGACAATCCCTCGTCGTCCGAGGATGATGGACGATTGTAGTAGTAGTAATAACAATAGCAATAATATGTATTACCTGCCTCTCAGGATAATAGTAGTAGTAGTAATAATAATATGTATTACCTGCCTCTCAGGGCGATAGTAGTAGTAGTAACAACAACAACAACAATATGTAGTACCTGCCTCCCAAGACAATAGTAGTAGTAGTAATAACAACAACAGTAATATATATTACCTGCCTCTCAGGATGAAAGTAGTAGTAATACTAATAATAATGTGTATTACCTGCTTCTTGGGGCGATAGTAGTAATAATAATAATACATATTACCTGCCTCTCAGAGCGATAGTAGTAGTAGTAGTAACAACAACAACAACAACAACAATAATATGTAGTACCTGCCTCCCAAGACAACAGTAGTAGTAGTAGTAGTAATAATAATAACAACAACAATAATATGTATTACCTGCCTCCCGGGGCAATAGTAGTAGTAGTAGTAGTAATACTAATAATAATATGTATTACCTGCCTCTCAAGGTAATAGTAGTAGTAGTAGTAGTAGTAATAATAATACGTATGACCTGCCTCTTGGAATGATAGTAGTAGTAGTAGTAATAATAATAACAACAACAGCAACAACAACAACATGTGGTACTTGCCTCTCGGTGAGACAGTGGTAGTAGTAGTAAGAATAATAATAACAATAATGTGTATTACCTGCCTCTCGGGGTGACAGTAGTAGTAGTACTAACAACAACAACAACAACATGTAGTACCTGCCTCTCGGGATAACAGTAGTAGTAATACTAATAATAATGTGTATGACCTGCCTCTTGGGGCGATAGCAGTAGTAGTAATCCTAATAAAAATAATATGTCCTACCTGGCTCTCAGACCAAGCTCTGAACTGCATTAGAGGGTGAGTGCGGATACCTTCTTCCACCTGTTGCAGGGCCATCCACGGCTGGTGTCTGTCTTGGCCCGCCTCTTTGGGAAACTTCTTGGCCGGGACCTCGACCCCATGAAGAACGTCTTGGTGACGGTCGGCGCTTACCAGTCCCTCTTCTCCTGCTTCCAGGCCCTGGTGGACGAGGGAGACGAGGTAAGCGGTAGGAAGGGGCCCCCAAAGGTCATCTAGCCCAGCTTGTTCTTGCTGCCATAACCACATCATGTCACTCCTGGTGCATATACAACTCCATTCTTTGCCCAGAAAGGATATAATATAATGTAACTTTGCAACTTTGTTTTTGTAGGTTATCATCATCGAGCCCTTCTTCGATTGCTATGAGCCAATGGTCAAAATGGCCGGCGGGACACCCGTCTTCATCCCTCTCCGACTGGTAAGCGATTGGACATTTTGCATTTATATTATATGCAATGCAACCATTATGTGATGCAACAGGGAAAAAAGCCAATATGGTCACTTGCACCCCAAAGAGTTACCTTACCCTTTTCCAGGTCTGGTAAGCGGTTGGATGTTATGCATTTATATTATATGCAACGCGACCATTATGTGATGCACAAGGGAAAAAAGGCCAATACGATCCTGGTTTTGAGAACCCGGGATAAGAAAAGGGAATATAATTAAACGACACTTGCACCCCAAAGGGTTCCTTTTCCCTTTTCAGAGGCTGGTAAACTGTTGGGCATTTTTCATGTATTATGCAATGCGACCATTATGTGATACAGCAGAGGGGGAAAGGCCAAAATAACCCTAGTTTTGAGAAATAGCAGAAGGAAAAGGGAATATAATGAAGCAACACTTGACCTCCAAAGGGTTATGTTACCCTTTTCAGGGATTGGTAAGCACATAGGATGTTTTGCATTTATATTATATGCAATGCGACCATTATGTGAGACAGCAGGGGGGCAAAGGCCAAAACAATCCTAGTTTTGAGAAATAGGGAAAGGAAAGGGAATATAATGAAACAACACTTGGCACTACAAAGGGTTACATTACCCTTTTCAGGGACTGGTAAGCGCATAGGATGCTTTGCATTTATATTATATGCAATGCGACCATTATGTGATGCAGCAGGAAAAAAGACCAATATAATCCTGGTTTTGAGAAATAGGGGAAACAACATTTGCATCGCAAAGTATCCCCTTACCCTTTTCAGAGACAGGTAAACTGTTGGACATTTTGCATGTATGTTATATGCAATGCGACCATTATGTGATGAAACAGAAAAAAAAGCCAAAACAATCCTAGTTTTTAGTAATAGTGGAAGGAAAAGCGAATATAATGAAACAACACTTGCACTTCAAAGGGGAATGTTACCCTTTTCAGGGACTGGTAAGCGGTTGGATGTTTTGCATGTATGTTAAATGCAATGCGACCATTATGTGATGCAGCAGAAAAAAAGGCCAAAACAATCCTAGTTTTGGGAAATAGGGGAAGGAAAATGGAATATAATGAAGCAACACTTGCACTCCAAAGGGTTATCTTACCCTTTTCGGGGACTGGTAAATGGTTGGATGTTTTGCATGTATGTTAAATGCAATGCGACCATTATGTGATGCAGCAGGGAAAAAGACCAATATAATCCTGGTTTTGAGAAATAGAGAAAGGAAAGGGAGTATAACTAAACAACACCCAAAGGGTTAGCTTACCATTTTAAGGGACATATTTTTCTTATATGCGACGCAACCATTATGTGATGCGGCAGGCAACAAAGCCAATACGATCTTAGTTTTGAGAAATAAGGGTGGGRAAWGGGAATAYAACTAAAMAATACTTGCACCCCAAAGGGTTACCTTACCATTTTCAGGGACGTATAAGCGGGCAGGACATTTTGAATTTATCTTATATGCGACGCGACCATTATGTGATACAGCAGGCAAAAAAGCCAAATTATCTTAGTTTTGAGAAATAAGGGTGGGGAAAGGGAATATAACTAAACAATACTTGCACTCCAAAGGGTTACCTTACTCTTCTTAAGGACTGGTAAGCGGTTGGGTGTTTTGCATGTATGTTATATGTAATGCGACCATTATGTGATGCGCATGAACAAAGGCAAATACAATCCTAGTTTTAAGAAATAGTGGGGAGGGGGGAGAGAATATAAAATTGTAATTTTGACAGTGCTTCCCTCGTCTTCTTTTCCAGAAATCCACAGAAAGCGGAAAGCTGATCTCAAGCAAAGACTGGCAACTTGATCCAGCGGAGTTGGAGTCCAAATTCACCCTGCGGACGAAAGCCATCATCCTCAATTCTCCCAATAACCCCCTGGGCAAGGTAGCCATGTTTTTTTGGTCTGAAGGTCAGCCAAAGCTGTGACGTGGCAGTGAAAAAGGCCAACGTGATACAGTGCGCTAATGCAAGCACAAACACAGCCCTTTCCCAACCGGCAGAGAGAGAGAGATCCTCATGCATTTTTTGGGTCTTATTTTGGGGTGACAGGTGTTTAGCCGGGAAGAACTGCAGCTCGTTGCAGACCTGTGTGCAAAACACGATGTCCTGTGCTTCAGTGACGAGGTCTACGAGTGGCTGGTCTATGATGGGAACCAACACGTCCGGATTGGTGAGCAGAAACACGGGTTGGGAAACACTTCCTCCCGTTTTCAACGCACTTCACAATAGCGAAATCCATCTGACAGCAAATATTACTATCTGGAAGGACTTAAAATGAGTCCCTATATTGGGAGAAAATTGTATATGATACTACTAGCCGTTGCTTGCCACGTGTTGCTGTGGCCTAGTTTATATATATGTTCTTTGTGTGTATATATGTGTGTGTTTGCATGTATATATGTGGTTTTGCACATGTGTTGTAATTTTTTTTGGCTTTTTAATTATTTTCTGCTATGTTTTTCAGTATTTTTATGAGTTATGGTCACTCGTTGGCCCGATAAGTGTCTTGTGTCCAAATTTGGTGTCAATTCCCCCAGTGGTTTTTGAGTTCTGTCAATCCCACAAACGAACATGACATTTTTATTTATATAGATATTAGGAGAACTTAGAATGAGCCCCTATATTGGAAAAAAGTTCTGTATTTAAATAATAATAATAATAATAATAATAATAATAATAATAATAATAATATATAATATAATAAAAATATAATAATTCTCGTAATGTATAATAAGATATAATTTAAATAATAATAATAAATATATAATAAAATAAAAATAATAATTCTCATAAGGTATGGTAAGAAATAATAATATAATTTTAAAAATAATAATATAAAATAAAATAAAATAAAAATATTATAATTCTCATAATGTATAATAAGATATAATAATGTATTGTCGAAGGCTTTCATGGCCGGAATAGAATCATTTAAAAATAATATAAAATAATAATATATAAAAATATAATAATTCTCATAATGTATAATAAGATATATTAATATCATTTAAATTATAATAATATAAAATATAATAAAATAAAAATAGAATAATTCTCATAATGTATAAGATATAATATAATTTAAATAATAATAATAAAACAATAATATAAAATAAAAATATAATAATTCTCATAAGATATAATATAATTTAAATAATAATAATAATAAATATATAATAAAATAATAATAAAAAGAATATATAATAAAATAAAAATATAATAATTCTCATAGTGTATAACATATAATAATATTAATAATAATGTAAAATATAATATAATAAAATAAAAATATAATAGTTCTCATAATGCATAAGATATATAATTTAAATAATAATAATAAAAATTAATAATATATAATAAAATAAAAATATAATTCGTATAATGTATAATAAGATATAATAATATAAATAATAATAATAACAATATAATATAAAATATAATAAAATAAAAAATAAGATATCATAATATAATTTAAATAATAATAAAAAATAAAATAAAAATATAATAATTCTCATAATGTATAAGATATAATAACATAATTTAAATAATAATAATAAAATATAATAATTCTCATAATGTATAAGATATAATATAATTTAAATAATAATGTAAAATAATAATATATAATAAAATAAAAACATAATAATTCTAATGAGATATATAATAAATTAAGATAAAAATATAATAATTCTAATAATTTATAATAAAATATAATCATAAAATAGTAGTAATAATATATAAGATTCCTCTCACTTTCGGTGGTCTCAGCCTCATTTGTACATTCGGGACTGCCTGTGTGTGTGTATATAAATATAATCATAATTTAAATAATAATATTATTTATTTATATTAAATAAATAATATAATAATACGATTCTTATAATACATAATAAAATATTCTACTCACTTTCTGTTGTCTCAGCTCTATTCTTAACTCTGAATCCTTTGTCAGCCGGATGTTTATAACTCAGGGACCGCTTGTATATCCTTCTCAGGGTATTAAAAAAATAATCCTTACCATTCTTATCATCATACATTTTTCTCTCTATGTTTCTGCTAATTCCTCTTGTGTTTATCTCCTTTGCATTTTCTCTTTTGATGTCCGTTTTTTCCTTCTTTCTTTCTTTCTTTCCGCAGCCAGCTTGCCGGGGATGTGGGAGCGGACCTTGACCGTCGGGAGCGCTGGGAAGACCTTCAGCGCCACGGGATGGAAGGCGAGTGGGGCCAAAACTGGGGCGAAACCCATTAATTTGTACAGCTATAGTTTAAGATTAGGGAGGAATGCTTCCTTACGGTATGGAAAACAGTATGGTAAATACAGAACTCAACAGAGATGCAACCTCCTACTGATTCAGAAGATTGAACTGGGCATTTTTAAATACTGTTTTCATGTTCGTATATGTTGTAAGTCAGTCTGTCCAGCCTGTGATTGTGTCTGATGTTCAGGATGGGAATGGGGATGATGTTCCTGATGGTGGGCCTGGGTCTGTTGGCAATGGGGATGAGGGTTTGCCTGGGCTTGAGTTAAGCTGTCTCAGGAAGATTCACAAGGCCACATTCCTGGGAGAAGCCTTCACAGTCTTTCTCAGAGCAATTGCCGGAAGATGATTTGTTAGGTGCAGAAGTTAATGAGAGTGTAGATAGGAGGCAAGGCTTTTGTAAAGAGAGACAGAGTGTGTTGTTGTAGGTTTTTTCAGGCCATGGTCTAGAGGCATTCTCTCCTGACGTTTCACCTGCATCTATGACAAGCATCCTCAGAGGTAGTGAGGTCTATTGGAACTAGGAAAAAGGGTTTATATATCTGTGGAATGACCAGGGTGGGACAAAGGACTCTTGTCTGCTGGAGCTAGGTGGGAATGTTTCAACTGACCACCTTGATTAGCATATAATGATTTGACAGAGCCTGGAGCAAACTTTTGTTGAGAGGTGATTAGAAGTCCTTGTTTATTTCCTCTCTGTTGTTGTGCTGTTGTAATTTTAGAGTTTTTTAATACTGGTAGCCAGATTTTGTTCATTTTCATGGTTTCCTCCTTTCTGTTAAAATTGTCCACATGCTTCTTGTGTATTTCAATGGCTTCTCTGTGTAGTCTGATATGGTGGTTGTGAGAGTGGTCCAGCACTTCCAGAGTGTCCAGGCACAAATAAGATTGGTTTGTTTACAGGAAAAGAGAGATAACAACCTTTATCTGGTGGTAAGGTCAAAATAAATGCTTTCCTTTCGGTTTTGGAATCTGGAAAAGCCTTATATTGATTCATGAGAAAGAGTTGCCTCAGTTGGGTCAACGTTGGAATTTCATGACGGTCTTGCTTTCAAGTGCTCTTAGTTTCATGTACCAAGTTTTTGCCAAGCTCCTGGTTTGTGTATTGGATTTCTCGTGCTTTCTTCTCTCATGGATTCTTGTGCCTGTTTCATGGATTTTTATACCCATGGATTTTGTTTTGCCTTGAAGCTCATAGCCATGTATAAATATGTGAGAGGAAGGCTCAGGAAGGAGGGAGCAAGCTTCCTTTCTGCTTCCCTGGAGACTAGGACGCAATGGAACAATAGCTTCAAACTACAAGAAAGGAGATTCCATCTGAACATGAGGAAGAACTTCCTGACTCTGAGAGCCGTTCAGCAGTGGAACTCTCTGCCTCGGAGTGTGGTGGAGGCTCCTTCTTTGGAGGCTTTGAAACAGAGGCTGGATGGCCATCTGTCAGGGGTGATTTGAATGCAATTTTCCTGCTTTTTGGCAGAATGGGGTTGGACTGGATGGCCCAGGAGGTCTCTTCCAACTCTTTGATTCTAGGATTCTATGACTAACTAACCTTTGTTTTGGAAACTTTACTGTTTTTGCTATTTTTGCTGCTTTGGCTACTTATATTCTTCAATAAACTGCTTGCTGATTTTACCAAGCTGTTTGAGATAAAGCAGGGTGTAAATAAATATAATAATAATATATTATGAATATACTACAACGTATGATATAGTACAATATATTATATAAACTACTAGTATAATATTCTGGTAGTGCATTATATATATATTGTGGTATTATAAGATACAATATAATAATATATAATAGTATAATAATTGAATATTATATAATACATGTAATATTACTAGTAATATTGCAATTTATAATGTTTATGGTATTTTGAGATTCTTTGTATGGGATTTCTAGGCTACCTCACAGTGTGAAATAATAATAATCATACCTGTCTGTGCGTTCTCCACAGGTTGGCTGGACGCTGGGCCCAGACCACCTCTTGACACACCTTCGGACGGTCCACCAGAACTCCCTCTATCACTGCCCGACGGCCACTCAGGTGAGAAGGCAACGTACCTGCCACAAAAGTGAACAAGGTACATTAACTCTCTTTGAAACTACCTTTAGTAAAGGTGGCACACAAGGAGGTCACAACAACCTCTATTATAGAACTCCTGTATGCTGATGATAATGTAATCTCTGCTCATTCAGAAAAAGGCCTATAAGCCACTCTAAGCGCCTTTGCAGAAGCATACGAAAAGCTTAGCCTCTCACTGAACATATTGCCCCAACCTTATTCTCCATTTTTATCCCTGTGCTTCTGCACCTTGTTAATGAGAAGCTTTCTACCAGCATGGAATTCATCTATTGGGTGTATGGCAAACTATTTAAGATGGTCAGCAGACTGAAAGCCAAAACCAAGATCACAACAACATCTGTTATAGAACTCCAGTACGCTGATGATAATGTAACTTATGCTTATTCAAAAGAAGGTCTATGTGCCACTCTAAATGCCTTTGCAGAAGCATATGAGAAGCTCAGCCTCTCACTGAACATATTGCCCCAACCTTATTCTCCACGTTCATTGCTACGAAATTGCACCTTGTTGATGGGACGCTTCTCACTGGTGTGGAAATCATCTAAATAAATAATATATAATAAATAATAAATATTTAATAATAATAATAATAATTAATTAATTAATAAACATTGGACTGATGGCCAACTATTTAAGATGGTCCGCAGACTGAAAGCCAAAACCAAGGTCACAACAATGTCTGTGTGATATGCTGATGATAACGTAATCTGTGCTCATTCAGAAGAAGGCCTACAAGCCACTCCAAACACCTCTGCAGAAGCAAACGAAAAGCTAACCAATAAAATGTATAATAATAATAATAATAATAATCCTGCTCAACACTTGGAAATCAAGCTTGCTCATTGCATCCTGTATTACAGACCATTATATGCATTATATAAACTACAAATCCCAGCATCCCACTGAGCATTGTCCTGAAGCAGCATCCCATAGCACTGAGCATCCCATAGCACTGAGATTGTCCCGAAGCAGCTTCCCCATTTTGCTTTGTGTTTTTTGATATCTCTGAAATAAAACATATTCAGATTGTTGTTATTATTGTTGTTGCTATTGAGACAAAAGCGGGATGAAAATAAATAAATAATCATAATAATATTATCATCCTCTCCTCATTTATTTGGATAATTCAGTCAATCAGATGATCCGAGATTCAAACCCGGGTCTCCCAAATTCTATAAGGTTCAAATCAGGTTTTTCCTAAAATTTTGGAATGCAGTGTGCAACTAAGTCATGCTTAAGAGAAGAAAGTGGAAAATAAGAATATTAATAATTATTATTAGCAAATAATAATAATAATGTCCTTCTGTAATTTCCAGGAGGCTGTGGCCCGTGGTTTGGAGAAAGAGCTGGAGCGTCTGGGGAAACCAGACAGCTATTTTGTGGAATTGCCTCGGCTGCTGCAGCAGAAGCGGGATTTCCTAATCCAGAACCTGATCGCGGCCGGAATGAAGCCCATCGTCCCTGAAGGAACCTACTTCTTGATGGCCGACCTCTCCGGTTTCAGTAAGTTCCATCCAAAACTCAGAAGTTACAGGGCAAACAGCTCTGAACTCCTTTTGCTGCAATTGGCATAAACTGAGGATGAAGGCGGGAGGAGGAGGAGGAGGAAACCAGGACATTTCAAAGGACGTATTGTATTATATTGTAATATTATAATATTCTAATTGTACATTATATATTATATATTATAATATTTTATTTTATTTTATTGTAATGTTATATTATACTACATTGCATTATATTATAATATTGTGTTGCATTGTAATATTTTATTGTAACAGAATATTTTATTTTATTATATTGTAATGCTATATTATTTTATATTGCATTATATTATAATATTGTATTGCATTGTAATCTTTTATTATATTTGTAATATTTTATTATATTATGTTGTAATGTTTTATGGCATTGTAATATTTTATTATATCATTGTCATCGTTTATTACAATGTAATAGTGTATTACATTGTAATCTTTTATTATATTGTAACATTATATTATAATATTTTATCTTATTATATTGTAATTTTATATTATATTATATTATATTGCATTATATTATAATATTGTATTGCATTGTAATCTTTTATTATATTATGTTGTACTGTATTATGGCATTGTAATATTTTATTATATCATTGTAATAGTTTATTACAATGTAATTGTGCATTACACTGTAATATTTATTATATTGTAACATTATATTATATTTTATTTTATTATATTGTAATGCTTTATTATATTATATTATACTATATTGTATTGCATTATATTATAATATTGTATTGCACTGTAATATTTTATTATATTTGTAATCTTTTATTATATTGTTGTAATGTTTTATGGCATTGTAATATTTTATTATATCATTGTCATAGTGTATTACATTGTAATATTTTATTATATTGTAATATTATATTGTAATATTTTCCCTTTTATATTATATCATTACATTATGTTATATGATACTGTAATCTTTATTTATATTAAAATAATATATTGCCATATTATATTACATAATATGATATTAAATATAATATAATATAATTTATCGATAGTGGAAGGTCTCCCAATAGTTTCCATTGTCCATGCTATTTCTTTCTTTGCTTTCTTCTAGAAATTGACTTGCCTGACCAAGGGGATACAGAGGAACCCTATGACTCTCGCTTCGTGGAATGGATGATCAAGAATAAAGTGAGCATTCGGGGCTAATAATAATAATAATAATAATAATAATAGTTTTATTGAGCCAGGTAACAGCATTACTAAAACATAAACAAACACATAATCATTTCAAAACATACACCAGACCTTAAACCCCACACGAGCTTGGTAAAATCAGCAAGCAGTTTATTGAAGTATATAAATAGGCAAAGCAGTAAAATTAGCAAAAACAGCAAAGTTCCAAAACAAAGGATAGCCCATGAGCTTCAGGGTAAAATAAGATCCGTATGTATAACATCCACGAAGCAGGCACCAGAATCCATGAAACAATCCAATACACAAATCAGGAGCTTGGCAAAACTTGGTACATGAAACTAAGAACACTGGAAAGCAAGACCGTCATACTCCGTTTTCCAAATATACCGTTTTCCTCCCAACTTCTCTCTTTTTCTCCAGGGTTTAGCAGCCATCCCCGTTTCTGCGTTCTATAGTGCAGAACAGAAGAAGAATTTCAACCATTTCATCCGCTTCTGCTTTGCCAAGGTGAGCCGGGGTTCCTTAATAATAATTATTTATATCTACACAATAATAATAATAAATCTTAAGGTGCATCTACAGTGTCGAATCAGTGCTTTTTGGCCCCACTTCAGCTGCCAGGGGGTGCTGGGAGTTGTAGTTTTGCAACTCCTAGAATAATCCAGCAATGATGATGTTGATAATAATAATAAATAATAATAAATAATAATGAATCATAAGGTGCATCTACAGTGTTGCTTTTTGACCCGAATCTCGTAAAATGTTGACATTAAAATATAATTAAATATTAAATAACAATAATAATATATTATTTAATCTTTAATCATATTATATAACAATTATTATAATATATTATTATTTAACATTTAATTGTGTTATATAATAATAATACATTAATCTTGAATTCTCTTATATAATAATATATTATTATTTAATCTTTAATTATATTATATAACAATTATTATAATATATTATTATTTAACATTTAATTGTGTTATATAATAATAATAAATTATTAATCTTTAATTCTATTATTTATTTATTTATTTATTTATTTACTCCATTTGTATACCGCATTTATCAGCCTGGGACGGCGACTCAATGCGGTTTACAATAAAAATGGGCAACACTGACAGTAAATAAGACACACATACACAAACGACACACATATAGTCATCAACGCCTCAATTAGAATCAGATCCCGTTCTCACAGTCCTTTTTCGTTCCTTGTTCAAAATGCCGTCTTACTGAGTTAGTTGTCATTGCATAGTTATCCGAACGCCTGTTCATAGAGCCACGTCTTAACCCTCCTCCGAAACACCAGCAACGAAGGGGCCTGCCTGATGTCCACTGGTAGGGCATTCCATAGCCGAGGGGCCACCACCGAGAAGGCCCTGTCTCTCTATTATATAATAATATGTTATTATTTAATCTTTAATTATACTATATAACAATTATTATAATATTATTATTTAACATTTAATTGTGTTATATAATCTTGAATTCTATTATATAATACTTTATTTATATTGTTTATATTTAATACTATAATATATTATTATTATTTAATATTGAATTCTATTATATAATAATAATAATAATAAAAATATTTGTATCTAGGAGGATTCGACCCTCAAAGCCGCCAGTGCCATCTTGCAAGAATGGAGCAAACAGAAACCCAGTTTGTGAAAAGAGATGTTTGGAGCAAAATCGGTATCTATAGAATAAACTGGAAAAGAGACTACTATACGGGTTGCTATATGAATAAAGGGCTTGCTCTTTTTGTGAGCGTTTTGTTTATTTCATCCAAGTTGAAGGAGAAAGAATTACAAGTGCTTAAAGAGACATACATACATTTGGGGTATTGCCGTCATAATTGTTATGATAATAATTATTACTATTCCAGAGTTGCAAGCCGCAAAGGTTGTGTGTGTGTGTATACATATATACATTTTTATTGCTGTTTTTAAATTGTTTTTAAATTGTTGTTCGATTTTAGCCTGTTCTTGTAAGCCGCTCCGAACCCCAGGGAAGTGGCGGCATATAAGTTTGAATAATAAATAAATAAATAAATAAATACTTTTTAGGATGAGTTCATAAACGAAGGAAGGAAGGAAGGAAGGAAGGAAGGAAAAGTAGACAAGGAAGGAAAGAATGAAGAAGGAAAGCAGGGGGGGACGGGACAAAGGAATGTAAACATGTAATAAGAAAAAGGAAGATAAAACTAATAAAGGAAGGAAAGAAGGAATGAAAAAGTAAAGAAGGAAGGAAGGAAAAGAAAAAGGAAAGATTGAAAGAAGGAAGAAATGAAAAAGTAAAAAAAGAAGGAAGGAAGAAAAGGAATGAACGAGAAAGTAAACAAAGAAGGAAGGAAGAAGAAGGATTAAAGAAGGAAAGAAAGAAGAAATGAAAAAGTTAAAAAGGAAGGAAAGAAGGAAGAAAAAGAAGGAATCAAAAAGGAAGGAAGGAAGAAATGAAAAAGTTAAAAAGAAAGGAAGGAAAAAGGAAGGAAATAAGGAAGAAAAAGAAGGAATCAAAAAGGAAAGAATGAAAGAAGGAAGAAATGAAAAAGTAAAAAAGAAGGAAGGAAGAAAAGGAATGAACAAGAAAGTAAACAAAGAAGGAAGGAAGAAGAAGGATTAAAGAAGGAAAGAAAGAAAGAAGAAATGAAAAAGTTAAAAAGGAAGGAAGGAAAAAGAAGGAAGGAAAGAAGGAAGAAAAAGAAGGAATCAAAAAGGAAGGAAGTTAAGAAGGAAAAGGGAAGAAAAGGAAGGAAGAAAAGGAAGTAATCAGAAAGTAAAGAAGGAAGGAAGGAAATAAAGGAAGAAATGCAAAAATAATAAAGGAAGAATACAGAAAAAAGAAAGAAGGAATGAAAAAGGAAAGAAGGAAGGCAGGCAATGAACAAGAGTTTTTTCCCTTAATTCCGACCCTGGAGGCGCCTCTAAACTTTCCTAGCTCTGCGGCTCCTCCTGCGCCGACCAATGGCATCGCGCGCCTGGGCGGAAGTGGGACGAAGAGGCAAGATGGCGGACAGCTCTGGAGCCAAGCGCCGGAGGGAGGTAGGAATACACGTGTGGGGGCGAAACGGGGGGATTTGAAGCGTCAAAACGCGAGTGGATGGGGGGCGAAAGGGGGAAGAGGCAGGCGGGGAGGAGAACAGAGGAGAAGGGAGGCTTCCGAAGCAGATTCTCCCCCCAAACTCTCGTCTTCCGGGGTTTTTGGACTACGACTCCCAGAATGCCTCCCCATTGCCCGCCGCGGCTGAGGCTTCTGGGAAATGAAGTCCAAAACCCAATCTGAGCAGCCATGTGGTTTGAACTGAACAGTTCTTAAGCTCTTTGCCATTGGATCTTATTTATTCACGTCTGTATTGTTTCCAATGGGGTTTTATAATGTTAGTGGGTTGTTGTAGGTTTTTGGGGCTGTCTGGCCATGTTCCAGAAGCATTCTCTCCTGACGTTTCAGACCTCACAACCTCCGAGGATGACTGCCAGAGATGCAGGCGAAAGGTCAGGAGAGAATGCTTCTGGAACATGGCCAGACCGCCCGGAATACACACAGCAACCCAGTGATTCCGGCCGTGAAAGCCGTCAACAATACATTATAATGTTATATAATCTATATATCTTCTCCAATATATATATCTCCCCTCCCCCCTATATAATATTATTATTTATTTATTATTATTTATTTGAAAGTTTTCTATACCGATCTTCTCACCTACAAGAGGGACTCAGATCCGGTTCACAACATGTGTTCATATACAAAAATACAAACCACACAATGCATCATCATTACACCATTAAAAACATATTACAGTACAACATCGTCATCATCACAATCACCTAGCCACATCGTCAAAGCATTCCTGGTCATAATTCACAGGTATTCATTCTCCTTCCATGTGGACCAAAGTTGACCCAGTTGTCAAAGGCCGCATTCCATAGCCAAGTCTTTGTTAGCTTCCTGAATGTCAGGAGGGAGGGGGCAGTTCTAATCTCCTGTGGGAGGGAGTTCCAAAGCTGGGGAGCCACCATCGAGAAGGCCCTGTCTCTCGTCCCCACCAACCGCGATTGTGACAGTGGTGGGATCGAGAGCAGGCCCCCCCCCCCCCCCGGAAGATCTTAAAGACCTTGATTATATGTTGTTGTTCATTCGTTCAGTCGTCTCCGACTCTTCGTGACCTCATGGACCAGCCCACAGCAGAGCTCCCTGTCAGCCGTCACCACCCCCAGCTCCTTCAAGGTCAGTCCAGTCACTTCAAGGATGCCATCCATAATAATAATAATATATATCATTGGTGTGGGTCGCAGTGGTCTCAGGAATTGAGCGAAGGTACCATAAGTCCCATTGTCCATGGTCCATCCTCCTCCAAACTGCACCAGGATATAAAGTGGGTCAAGGGGGCTCTGGGTGCCAAGTTTGGACTTGATCGGTCATTGGCAAGAGTCGCAATGGTCTCAGGAAGTGAGCAAAGGTACCACAAGTCCCATTGTCCATGGTCCATCCTCCTCCAAACTGCACCAGGATGTAGAGTGGGTCATGGGAGCTCTGTGTGCCAAGTTTGGTCTTGATCGGTCATTGGCAAGGGTCGCAATGGTCTCAGGAAGTGAGTGAAGGTACTGCATCTCCCATCATCCATTGTCCATCCTCCTCCAAACTGCACCAGGATGTAGAGTGTGTCATGAGGGCTCTGTGTGCCAAGTTTGGTCCTAATCCATCATTATTGGGGGTCGCAGTGGTCTCAGGAAATGACTGAAGGTACTGCATCTCCCATCATCCATGGTCCATCCTCCCCCAAACCACACCAAGTGGGTCATGAGGGGTCTGTGTGCCAAGTTTAGTCTAGGTCTGTGATTTGTGGGGGCCGCAGTGTTCTGTTGGAAGCGAATCGGATGAACCACAACAACAAAACTTTATTTATGTACCACTCTATCTCCATTTAAAACAGTGGTTCTCAACCTGTGGGTCCCCAGATGTTTTGGCCTACAATTCGCAGAAATCTCAGCCAGTTTACCAGCTGTTAGGATTTCTGGGAGTTGAAGGCCAAAACATCTGGGGACCCACAGGTTGAGAACCACTGATTTAAAAGGTTGGACCGAGGCTAATGTGATTTTAGAGGGCCCGGGAAATTAGGTAAAGTCTATGGCTGTCCATTTCCAGGGCCTAATAGAAGAAACTAACCTGGGTAATTGGTAGAAAAAGCTATGGCCAATTTCAACAGTATTTCAGGCTAAGCTAAAACTAGAATGAAGGTACTGCAAATCCCATCCTCCATGGTCTGTCACCCCCAAACTTCACCAGAGCATGGTCGTGAGGGTTATGTGTGTCAAGTTTGGTCCAGGTCCATTATTCATCCTGGTGCCAGTGGTCTCACGAACTGATTGAAGGTACTGCAAGTCCCATCATCCACGGTCCGTCCTCCTCCAAACCACACTGGGATGTAGACTGGGTCATTTGGGCTCTGTGTGTCAAGTTTGGTTTTGATCCGTCATTGGTGGGGGTCGCAGTGGTCTCAGGAAGTGAGTGAAAGTACTGCAAATCCCATCATCCCTAGTCCATCCTCCCTCAAATCGCACCAGGACATAAAGTGTGCCAAGTTTGCTCCAGGTCCATCATTTGTGCGGGTCGTAGTGGCCTGTGGAAGTGGGAGCCAATCAGAAAGTTGCCACATACATACACACATGTGGGAGCTGACGCGATTGAAAGTACTGCAAATCCTATCATCCATTGTGCATGCTCATCTAAACCCCACCAGGACGTAAAGTGGGTCATGGGGGTTCTGTGTGCCAAGTTTGGTCCAGGTCGGTCATTCATAGGGGTCTCAGTAGCCTGTGGAAGTGGCAGACAATGAGAAAGCTGCCACATACATACATACAAACACTGACATAATCTCTACATATACATACACACATATGTATAATATTATATATCATATAATAAGAATACTATTAATAATAGATCCAATATATTTCTTGTATTTTTTAGGAGGAAGACCCAAAGATGGATCGGTCCAAATCAGCCAAAGAAAGTAAGATCGTTTTTTTGAGGCTCTCGGTGGTTGTTTACATTCCAACCTTTTTCTTAATTTTGGGATTTCAATTTTTCTCTTTCTGTGATAGAAAAAGAAGAGAGGAAAAAATGGAGGGAGATGAGGCTGTTGAAAAAGCTGGAAAAGAAAAAAATGAGGGAATTAAAGGAGAAGAAAGAGGAGGCCCAACCCAAGGAGGAAAAAGGTGAGTTTGGATGACATTGGATGGGGAGGGACGCCTGCATAATGTGCGTAAGGATGATAATGATGATGATGTGTTTCCATCCCTTCCTGATCCAAGCCTTAGGGAGGCACTACACGCTGAGCGTGGCCGTCCCAGGTTCAATCCTGGACAACGCACAGTCGCCGGAGCTGCGGACGTACCTGGCGGGGCAGATCGCCCGCTCCTGCGCCGTCTTCTCCGTGGACGAGGTCGTGGTCTTCGATGAACGGGGGGAAGACGCCAAGTAAGGAGGGGAACCAGAAAAAAATATTTCTGTGGGGTTGAAATTATTTTTCCGAGGTGACTTTTCAGGCTAGTGCAACAGAAATCTTCAAAAGACATCAAAACACAGAGTCCCATCAGAGGAACCCCTCTATTCTGCCTTGGTTAGACCACACTTGGAATATTGTGTCCAATTCTGGGCACCACAACTGAAGAGAGATATTGACAAGCTGGAATGTGTCCAGAGGAGGGCGACTCAAGGGTCTGTAGAACAAGCCCTATGAGGAGCGGCTTAAAGAGCTGGGCATGTTTAGCCTGAAGAAGAGAAGGCTATGATAGCCATGTATAAATATGTGAGAGGAAGTCATAGGGAGGAGGGATCAAGCTTGTTTTCTGCTTCCCTGGACACTAGGACGTGGAACAATGGCTTCCAACTACAAGAAAGGAGATTCCATCTGAACATTAGGAAGAACTTCCTGACTGTAAGGAGATCTGTTAAGCAGTGGAACTCTCTGCCCCGGAGTGTGGTAGAGGCTCCTTTGGAAGCTTTTAAACAGAGGCTGGATGGCCATTTGTTGGGGGTGCTTTGAATGCAATTTTCCTGCTTCTTGGCAGAATGGGGTTGGACTGGATGACCCACTAGATCTTTTCCAACTCTAGGATTCTAAGTAGCTTCAAACCGTGTTACTCCTACCATGTAGATGCAGACTGTCATTTCAAAGCACTTGATCTCTAAACACCTCATCTTTCTCGGATTTGGTCCTTTTTTATGGACGGAGTCGCATTGCATTGTGACGCCACCTTCCCTTTTCCCCCAGGACGGTAGAAGGCGACTTCGGAGGCCTGAAGGCCAGAGGCCAGGCCTGCGTGCAGTTGGCGCGCATCCTGCAGTATTTGGAGTGTCCCCAGTAAGTTCCAGAGGATTGGTATGTATGAAATATCCTACGCATTCCCCATCTTGCCAAAACAATATGCTCTCTTCTCTCTTTGACAGATACCTCCGCAAGTTCTTTTTCCCCAAACACCAGGACCTGCAATTTGCAGGTGAGTCTGAAAGAGAGATTATGTTTTCCACGGTCCCAAAACTCCGCAAAGGTGTCAGGCTGCCTTTTGTTGACATTTTTCAGTATATATAATTAATACTAGCTGTACCCGCGACACGTTGCTATGGCCAACCTTCCTTCCCTCTTTCTCTCCTTCCTTCCTTCCTTCCTTCCTTCCTTCCTTCCTTCCTTCCTTTCTTCATTCATTCCCTCGCTCTTTCCTTCCTTCCTTCCTTCCTTCCTTCCTTCCTTCCTTCCTTCCTTCCTTCCTTCCTTTTCCTTCTCTTCCTCTTTCCTTCCTTCCTCCCTCCCCCTTTTCTTTCCCTTCCCCTTTCTTCCTTCTCTATCTATTCTTGGACTGCAACTCCCAGCAGTCCTCCTGATCGATCTATCTACCTACCTCTATCTATCTATCTATCTATCTATCTATCTATCTATCTATCTATCTATCTATGGCATTTATATGCCGCCCTTCTCACCCCGAAGGGGACTCAGAGCGGCTCACAAGATATACATACATCCAATATATTATATTATTAGCATAGTACAATATCGGTATTATATATTACTATATTGTACTATACCATTATATTATAATAGTAATATTACATGTAACATAAAATATATAATTATAATATTGTCCGAACGTCTTCTCCCCTATGAATTATCTAGGTTGTTAAGATCGTCTGGAGGGGCCCTGCTCTCGGTCCCACCGGCCTCTCAGGCGCGTCTGGTGGGGACGAGGGACAGGGCCTTCTCGGTGGTGGCCCCTCGACTCTGGAACTCACTCCCACTGGAGATCAGAACTGCCCCCTCCATTCTGTCGTTCAGAAAACGGGTGAAAACCTGGCTATGGGGTTTGGCTTTTGACAAGTGAATCAATATTTCTGTGATTGGATAGATGACGATGAATGATGGACAACGAATTCACTATGACGACTGACCATTGTTATTATGTGATTGCATTTTGCTGTTATAACGTTTTATTTGAACACGTTATATGATGTTTTTAATGATTGTTTTGTGATTTTATTGTTGGAAACCGGCCCGAGTCCTCCGACAGAGGACAAAATTGCTAAATACAAAATTGCTAAATAAATAAATAAATATTATTATTATTATTATTATTATTATTATTATTATATCGTATTACATTATTATTATTAGTATTATACTGTATAATAATATTATTTGCATTATATTGTATTACATTATATTATTGGTATTATATTGTGTTACATTATTATTAGTATTATATTTTATAACATAATTAGTAGTAGTATTATATTGTATTACATTATTGTAATTACATTACTACAGTATTATATGTATATACAATATATTATATTAAAGATATATATACATACAATATATTATATTTTGAGCATAGCATAATATCAGTATTAAATATTACTATATTGTACTTTACCATTATATTGTAATATTAGTAATATTACATGTGATATATATACATATTTCATATTATATTTATATTATTATCTAATCTTTATAATTATATTTATATTATTATTATCTAAATATAAATTACTATATTTATATTATCTAATCTATCTATCTGGAGGATTGCTGGGAATTGCAGTCCAGGAATAGGAAATTGGAAATATGCAGGGTTTGAGATGCGAATGAACAATATAGTATCTTTTGGAAAATGGCGTTCATAACCTTCTGGAAAATGCTTTGTAGAGATCATAACTTTTAGAAAAGCATGACCTTTCAGAGAAGAGCCCAAATCCCTTTAAAGTAGAATATTCTCTTATGGCATACAACCAACTATAATTACGCAAGGCAATGGTTTCAGTTGTTAGACTGAATAACCTGTTATCTCTGATCTGTTAGGGAGTGCTTTAAAAACCCAGCAGTGCTTCAGAAGTGTTTTTCAGTGCCTAATATATATATATATCTACTCTCCCATAAAAGAACTTATTTTATATCATGCACTGAAGAGACAAAAATGAATAAAAATAATGTATTTGGTTTACTCACAGCCTTCATGTGTTCAGCATAAAACAAAACATATCAGTCCAGTTTCAGATCTGTTTAAGATCATTCTCTGTGCCATCTGGCCAGGGCATCTCTCTTATAACAAACAGCTGTCAACAGATCACATTGTCAAAAGGAGAGAGAGAGAGCATGTGGTCTGCATCCCCTTTTGTAATTTCTCAGGACCATAGAGTAAAGGAAGCTGCATACCAGAACTTACTTACTTAGGCGATCCCTCGTTGGCCGAGTAGGACAGTCTTCCAGGATCAGTATTCTGGTGGGTCCGTAGGTGACTGTGGAGCCCCATTCTTGACCTTCATCTTCCCCCGCAGTGAGGGCATTGGTTTCCAGGTGGAAGGCGGTCTCGGTTGGGGTTGACTTGACGGGCCTTCCTCTTGGCACGTTTCTCTCTTTCGCCCTCCATTTGTGCCTCTTCAAATTCTGCAGCACTGCTGGTCACAGCTGACCTCCAGCTGGAGTGCTCAAGGGCCAGGGCTGCCCAGTTCTCAGTATCTATGCCAGAGTTTTTAAGGTTGGCTTTGAGCCCATCTTTCAATCTCTTTTCCTGTCCACCAACATTCCGTTTTCCGTACTTGAGTTCGGAGTAGAACAACTGCTTTGGGAGATGGTGGTCAGGATTCCAGACAACGTGGCCGGTCCAGCGGAGTTGATGGCGGAGGACCATCGCTTCAATGATGGTGGTCTTTGCTTCTTCCAGCATGCTGATGTTTCCCCGCCTGTCTTCCCAAGAGATTTGCAGGATTTTCCAGAGGCAGTGCTGAAGGAATCGTTCCAGGAGTTGCATGTGACATCTGTAGACAGTCCACATTTCGCAGGCATAGAGCAGGGTTGGGAGGGGAATAGCTTTATAGACAAGCACCTTGGTCTCCCTATGGATGTCCCGGTCCTCAAACACTCTCTGCTTCATTTGGGAAAATGCCACACTTGCAGAGCTCAGGTGGTGTTGTATTTCGATGTCGATGTTGGCTTTGGTGGAGACGTGGCTGCCAAGGGAGCAGAAATTGTCAACATTTTCTAATGTTACAGCATTAAGCTGTATTTCTGACATTAGAAAGGGGTTGACTGGTGACTGCTGGAACAGCACTTTGGTTTTCTCGATGTTCAATAACAGGCTGAGCTTCTCATATGCTTCTGTGAAAGTGTTTACAGTGGCTTGTAGTTTTTTTTTTTTTTGAATGTGCACAGACGATATTGTCATCAGCATACTGGAGTTCTATAACAGATGTTGTTGTAACCTTGGTTTTGGCTTTCAGTCATACCAGAACATACATACAGGAAACAGTAAGCAACAGGATCCTAGATAAACATTACTAGAGATCGCTTGAAGAAGGTTGTCATTTCCAGCAGCGCCAAGGAACATACAACTGGCCACTCATTCCACTCAATCTCCATTTCTAACCCTAACCCATCACGCTCTATCCTATCCTATCACCTTCCTATCTATGGCAACCGTGCAATTAGCAAACCATACGCAGATGCAAAAAACTGCTAGGAGTCGTGTTACTGGAAGAAACATTGTTGTGATGCTGTTTTCCAGGGCTCCTGAACCCCTTAGACAGCCCCCATCACGTGCGGATCGATGAGGAGTCACAATACCGTGAAGGGGTGGTCTTGGCCCGACCGGTCAAGCCCGGCCGAGGGTCTTTTGTGAACTGCGGGATGCGGAAGGTGAGCCTTATGGCAAAACAGATGTTTTCTTGGTCGAGTAACTTGCAAACAAAAGACTCTCCCCATATTTTTCCTTGCAGCTACATTTTCCTTGTAGCGACAACTCCCATCAGCCCTTGCAGAATGCTATTGTTAGGAGCATCCCCCTGTTTTCCTTTTCCCCTTCTTGCAGGAGGTGCAGATAGATAAGCAGCTCGAGGCCGGCCTTCGTGTCACTGTGAAGCTCAACGAGCAACAGAACCCAGGTAATAATAATTATAATAGTATCAGTATTTGCTTCGGATGTTACTAGGGGATGGCCATGGGGGGGGGGGGGGGGGGGGGGGGGGGGGGGGGGGGTCTCTCCCAATTCTATAATTCTACATGTGCAGATTTGTCAGTGTGTATTTCATGTATGATGTATGTTCAAATGTAATTTTATGTAGAAGAATAGTGATTGTAATAGAATTGTATTGCCAGGATGTATGTTTGCACAGAAGGGTTAAAAACAGCAAAGCAACTAGCTGTGAGAATGTGACCCTGAGTTCTTGCTGTGTGAAGAATTAGGGAGTGTCAAAGATAACTCCTTGCCAGCTGTGGTTTTGCTTTCGTGCCTATCTTGTTAGTTCTGTGTTCTTCACATCTGTCTGTTCATGATGAATGTTGTGTTTTTGGAACTGCTCAAGTAAAGCTGAAACCTGCTTTTTACCAGTGACTCCAGAGTCCATTATTCACTGCATCTTGAAACCTTAGAAGAGATGGGTGTTGGAGTAACTCAGACCCAGTTCTTGATTATTCAGAAATGCAGTTATTTCTCATTCTTGTAAATAAGCCTTTTGTGATTTTTTAAGATTGGACTCTGCACATTTGCCTCTTAAGCGCTGAATTCTTGGCAGCCACATCACACGGCACTTCACGCTCTGCTCGCTAATGAGCTGATGCTCCACTTTGGTATCCTCTTTGTATTTTTTGATGTTCCCTATACTCTTTTCCTTCCATACTCCATGTCTCTTCCAGAGAGCAAAACGCAGAAGGGGACCGTGGTGTCGTCCCATCATCCCCGCACCGTGTCCAACCTTTATTGGGGATACACCGTCCGCTTGGCTTCCAGCCTGAGTAAGTAGAAATCTTCATATTCACTCTGGGTTGGAAAGAGCACCCAACTGTCAGCCCAGCTCACTGTTGACCTAAGCAGTTCAAAAACAGCTTAGAGCTGTAAGCAGAGAAATTAGGTACCGTTAAAAAGCGGGGGAAGTATTTTACAACACCATAAAAGAAAAAGACCAGAAAATTTCCATTGACCGAAAGGAAAGAGGAAGTCCCGATGGCTCTTCGTTATACAGGATGGAGCAACAGCACCCCCTTGTGGCTGGATTTGAGCACAACCTCCAAAGGCACTGAAAAACTGGACATTGACGCAACGTACATCTTTTCTGTCTGTTCTATCCAGTCTGTCCAAACAGCATTGAATGTTTGCCGGGAATGCGTACTGTGATCCACCCTGAGTCCTCTTGGGAAGACATAGCAGAATATAAATGAATAATGTTTTTAATTAGGAGACACAAATGGCTTATGTTTTTATTACTTTTGTTTGGTTTTATACTATGTATTAATGTTTTAAATGTTTTATGATGTTCTTGGGCATCAAATCGTTGCCTCTGTAAACCGCCCTGAGTTGCCTGAGGGCCAAGAAGAGCAGTATACAAATATAGTAAACAAACAAATAAATATAAAGTTACTTTTTTATTTATTTATGACATTTATATGCCGCCATTCTCACCGCAAAGGGGACTCAAGAGTGGCTTACAAATAATATGTAAATATAATATACTAGCCGTTTCCTGCCACGCGTTGCTGTGGCCCAAGTGGGGGTTCTGTGTGGGAGGTTTGGCCCAATTCTATCGTTGGTGGGGTTCAGAATGCTCTGTGATTGTAGGTGAACTATAAATCCCAGCAACTACAACTCCCAAATGTCAAGATTCTATTTTCCCCAAACTCCACCAGTGTTCGCATTTGGGCATATTAAGTATGCGTGTAGAGTTTGGTCCAGATCCATCATTGTTTGAGTCCACAGTGATCTCTGGATGTAGGTGAACTACAACTCCAAAACCAAAGGACACTGCCCACCAAAACCTTCCAGTATTTTCTGTTGGTCATGGGAGAACTGTGTGCCAAGTTTGGTTCAATTCCATCGTTGGTGGGGTTCAGAATGTTTTTTGATTGTAGGTGAACTATAAATCCCAGCAACTACAACTCCCAAGTGACAAAATCATTTTTTTGAGTGAAGGACATACATTGGGTTGTTAGATGTCTTGTGTCCAAATTTGGTGTCAATTCGTCCAGTGTTTTTTGAGTTCTGTTCATCCCACAAACGAACATTACATTTTTATTTATATAGATTATATTATTACCATAGCACAATATTAGTGTTATGTATTACTATATTGTACTATACCATTATACTGTAATATTATTAGTAATACTACATGTAATATAAAAATATAATTATAATATTGTATTATTATTAGTAGTAGTATTATATTGTATTACATTATAATATCAAAATAATAATAATAATAATAATAATAATAATAATAATAATAATTTATTTATATTCTGCTCTATCTTCCAAAGGGACTCAGGGCAGATTCCAAACATAAAAGGCAAACATTCAGTGCCCAAATACAACAACAATACATCCATGCCAACAAAATTTATACAACCCAACATATAAATACAAATTATAACTTAACCAACTAAAATTAAATAAAAAGCACAGCCTGTTATAACAGACATAAGACAAAACATCAAACATCAAATGGAAGCATTATTTTCCCTTTTCTTTGGGGCAATATATACAATATATTATATTATAAAGTGTTATTATATATATACACACATACGTACAAGGATATGTGTATATATTCCATGGCTACAACGTTGACATGGAATTAAACATGAGCAGTATCATTGAAAATGAAGGGTTAAGACCCTTCTTGGACACATCCCGTCATTCAAGTGGCCTTCTAATCCCAATGGCGGATGGGTGGTCTCTCTCCGTGACTCCCCAGGTGCCGTATTTGCCGAATCCCCCTTCAAGGATGGCTATGACCTCTCCATTGGGACTTCCGAACGAGGGACCTCGGTGGACCAAGCAGCCCTACCTGCTTTCAGGTAAATTATCTGTTCCTGATTTGAAAGTGTGATTTCCTGTTTCATTCTACGGTCCTGACTTTGGAAATCATTGTTCTACTTCGGGAACTTTGTTGTTTATGTGACCACCAGTCTGGGTTGAGACTCTATGCTGAGATATTCATTGAAACGTGGTATAGCAGGATGTGAAATATATAGTACAATATATTACATAATACCAATAGTATAATATGCTGGTAGTGTTATGAATGTTACGAAATGTTATGAAATCGTGTGGTTTTCCAAGATCTTGAGCCTTCTCTGCCAAAGGATGCTGATGCCTCACCAAACTACAAATCCCAGGACTGCATAGCATTGAGCCATAGTCATTAAAGCATTGAACCGAGTACCTTTTGGGAGAAAGGATGGGATATAAATAAAGCATTATTATTGTTGTTGTTGTTTTACTGAAACAAAAACACAGTATGTCACGGCAAACGAGATCTATATGCTGGATTTTTTTATCACAAAATCAGAAGTCGAACACTTCCCAAGGGTTTAGGACTGTGTGATGTATTTTTGAATGATGCAATCCAATAATAATAATAATAATAATAATAATAATAATAATAATAATAATCTCGTTTGCTGTGTCATACTGTGTTTTTGTGTCAGTAAAATAATAATAATAATAATAATAATAATAATAATAATAATTATTATTATTATTATTATTATTATTATTTTACTGACACAAAAACACAGTATGACACAGCAAACGAGATCTATATGCTGGATTTTTTTATCACAAAATCAGAAATCGAACACTTCCCAAGGGTCTAGGACTGTGTGATGTATTTTCAAATTATGCAATCCAATTATTATTATTATTATTATTATTATTATTATTATTTTACTTACACAAAAGCACAGTATGTCACAGCAAAAGAGATCTATATGCTGGGTTTCATATCATAAAATTACAAGTCGAACACTTCCCAAGCGTCTAGAATTATTATTATTATTATTATTATTATTATTATTATTATTATTATTATTATATTGCATCATTTGAATATATTATTATTATTATTATTATTATTATTATTATTATTATTATTATTGGATTGCTGTGAGTTTTCTGGGCTGTATGTGCATGTTCCAGAAGCATTCTCTCCTGATGTGAATATTATATAATAATAATAATAGGATTGCTGTGAGTTTTCCAGGCTGTATGGCCATGTTCCAGAAGCATTCTCTCCTGACGTTTCACCCACATCTATGGCAGGTATCCTCAGAGGTTGAGCGATCTTTTGGAAACTGGGCAAGTGGGGTTTCTACCTACTATCTCCCTGTGGAATAATGTCTCGGGTGGGAGAAGGAACTCTTGTCTGTTAGAGGCAAGTGTGGATGTTGCCATTGGCCAGCTGGATTAGCATTGATGAATGGCCTTGCAGCTTCAAAGCAGCTTCCCTTTTTGGCTTTGGCTCAGCGCTAAGGGGACTGTATGATGCCAATCGAATGCACACCCTAATTTTGCCCAGATCCTTTAGATTTGAGTAAATACGATTGTGAGTCATATCCTTCAGGTATGTAGTTGTGCGTCGTAGTTTTCGACCGGCGATGACTTCCCTGTGGGTTTGGTTTTTTTTCTTTTGCAAGATGGCTTCAGCTGCCTTTTTCCTCCCTGCTCTTTCAACCCAGGCACGCTTTGATAGTTTTCGGGGGCCTGCAAGGCTTGGAAGCCGCCGTCGATGCGGATCCCCATTTGGAAGTCAGCGATCCCAGCACCTTGTTTGACTTGTACCTCAACACCTGCCCAGGGCAAGGGAGCCGAACCATCCGGACCGAGGTATTTGGCCTTTTCATGATTTTTCACTGGGGGATTTTTTAAAATACGATTTCTATTTAATCCTGCTTTAATGTTTGTGTATTTGGATGCTTAAAATGGCGATGCAGATGCTTTTATGTCAAGCTGGGGGAGATAAAGCAGGGTATGAATGAATATAATAATATTTATTTATCATATCGGAAGCGAACCAATGTATTTAAAATTGTAATGTATTTGAGAAAACACAAAGTTATAAACTTGGCATTCTATTAAATGTATTGTTATTTTTTGTTGATCTAATTTTAAATTGATTTGTTAGTCCTATCACCGTTTATTGTTTGCACTGCTACTGTTGTGAGTCAGCAAGTTGCAAATAAAGTTTATTATTATATATTATTTTATTTATTTTTATTTATCTACAGTATTTATATTCCACCCTTCTCGCCCCAAAGGGGACTCAGGGCGGAGGATGATACACACATACACAGCAGACATTCAATGCTTTTTTTAGACATACAAGACAGACAGATACATGCATTTTTCCCAACTTCAGCGCCTGGAGGTTATGCTCAATTCCGGCCACAGGAGGGTACTGTTGCTTCATCCACTAAGATGCCAAGCAGATTGTAGTATTTCCTCCTTGTTCTTTGATCACCGGCATTTTTATGGTGTCGTAAAATGCCTCCTCACTTTAAACAGTCCCCAATTTCTCTACTCACAGCTCAGCTCTTTTTGAACGGCTTAGGTGGACAGTAAGCTAGGCTTGACAGTCAGGTGCTCAATCCAACTCAGACTTCGAACTTGCCACCTTCCGGTCATCAGTGATCTATTGCTACTGGTGATTAACCAGCAGTGCTACAGCCCGGCCCCAATACAAGCTGTTGTTCTTTTTGGAACAGTAGTTCCAAAAGGGATTTTCCTTTAGAGTAAAAGTAACAGTTAGAAGCCACCAGTTACACAAAGCCTGGAAGCATTTGTTTAACCTTTTGAAGACAAAAGAAGTTTCTGTTGATTGTTCACCAACAAAAGACTTTGTTATATTTTACAAGCTCTCTAAAGACTGTTTATGGGAAAAATCCTTACGAATTTCTCTTCGGGCCCCCTGGCTTCCCGCTGGGCTAAAGTTGCACGTCCTGTTTTAGAAAGCCCAAGAATCATAGAATCCTAGAGTTGGAAGAGACCTCATGGGCCATCCAGTCCAACCCCATTCTGCCAAGAAGCAGGAATATTGCATTCAAATCACCCCTGACAGATGGCCACCCAGCCTCTGTTTCTAAGCTTCCAAAGAAGGAGCCTCCACCACACTCCGGAGCAGAGAGTTCCACTGCTGAACAGCTCTCACAGCCAGGAAGTTCTTCCTCATGTTCAGATGGAATCTCCTCTCGTGTAGTTTGAAGCCATTGTTCTCTGATGTTTTCTGGCTTTGGTGGTGTCTCCTGTAAATGAATCACCTTGGATTTTCTAGTTGTTTTGCATTTCAAAATCTAAAAATCTCTCTTGATCCGTCTTCTTTGCAAAATCAGCACCGCAAGAGGGCATTTGGATACTTCCTGGGTTTTTATTTTTCATAGTTTTTGGAAATGGCCAGGTCCGTTGCAGTTTAGGATCAAAATGGTTCCTGGCAGCTCAACAACAGCCTTTGAACCTTGTTGGAGGCTGATGACTCAACCCACCTCTCTCTTGGATCCCCTTCTAGGAGGCGATGCTCATCTCTCTGTCTGCGCTGAGGCCCAAGATTGCGGAAGCGGCAAAGGAAGTCGATGGCGGCAGTCTGAAAGAAGTCAGTAATTCATAAGATTTAGGAAGGAAAAGCCCAGGAAAGAGCAGCAAGACAGCAATCAGGAGCAGATTGCAGCCTTCCTTTTCCCTCTCGTTCGTTTTCCAAGATGGCGGGCTTTTGCTGAAACCCAGAAAGTGGAGAATCTGACCAAAATAAAGACTGTTTTATTCTGAATCTCTTTTTTAAAATACCTGTTTACTAGGGATGTGCAATCCATTAAAATGGTTCATAAGTCATTACAAAACTGTGGGGTGCTGGCATTTAGTTTCTAAAGTGTTTCTAAAGTATAGTTAGTGAGAAATTTTGTTACTATAACTAAAGTAATGGAATTTTGTTACTATTATAATTACTCTAATTGGGGAAACTTCAGGGGCTCTTTCTCCCTCATTTTAAAGCTATTGGAGTGAAACTTGCTTGAGGTTCTGTTCAACTCTCTATCCCTTCTAGCAGTGGCTGGTCATCTGTGTAAATGCAAGAGCACCTAAAGCTTTGGAGAGCTTCTGTTCAGCAATTTCAGAGCTCTCTACTTGGGCGGTGATGTCATGATCATCAGCATAGATGAAACTCTCTATCCCTTCTGGCAGTTGTGTAAATGTAAGAGCACCTAAAGCTTTGGAGAGCTTCTGTTCAACCATTATAATATTATAAATATAAAGTTCACTCAAGGCAGTTTACAACAATAACACAAAAGGCAAGAAAGAAAAATGAGACCGTTGAAACAACAAATTTTTCCTTCTTGCCTTTTGTGTTATTGTTGTAAACTGCCTTGAGTGAACTTTATATTTATAATATTATAATGTAATACAATATAATATTAATAATAATATTATAATGGTATATTTATTTTACATGTAATATTACTAATAATATTACAATATAATTGTATAGTACAATATAGTGATGAAAAGCGCTGATACTGTACTGTGCTCATGGCATAATGTATTGTGTGTGTGTGTGTGTGTATGTGTATCTTGTAAGCCGCTCTGAGTCCTCTTCAGGGTGAGAAGAGCAGCATATAAATAAATAAATAAATAAATAAAATAAACTTATGGACAAGGTTAGGCTCCAAGGCAGTATGAATGAATGAGGCTTTATTTTTATCCCATCCTATCTCCTGATAGATGCAAGCTTTCTTCTTAGATTTTTTTTGAGAGCATCCCAATCCCGGCATATTTCCAATTTCCTATTCCTGGACTACAGCTTCCAACAATGCTCCAGATAGATAGATTAGGTATAGATAGATAGGTAGGTAGATAGATTGATCAGGAGGACTGCTGGGAGATGCAGTACAAGAATAGGTAGAGAAGGAAGAAAGGAGAGAAAGAGGAAGGGAAAGAATAGGGGGAAGGAAGGGAAGAGGAAGAGAAGGAAGGAAGGAGAGAAGGAAAGGAGGAAAGAAAGAGGGAGGGAAGGTTGGCCACAGCAACGCGTGGCAGGTACAGCTAATTTGTAAATAAGCACTGAAATTCCAAAAGAGAAAAGGATGCACCTTTAGCTCCGGTTCCCAGCGGTGATGGTTTTCAAGGCGCTTGTGCGTTTCAGGATGTTGGGGACGAAGAGGAGGCCGGACGCCCGCTCGATGCTCTCGATGGGGACCAGGAAGCGCTCCAAGGGGAGCTTCTCGTCCACCGGGGCGTTGGGCATGACGTAGGAGCGCAGCTCCACTTCCCCAGAGGCCTTCTCCAGGAGCACCACCTTGAAGAAGTGCGTGGGCACCGCCACATGGTTCTTCCCAATCACCTGGTACTTCACATACATCTTCCCGTCAGCCTCCATCCTGCAGGAAGAGCAACACCATTTTTGTTGTTGCGTCATCAATGACATTTCCTAATTGGCTCTGTCATACAAAGATGGGGAAAGTTTATTAAACTGCAAACATTTTGTATTCAGTGTTTGCAGCACATTTTGCTCTAGTTCTATAAAATAATAATAATAATAATAATAATAATAATAATAATTATATTTGTTGCTAAGATGATTCATTGGAACTTGTGCCACAAATACTATCTGCCTGCGACAAAGAACTGATGGGATCACAAGCTGGAAAACGCTGCGGAAAATTAACACTTCAAGCTACCCTGGGACTTCCGAATTCAGACTGATAATAATAATAATAGAACACACAAATGACCGTCACCTGGGTAGGAAAAGCGGGCCAGTGCAGACATACACACTCTGGTTATATTTGGTCAAACTCCGGCAATATTTCTCCAAGTTGTTCCAGGCGTTCTGGTTCAGGTGAGGATCCTGGAGGCAAAACACATTCCCCCATTGAGGAGATTCCCCACATTATATGACAGTATATGACAATGGTTTGCTGTAGGCACTGTCAGGCCATTTATATGCTAATCAAGGTGGTCAGTTGAAACATTCACACCTAGCTCCAGCAGACAAGAGTCCTTTGTCCCACCCTGGACATTATTCCACAGCTATATAAACCCTTTTTCCTACTTCCAACAGACCTCACTACCTCTGAGGATGCTTGTCATAGATGCAGGCAAAACGTCAGGAGAGAATGCCTCTAGAACATGGCCATATAGCCCCAAAAAACCACTTATAGGTCTGTTTGGTTTGGCTGTTTCCTTATCTCTATCTACCTACAGCAGGGGGAGGGGCTGCGTGGCAGTTCCCTCATCTCTATAGACCTGCTGGTTTGACTTATGGGTCTATGAAGGATTTAATTTCATCTATGCTGACGATTGTGCCATCACTGCCCAAGCAGGGAGCTTTAGATGCTCTTGCATTTACACAAATGACCAGTCACTGCCAGAAGGAAGAGAGTTTCATCTATGCTGATGATCATGACATCACCGTTCAAGCAGGGAGCTTTGAAATGGTTGAACAGAAGCTCTCCGAAGCTTTAGGTGCTCTTACATTTACACAAATGACCAGTCTTTGCAGTTCGATCTTTAAATACTGCTTGAGCGGTGATGGCACAATCGTCAGCATAGATGAAACTTTCTCCTCCTTCTAGCAGTGACTGGTCTTTTGTGTAAATGTAAGAGCACCTAAAGCTTTGAAAGGCTTCTTTCCAACCATTTCAAAGCTGCCTGATTGAGCGGTGATAGCATGATCATCAGCATAGATGGAACTATAAGAGTATTTAAAGCTTCGGAGAGCTTCTGTTCAATCATCTCAAAGCTCCCTGCTTGGGCAGTGATGGCACATTTGTCAGCATAGATGAAACTCTCTATCCCTTCTGGCAGTGGCTGGTCATTTGTGTCAAAATGTAAGAGCACTTAAAGCTTTGGAGAGCTTCTGTTAAACCATCTCAAAGCTCCCTGCTTGGGCGGTGATGGCACAATCGTCAGCATAGATGAAACTCTCTATCCCTTCTGGCAGTGGCTGGTCATTTGTGTCAATGTAAGAGCACCTAAAGCTTTGGAGAGCTTCTGTTCAACCATATCAAAGCTCCCTGCTTGGGCGGTGATGGCACGATCATCAGCATAGATGAAACTATAAGAGCACCTAAAGCTTTGGAGAGCTTCTGTTCAGCCATTTCAAAGCTCCCTGCTTGGATGGTGATGACACGATCGTCAGCATAGATGAAACTCTCTCTGACCTTTCTGGCAGTGGCTGGCCATTTGTGTAAATGTTAAACATGGATGGCGCAAGCTGGCTTTCGCTGTAATAGGCAGTAAGGGCACCTAAACCTTCAGAGAGCTTCTGTTCAGCCATTTCAAAGCTCCCTGCTTGGATGGTGATGACACGATCGTCAGCATAGATGAAACTCTCTCTGTCCTTTCTGGCAGTGGCTGGCCATTTGTGTAAATGTTAAACATGGATGGAGCAAGCTGGCTTTCGCTGTAAGAGGCAGTAAGGGCACCTAAACCTTCAGAGAGCTTCTGTTCATCCATCTCAAAGCTCCGTACTTGGGTGGTGATGGCACGATCGTCAGCATAGATGAAACTCTCTCTGTCCTTTCTGGCAGTGGCTGGTCATTTGTGTAAATGTTAAACGTGGATGGAGCAAGCTGGCTTTTGCTGTAAGAGGCAGTAAGGGCACCTAAACCTTCAGAAAGCTTCTGTTCAACCATCTCAAAGCTCCCTGCTTGGGTGGTGATGGCACGATCGTCAGCATAGATGAAATGGCGATGAACACCATGCTCAGCGACGGACAGGACTGGACTTAATGTCAGGGGAAACCTTTACCTTTACACTTATAGGTCTGTTTGGTTTGGCAGTTTCCTTATCTCTATCTACCTACAGCAGGGGGAGGGCCTGCTGGTTTGATTTATGCCTCTCTGAGAAGTGTGACCAAGGTGGTGGTTGTCCTCCTCCTCCTCCTCCCTGCCTGCTCACCTGAGGGGCGACGTTGGCGAGGCAGAAGGTGCTCTGCATGGCCTCCTGGCTGTGTCGGTGGTTGGCGGCGGCGGCCAGGTGTCCCTTCTGGAACCCGCTGCCCCGGTAGTCCTCGTGGGTGGCGCGGTGGAAGGGGTGGGCCTCGGGGTCGGCGTGGAAGCGGCACAGCGCCCGGTCCGCCTCCCCTCCGCCCGGAGGCCGCAGCCTCTCCATCACCCACAGCGCGCTCCGGCTCCGAGGGTCGTAGCAGAGGGCGAAGGAGTCCCTCAGGCGGACAGGGAGGAAGCCCGGCGAGCCGTACTTGGACAAGACATCCACGCTCGGAGGGGGAAGAGAGGAGGAGGCGGCGGCCAGGGAGGGAAGCCAGGCCCACAAGCCCGCCTGGGAACCCGCTCTCTCCTCATCCTCCTCGGCCGCCTTCCCTCGGCCCCAAAGGGCACCCAAGGCGAAGGAGGACAGCACAGCCGCAGCAGGCGCCCACAGCCTCCCCGCCAGGCCCGCAGCCATGCTCCAACACCTCCCTCGCCCTTCTCCCCCCTTCCTTCCACAAAGGCAAGAGGCGGGACTAGGCCTCTGCCTCCCGGCCCGTTAAAAGCACAGGCCCTGGGCCTACCTCAGCCTTCCCTCACGCCCTGACATTCCTCGCAGCCTCAGGCACCTTCCTTTCTGGCTTAAGTGGCTGAGGTAAAAAGGAAGGGGCCTACCGTTCCTCATAGCCTCAGGCATTTCCCTTCCCGCTTAAGCACCTGAGGTAAAAAGGAAGGGGCCTACCATTCCTCACAGCCTCAGGCTCCTTCCTTTCCCGCTTAAGCAGCTGAGGTAAAAATAAAGGGGCCTAACCTTCCTCACAGCATCAGGCCCTCTCCTTTCCCACTTAAGCGCTGAGGTAAAAAGGAAGGGGCCTACCATTCTTCACAGTGTCAGGCCCTCTCCTTTCCTGCTTAAGCAGCTGAGGGAGAAAAGGAAGGGGTCTACCATTCCTCATCGCCTCAGGGCCTACCATTCCTCACAGCCTCAAAGCCTACCATTCCTCACAGACTCAGGCATTTTCCTTCCCGCTTAAGCACCTGAAGTAAAAAGAAAGGGGCCTACCATTTCTCACAGCCTCAGGCTCCTTCCTTTCCTGCTTAAGCACCTGAGGTAAAAAGAAAGGGGCCTACCATTCCTCACAGCCTCAGGCTCCTTCCTTTCCTGCTTAAGCACCTGAGGTAAAAAGAAAGGGGCCTACCATTCCTCACAGCCTCAGGCTCCTTCCTTTCCTGCTTAAGCACCTGAGGTAAAAAGAAAGGGGCCTACCATTCCTCACAGCCTCAGGCTCCTTCCGTTCCTGCTTAAGCACCTGAGGTAAAAAGAAAGGGGCCTACCATTCCTCACAGCCTCAGGCTCCTTCCGTTCCTGCTTAAGCACCTGAGGTAAAAAGGAAGGGGCCTACCATTCCTCACAGCCTCAGGCTCCTTCCGTTCCTGCTTAAGCACCTGAGGTAAAAAGAAAGGGGCCTACCATTCCTCACAGCCTCAGGCTCCTTCCGTTCCTGCTTAAGCACCTGAGGTAAAAAGGAAGGGGCCTACCATTCCTCACAGCCTCAGGCTCCTTCCGTTCCTGCTTAAGCACCTGAGGTAAAAAGAAAGGGGCCTACCATTCCTCACAGCCTCAGGCTCCTTCCTTTCCCGCTTAAGCACCTGAGGTAAAAAGGAAGGGGCCTACCATTCCTCACAGCCTCAGGCTCCTTCCTTTCCTGCTTAAGCGCTGAGGTAAAAAGATAGGGGCCTACCATTCCTCACAGCCTCAGGCTCCTTCCTTTCCTGCTTAAGCGCTGAGGTAAAAAGAAAGGGGCCTACCATTCCACACAGCGTCAGGCCCTCTCCTTTCCTGCTTAAGTGGCTGAGGGGGGAAAGGAAGGGGTCTACCATTCCTCACAGCCTCAGGCTCTTTCCTTTCTCGCTTAAGCACTGAGGTAAAAAGGAAGGGGCCTACCATTCCTCACAGCCTTCAGGCTACTTCCTTTCCCACTTAAGCGCTGAGGTAAAAAGGAAGGGGCCTATCATTCTTCACAGCCCCAGGCCTTTCTTTTCCCGCTTAAGTGGCTGAGGTAAAAAGAAAGGGGCCTACCATTCCTCACAGCCTCAGGCTCCTTCCTTTCCTGCTTAAGCACCTGAGGTAAAAAGAAAGGGGCCTACCATTCCTCACAGCCTCAGGCTCCTTCCTTTCCTGCTTAAGCACCTGAGGTAAAAAGAAAGGGGCCTACCATTCCTCACAGCCTCAGGCTCCTTCCTTTCCTGCTTAAGCACTGAGGTAAAAAGATAGGGGCCTACCATTCCTCACAGCCTCAGGCCCTTTCCTGTCCCACTTAAGCGGCTGAGGGGAAAAAGGAAGGGGTCTACTGTTCCTCACAGCCTCAGGGCCTACTGTTCCTCATAGCCTCAGGGCCTACCATTCCTCACAGCCTCAGGCCCTTTCCCGCTTAAGCAGCTGGGGTAAAAATAAAGGGGCCTACCATTCCTCACAGCCTCAGGTTCTTTCCCAATTAAGAGGCTGAGGTAAGAAGAAAGGGGCCTAGCATTCCTCACAGCCTCAGGTGCCTTCCTTTCCCCCTTCAGCCATTTAGGCGGGAAAGAAAAGGGCCTGAGGCTGTGAGGAATGGTAGGGATTGAGGGAAGGCCCAAGTAGGCCCAAGCCTGGGTGATAGTATTTATTTACCATATTTGTCAGAGCAGTTCACAGTTGGCAAACTTGATGCCTCAACAAATAAAACAATCATAAAATACTGTTAATAACATTTGTGTAAAATATAAAAAATGTACAAAGCCATAAAAACATTATTGTGAGCATCTCTTTGTTAAAATTGTTATGCAATTGCATCGTCGGGCCGTTCCATGATTTCGTATAATTATGCTGGATTAGCAAAAGCCTGCTCAAAAAGCTAGGTTTTAATCTTTCTTTGAAAAGTCAGGAAGGAGGGGGGAATTCTTATATCTCTGGGAAGGGCGTTCCACAGTCGAGGGGCCACCACTGAGAAGGCCCTCTTTCTCGTCCCCGCCAAACACATCTGTGAGGAAAGCAGGACCGAGAGCAGGCCTCCCCAGAAGATCTTAGTGTCCTAGATGGTTCATAAGGAGAGATACATTCGGAACCATTTAGGGCAGTGGTTCTCAACCTGTGGGTCCCCAGATGTTTTGGCCTACAACTCCCAGAAATCCCAGCCAGTTTACCAGCTGTTAGGATTTCTGGGAGTTGAAGGCCAAAACATCTGGGGACCCACAGGTTTGGGGCTTTATAGGGGACCACAATTGAAGGGAGATGTTGAGTCTAAATGTGTCCAGAGGAAGTAGATGACTCAAAGGATCGAAGGTCTGGAGAACAAGCTCTATGAGTAGCAGCTGAAAGACCTGGGCATGTTTAGCCAGAAGAAGAGAAGGCAGAGAGGAGACATGATGAGGGCCATGGATCAAGATCTGAGGGGAAGTCATAGGGGAGATGTTGACAAGCTGGAATGTGTCCAGAGGAGGGTGACTAAAATGATCAAGGGTCTGGAGAACAAGCCCTATGAGGAGCGGCTTAAAGAGCTAGGCATGTTTAGCCTGAAGAAGAGAAGGCTGAGAGGAGACATGATAGCCATGTATAAGTATGTGAGAGGAAGTCATAAGGAGGAGGGAACAAGCTTGTTTCCTGCTGCACTGAAGACTAGGACATGGAACAATGGCTTCAAACTACAGGAAAGGAAATTCCATCTGAACATTAGGAAGAACTTCCTGACGGTGAGAGATGTTCAGCAGTGGAACTCTCTGCCCCGGAGTGTGGTGGAGGCTAGTAAATAAATAAATAATAAACACACAAAAACACACTTTGAAATATCAATAAACACACACACAATTCCAAAAAAATTTGGTTGGAAAAGAAACGTTGCAAATTTTCTGCCAAAGAAATTTACTCCAACCTGCATCATCAAACACTGAGAAGATGACAAGATGGTATACTCCTCACTCCAAGGAAAATGGAGCCTATTTGAACAGAAGCGAGAACACACAAAAAAAGACGTGTTTTATGTTCACAAAACAATAAAGAAAGAAAGAAAAATTGGAGATTGGCAGCTTGGGACCAAAGAGCCTCAAGGGAGGACAGAATGGCCTCTTCCTTTTTCGAAACACAAAACCCAAAAGTGAATTGATGGATGAGAAAGAAGCTTCTGTGGTGATGACAGCGTTCCGAAGCGACTTTGGGGCCGACTCCATTCCGTTTGTAAACAGAGGACTCCTGCCAACTGCGCCAAAAATGTGCCAACTTCTACGATGCTAAATTCCAATCCGAATCCAGTGACGAAACAAGGACAGCAAGCCTGATCCTGTATAAACCTGAAGAGCAAAGAACTAAAGTAATTTGGTGAAGCAGCGCCCGACAAAGACGTTGACATCCCCGTTTGTCATTTGTAACATCCACTTTCCATCCTTGGGATTCGTATGCTATCCTCCAAAGAGAGCCCACATTGATCATGTGAGTTGAAGCAGATATGGGCAAACTTTGGCCTTTGCTCAAAGTGTTTTGGACTGCAACTCCAACAACTCCCAGCCTCAGGCCCTTACCTTTTCTCCCTCAGCCGCTTAAGCGTTATATCTAATGAGACCTGAAGGTAAGCCTCTCTTAGATCTATCACTCTATCATCTACCTGAAGGTAGGCATCTCTTAGGTCTATCACTCTATCGTCTAGCTTAAGCGACTGAGGGGGGAAACGAAGGGGTCTGAGGCCAGGAATTGTGGGAGTTGAAGTCCAAAACAACCGGAGGGAAGACCAACGTTTACCCATGCCTGTTCTATCTTTCCACAACCCACTGACAGATGGACACAGAAGGAAATAAACATCCCAAAGCCTCATGGAATGAACGTCAATGTTCAACTCGATGACGAAACCTCTTTAGTGGATTCTGATCCCTTGGAAAGGCTGTGATTGAGCTGTAATGTCATCCCTTGGGCCTGTAAATTTCCAAACACGGAGGAGGTTGTCTCTCTCGAAGGCAGCGGGGTGATAAGGCGGTTGGTTGGTTCCAACATCGTTCTCTTCCTTCCATTTGGTCTCTTTGGGACCAGCTTCGAAAAGAAATTGCCAGTCCCCCAAAAAGAAGGAGAACGAATCGGGAAAAGTGGTGGAAACCTAATCATCTCGAAAGAAGAGACAGAGAGCTCCATCTACTATTAAGGTATACAGGAGACCGTTGTGTCAAAGCAAACCCTTGAAGTCCTCACTCCATCCATCTTGGGGTTTTTTTTTGCATCTTGGGAGTTCCTTCCATTAATGCCATTGTTTGTTCCGCGGAGGCTGAAACACATAGAAAACTCTGTATTTCATTTCCCCGACTATAGATAAGTCATTAAAAAAAATACAGGAAAGAAGGTAACTCCATAAAGAGTCTTTTTTTCTCCAACCACGGAGGGGCTATTTGGCGTCTTGGAGGTCTTTCGCCTTCTTCAAAATGAGATGGACGTCTGAAATGGGGTAATCCTGCAATGGCAAAAATATAAAGGATTACTTTGAGTCTGCTGGTGGGTAGAAAAAGCAGAGAAGAAATAAACACCGCCACCATCTTAATCATCATCACTGAGTTTGGGGATTCTAGGTAGTTCACAACATAATGGAAAAATATAAATACGAGGGGTATTTTTTAAGTAAGTTCCGTTTTGTTGTAGACACTAATAGTTCATGCGCATACCGCAAAGAGCGCGTGCGTCGTGTACCGGCATGCCTCGGGAACAACTGTGCTCAGTTTCCACTCTGTAGCTAACCTTTACGGTTCTGTTCTGTGCTTTAAAAATGTTTAAGACTATCAACTCACCCTCCGCATGTGAGGTTCGCTCAGTGATATGGAACCTGCCTGCTGCAGAAATTCATCGACAGATTTGTGAAGTGTACGGTAATACTGTTATGAGTGAAAGCAAAGTGCGAAGTGGGTACGACAATTCAAAGATGGCCGTGACAACGTCCATGATGAGGACCGCTCCTGGTCGCCCTTCTTTGATTACAGACGATTTGGTGGCTTCAGTTGAAGCGAGGATTCGTGAGAACAGGCGCTTCACAATAACAGGTCTCTCAAACGAATTTCCTGGCGTGTCGAGATCAGTGCTTTACAACATTGTTTCTGAACACCTAAAGTTTAGGAAACTGTGCTCCCGTTGGGTCCCGAAACTCCTAACAGAGGACCACAAAAACCAAAGATTTGAGTGTGCGATCAAATCAAATCGTCTGTAATCAAAGAAGGGCGACCGGAGCAGTCCTCATCATGGACGTTGTCACGGCCATCTTTAAATTGTCGTACCCACTTATGCACTTTGCTTTCACTCATAACAGTATCACCGTACACTTCACAAATCTGTCGATGAATTTCTGCAGCAGGCAGGTTCCTTGCTGACAAAAACCGTATCACTGAGCGAACCTCACATGCGGAGGGTGAGTTGATACGTCTTAAACATTTTTAAAGCACAGAACAGAACCGTACAGGTTAGCTACAGAGCGGAAACTGAGCACAGTTGTTCCCGAGGCATGCCGGTACACGACGCATGCTCGTTGCGGTATGCGTGCGAACTACTAGTGTCTACAACACAACGGATCTTACTTAAAAAATACCCCTCGTGCACACACACACACACATATATAACGTGTATTATGTATAACATTTTGCATTTCAGTAAAACAGTGAAGCACATTATGAATAAATATAAAAATATAATAATAATATAAATAATGTAAATAAATATAAACTATTATTATTATTATCATTATCCAGCGCCAACGGCTGCTCTGGGACCAGAGTGGAGGCCAGGAAGATAGTTCCACCTTGTCTCCTGTGCTAATAATATAATATATTGTATATACATATAATATTGATAGTATGCAAAGCTATGAACCTAGCAAAGATGGTTCACACTTAACAAACTCCCTCTGCTTCTCTCTCTCAAGGGTTTTACCTGCAAAAGTCGCATGTTGAGAGTAAAATCGCCTTCTAGCAATTGGTCCCGAATGAGCCTACGATGACAGGAGAAAGAGAAGACGTGACAAAAATCAGACGGGAGAGAAAGGGAATGTTGCATTGTCAACAACTGGAATGGCTGATTATTTTAGTGACACAAATGCACAGTATGTCACAGCAAATGAGATCTATATGCTGGATTATTATTATTATTATTATTATTATTATTATTATTATTATTATTATTATTATTATTACCCTGCTTTATCTCCCCATGATGATAATGTAATAATGTAATAATATAAATAAAATGTATATGTATACATATTATATTAACATAACACAATATTAGTATTATATATTATTATATTGCACTATACTACTATACTGCGATATTATTAGTAATATATATAATATATAATTATTATTATATTATTATATATTACTAGCCGTCCCCTGCCACGTGTTGCTGTGGACCAGTCTGTGTTTATGTGTTTTGTGTGTGTATATATGTGTGTTTGCATATATATATATGTGGTTTTGTAATGCATTTTTATTTTATTTCTTTGCTTTTTAAGTCCCCTTCCACTGTGTTTTTCAATGTTTTTATGAGTGACGGTCACTCGTTGGCCTGAGAGGTGTCTTGTGTACAAATTTGGTGTCAATTCGTCTAGTGGTTTTTGAGTTATGTTAATCCCATAAAGAAACATTACATTTTTATTTATGTAATTATATTGTACTGTATTATTATACCACAATACAAATAGCACACCACCAATATATTATACTATTATATAATATATTGTAGCATATCATAAGCAGTATTATGTACTATAATATATTATATTACAACATTATTAATATTATATATAATATATTGCTAGTATTATATTACAATGTTATTAGGTTTATATATTATTATGTGTTATATAAGTATGTGTATGTATATGTGTATGTGTGTGTATGCATGCATGCTCTGGTTCTGATTTTGCAGCAATTTGATTTGGCGCAAGCCTTCTGATCTCCAACCACAACAAAGCCTTTGGCCGAAGGACACAGGAAGGTCTTGGCTTGGGCCAAAGTCCATCTCGTCCAACCAGGGAAGATAAACTTGGGTGAGATGGACTTTGGTCTCTCCAAGAGTAATGCATTATCAGCATACTCACCAACAAAGCTGCAGTCAACTATTTTTCACTTCCAAGACCTAGAGGGAAACAGCCCTTTGGGAGATATAATTCCCAGAAAGCCACTGTGGGAAGGCAGCTCAAATTACAACCAATCTATTCTCATTTGGTTCCTTTTTGAAGCTTTATTAGTGTTAGTACAGGTGCCGATAACTGTTTTTTGTGTTGTGAGCTGCCCCGAGTCCCCTTGGGAAAGGGGGCGGGATGTAAATAAAGATGATGATGATGATTAGTTGAGGACAGTGAGTGCCATGAAGAAGAAGGAGGAGAAAGAAGGAAGGAGGAGGAAGGGGAAGGAGAAAGGAAGAAGGGAAAGGAGGAGGAAGGACAAAGGAGGGAGGAGGAGAGAGAAGAAAGGAGGAGAAAGGAGTAAAAATGGAGGAGGAAGTGAAGAAAGGAGGGATAAAGGAGGAAGAGAAAGGAGAAAGCGGAAGGGAAAGGAGGAAGGGAAAGGAGGAGAAAGGAAAGAGGAGGGAGGAGAAAGTGAAGGAGGAAAGAGAAAGGAAGAGGAAGGAGAAAGGAGAAGGAAGGAAGAGGAAGGAGAAGAGAAGGGCGAAGGAGGAAGAGAAAGGTGGAGAAAGGAAAAAGGGGAGGAGAAAGTAAATAAAGGAGGAAGAGGAAGGAGAAGGAAGGAAGAGGAAGGAGGAAGTGAAAGGCAAAGGAGGAAGGGAAAGGAGGAGAAAGGAAAGAGGAGGGAGGAAAATGTGAATAAAGGAGGAAAGAGGAAGGAAAAGGAAGGGGAAGGAGAAAGGAGAAGGAAGGAAGAGGAAGGATGAGAAAGGAAGTGAAAGGCAAAGGAGGAAGGGAAAGGAGGGGAAAGGAAAGAGGAGGGAGGAGAAAGTGAATAAAGGAGGAAAGAGGGAGGAAGAGGAAGGAGAAAGGAGAAGGAAGGAAGAGGAAGGAGGAAGTGAAAGGCAAAGGAGGACGAGAAAGGAGAAAAGAGGGAGGAGGAAGTAAATAAAGGAGGAAAGAGGAAGGAAGAGAAAGGAGGAAGAAGGAGAAAGGAAAAGGAAGGAAGAGGAAGGAGGAGAAAGAAGGCAGTGAAAGGCAAAGGAGGAAGGGAAGGGAGGAGAAAGGAGGAAAGAGGAGAGAGAAGAAAGTGAAGAAAAAAGGAAGAGGAGGGAGGAAGGAGAAAGAAATGAAGGAGGAAGGGAAAGGAGATTTGAGGAGGAAGAAGAAAGAAGGAAGGAGAAAAGTGGAGGGAGGAGAAATGAGGAATCATAACAACAACAATGCTTTGTTTATATCCCACCCCATCTCCCCAAGGGGACTTGGAACAGCTTACAACGGGAAAGATCATATACATAATAATACACACAGGACAATTTGGGAAAAATTAAATCAATCGAAGTAAAAACAAATAATAATACATAGGAAAGAATAAATAACAGGAAACATGTTAAGTTACAAATATAAGTATAAAACGAAGTAATCAATAGGACATGGAAGGGGGAGGAGAAAGGAGGAGGAGGAAGAACAACAAGGGGGAGTCCCATACATCAACATGGCGCAGCAGACCAGCAGCAGGAAGTCAAAGCGGTTGTCGTCAGCGAAGAGGGAGTCCCAGATGCGGATGACGTCTGGCAAGAGGAACTCCTGGGAGAGGAGCAGCGTCAGCCAGCGGAAGGCAAAGAACTGGGGCTTGATGCTCTGCTCTTGCTGCAAAAGAGACCCCCCAAGACAGGCATCCCTTCAGCTCATTGCCAAGAGGGATCCGGAACAGGAACAGAAATTATTCCAAAAACTGTTGGAGGAGATGCCAAGAAGTGGGAACATATACACACATGTGGTGGCAATGCAAAAATGTAAATAATTTTTTGGGGGGAAAAGTATTTAGTGGTGCCAAGATGAAAGCAAATACCAAAATACCTTAATTTAGCATGGCTCAAGCTCTTTCAAAAAATATACGGTGGCCTCACAAAAGGAAGTGGGAAACACCTAGTTTGCATGACAGAAATCCTTGAGTCAGTGTCTCGTTCGAGTAGAGCTCGGTTTCTTTTTTCCGTTTCTAAAAAGGACAATTCTGCACCCGAAACTCTTTCGGTATTTGGAGAGGGTTTCGCTTAGTTGCTATATGACTCTACAGGAAGCTTGTGGGTTTCAATACGCAGTACTTCCTTCCCTCAAAGGCCTTAAGCAGAGAACGAGTATACTTGTACTACTACTACTATTATTAAGAATATTATTAATAATATACTATTATTAATATGGTAATAACAATAACAACATACTACTATTAATACTTGTACTACTATTATTAATAATATACTATTATTACTATATTAATAACAATAACAACATACTACTATTAACACTTGTACTACTATTATTAAGAATATACTATTATTAATATATTAATAATAACTACATACTGCTATTAATACTTTTACTATTAAGAATATACCATTATTAATATATTAATAATAACAACAGTGCTATTACTACTTGTACTACTATTAATAATATACTATTATTAATATAATAATAAAAATAACAACATACTTCTATTAACACTTGTACTACTATTATTAATAATATACTATTATTAATATATTAATAATAACAACATAGTGCTACTAATACTTGTACTACTATTAATAATATACTATTATTAATATATTAATTACAATAACAAAATACTATTAATACTTATACTACTATTATTAATAATAATACACTATTATTAATATATTAATAACAATAATATACCACTATTAACACTTGTACTACTATTATTAATAATATACTATTATTAATATATTAATAATAACAACATACTGCTATTAATACTTGTACTGCTATTATTAATAATAAAATATACTATTATTAATACATTAATAATAACAACATACTGCTATTAATACTTGCACTGCTATTATTAATAATATATTATTATTAATGTATTAATAATAACATACTGCTATTAATATTTGTACTATTTTTAATAATATACTATTATTAATATATTAATAACAACATACTGCTATTAATACTTGTACTACTATGATTATTGAGAAAATTAATAATAAGATATGCTGAGCTGCTAAACTTGCTAACCAAAAGGTCGGCAGTTCGAATCCGGGGAGTGGAGCTCCTGCTGTTAGCTCCAGCTCCTGTCAGCCTAGCAGTTCAAAAACATGCAAATGTGGGTAGGTCAATAGGTACCGCTTCTGCAGGTAACAGAGCTCCATTCATCATGCTGGCCACATGACCTTGGAGGTGTCTATGGACAATGCTGGCCCTTCGGCTTAGAAATGGAGATGAGTCCCAGAGTCGGACACAAGTAGACTTAATGTCAAGGGGAAACCTTTACTTTTGTTGCTGTTGTTATGATGTGACATACAAATGCAGGCATTTCTCACCAGCTTCATGTACAGCTCCATGTCTTTCTCTTTCAAGGTGCAGTAGACCTTCTCCATTTTGTAGGTGATGCCACACTGGGAGTCGTCCAGGGACTTGATGAAGTTGTCCCTGATCTCAGACATGAGGTTGGTGAAGCAGAAGAAGGTGTCCGCTTCGGCGTGTTCTGTGAGGGGCAAAGAGGACGCCATTATCCGCTCCGTTTGCAGGGTAAATTTTGGAAAGGCATGACTCTTTAGATCATAGCCTTTTGGAAAAATGATACCATAACCTTTTGGAAAATGGCATTCGGCATAACCTTTTGGGAAATCAGGAATCTCGATGAGAAGAGTGAAAAACCCACTTGAGTCAACCATCTCCTTAGTGGTAAATATCCACCACCATTCATAGCAAGGCAATTAGGTTTCTCGGCTGTTAGACTGATATACCTAGATATCTCTTTGAACGGTTAGGGACTAAGATATGCCAATGCACAAGAAATATATAGCAGAGTTCCAGATGTGTTGTTTCAGTTGCTCAAGAAACATCTACTCTCCCTTCAAACATAATGCTCTCTTTAAATAATAATAAAAATTATAAAAAATTGTAAAAATGACGTAGTCATTAAAATAACATAGTTGTACTGTACTGTTTCTACTGGCATCTGAAAGGATACTGTTTCTACACGAACATCTAGTGGCTTCTGCCTTTCTAAAATGGAGTCTGAGTTCTGAATAGTCCCAGTTCTGGTCACATGGTCTGCAGCCCCTCCCACAACACAAAGTTGAGGAAAACTGTATATCAGTACCCACATATGCAATACAGGAAACAATTCTATACATAACAAATAACTAGTGGAGGCTTGAAGAAGGTTGCTATTTTCTAAAATGGAGTCTGAGTCCTGAATAGTCCCAGTTCTGGTCACATGGCCTGCAGCCCCTCTCACAACATAGAGCTGAGGAAAACTGCATCTCAATACACTCATATACAAATAGCAATTTTATACATAACAATTAACTAGTGGGGGCTTGAAGAAGGTGGCTATTTTCTAAAATGGAGTCTGAGTCCTGAATAGTCCCAGTTCTGGTCACATGGTTTGCAGCCCCTCCCACAACATAAAATTGAGAACACGAAGAACACGAAAACTTGAGAGGTATAATTAGCAAAATTTATAAGATATTAATTGAAATGAAAGATGAAAAAACAAAAAAGTGCACCCTTAAAGAGATTGGGAAGAAGATTTAGGGATAAAAATAAGCGAAATAGAGTGGCAACAATTATGGGGACAAAGACATTTAAAAAATTTATCGATACGAGTTAAAGAAAATTATTACAAGTTAATATGGAAGTGGTACTTGACACCGGTAAGAATAGCATATATGAATAAAAATAACTCAATAAATTGTTGGAGAGGGTGTCAAGAACCAGGAACATATATACACATGTGGTGGCAATGTAAATATGTAAATAATTTTTGGGAGAAAGTATTTAGAGAAATAGAAACTATAATGAATATAAAAATAGATAAAAGTCCTAGTATAGCATTACTATCACTATATAACGATAAGCAATTGAAAAAGGAGGATAAAGAAGCGATAACAAACTTACTAACTATAGCAAGACTGCTTATAGCAAGGAATTGGAAAAAAGAAATGAATATACAAATAGAGGAGTGGTATAAAGAAGCATGGAAAATAGCAATAAACGATAAATTGACATGTATATTAAAGGTTAAAAAAGGTATATGGAAACAAAGCGATTTTGATGCTGTATGGGGAAGATTTGTGGTAAATGGATTAAAAAATAAGGAAGGAAAATTACCGTCACAAGAAGAAATGAAATTTTGGACAGATGAAATGTAAGAAGGGTGGCTTGAAATGGGTGGAGGGGAGCACTGTGGTGAAAAAAGGGGGGAAAAAAATGAGAAAAAGGGGGAGAAATGTCAGAGTAAAATAATAAAATAACATGTTAAAGAGGTTGATGTACAAAATGTAATAGTATGTAATAAAGTGATAAATTAATAAAAAAAAAAATTCAACTGGGTCACCGTAAATCAATAGATGGCTTCAAGGCACACACACATAAAGCTACACCTTCTAAAAAAAAAATAAAAAAAAATTGAAAGAAAAAAATATTTAAAAAAAAAATAAATAAAATTGAGGAAAACTGCATATCAATACATACATATAAAGTACAGGAAGCAATTCTATACATAACAACTAGTGGAGGCTTGAAAAAGGTTGCTATTTTCTAAAATGGAGTCTGAGTCCTGAATAGTCCCAGTTCCAGTGACATGGTCTGCAGCCCCTCAGACAATACAGAGTTGAGGAAAACTGCATCTCAATACACACATATAAAGTACAGGAAGCAATTCTATACATAACAACTAGTGGAGGCTTGAAGAAGGTTGCTATTTTCTAAAATGGAGTCTGAGTCCTGAATAGTCCCAGTTCCAGTCACATGGTCTGCAGCTCCTCCCACAATATAGAGTTGAGGAAAACTGCATCTCAATACACACGGATACAATACAGGAAAATAATTCTATACATAACAAATAACTAGTGAAAGCTTGAAGAAGGTTACTATTTTCTAAAATGGAGTCTGAGTCCTGAATAGTCCCAGTTCTGGTCTGCAGCCCCTCCCACAATAGAGAGTTGAGGAAAACTGCATATCAATACACATGGATACAATACAGGAAACAATTCTATACATAACAAATAACTATGGATGTATGATTTTATTGACTTTTTATGAAATTATATTTTATATGCTATGTTTTTCATTGTATTTTATATATTGGGGGGCATCGAATAGTGCCGAATGTAAACCACCTTGTTGCCTTCGGGCTGAGAAAGGCAGTATATAAATACGGTAAATAATAATAATAATAATAATAAAATAACTTGAAAAAGGTTACTATTTTCTAAAATGGAGTCTGAATCCTGAATAGTCTCAGTTCTGGTCACATGATCTGCAGCCCCTCCCATCTCAACACACACATATACAGTACAGGAAGCAATTCTATACATAACAATTAATTACTGGAGGCTTGAAGAAGGTTGCCATTTTCTAAAATGGAGTCTGAGTCCTGAATAGTCCCAGTTCTGGTCACATGTATAAGCAAGTCTATACATAACAAATAACTAGTGGAGGTTTGAAGAAGGTGGCTATTTCCAACAGTAAAGAGTCCAGAGAGTGGTTCAGGAAGCGCAGGCCCCTCTTACCTTTCCATTCGCTGTTGGGGTCGGTGGCGAATGTGTAGTAGAGCGGCCCCACGATTTCGTTCATGCCTTGGACATAGGCGATGCCCGGGTTCAGCTTGGCGTAGATGAAGAGGATCCGCTCCACCACCTCCCAGTGGGCTTCGCAGCCGTTGGGCAGGATTTCGTATTCGCTCAATGAATTCGGAGCTGCCGTTTTGTGCGGAGAACTCACCTGGGAGATAAATAAAATTATTGATTGATCAACAGTATTGATACCCCACAGGAGCAGAACTCCTCTCCTCCTCCTACACGAGGACATAATGCTTGTGCTCACGTTGGTCACGCCACTCCTGTTCCTGGCCACGGTCTGAGACTTGAGGGTGGTCTGCTCCACGCGTTTGCGGAGGGTCTCAAACTCGTTCTGTGGGTCGAGGATCAAGAGGCAAGGGTAGTCGGTGGGCCGCTGGAAGAAGGCCATGTCCGGATAGAGTCGCCTGCGAGGGTCACACAAGCAAAGGTTGGCATCAAGGCTATTCAGCAGTTGAGTTGTCTCAACAAACAATCTTCCTGGGACCAGAAGCCTTTGGGATTTCTGATCCTTTCGGATTTTAGAATGTCTATATTTGCATATACAGGTAGGCCCCAACTCATAAGAGCACCCTAAGGGGATATATATAGAACTCCAATATGCTGATGATAGCATACTCTGTGCTCATTCACAAGAAGACCGGCAAGCCATTCTAAACACCTTTGCAGAAGCATACTGGCAAGCTATTTAACCTCAGCAGACTGAAAGCCAAAACCAAAGTCTACGAGGGATCACCTAAGTAAGTATACCACTATACTCCCTTATTATTAGTAATAATACATGAAATATATAATATACAGTTAGGATTATATATATATATATATACTAGCCGTCCCCTGCCACGTATTGCTGTGGCCCAGTCTGTGTACATGTATTTTGTGTGTGTATATATTTGTGTATATATGTGTGTTTGCATATATGTGTGTGTGTGTGGTTTTGCGCATGCATTGTAATGTATTTTTTAGTTTTTTTGGCTTTTTAAGTCCCTTCTGTTGTGTTTTATGAGTGATGGTCACTTGTTGGCCTGAGAGGTGTCTTGTATCCAAATCTGGTGTCAATTTGTCCAGTGGTTTCTGAGTTCTGTGAATAGCACAAACGAACATTACATTTTTATTTATATAGACTAGCCGTCCCCTGCCGCACATTGCTGTGGCCCAGTCTGTGGTTTTGTGTGTGTATATATTTGTGTTTTATTTATATTTTTATATATATATATATATATATATCACAAATATATATATATATATATAGTTTTGCGCATGCGTTGTAATGTATTTTTTAGTTGTTTGGCTTTTTAAGTCTCTTCTGCTCTGTTTTTCAGTGTTTTTATGGGTGATGGTCATTTGTTGGCCTGATATGTGTATTGTGTCCAAATTTGATGTCCATTCGTCCAGTGGTTTTTGAGTTATGTTAATCCCACAGATGAACATTACATTTTTATTTATATAGATTACATTGTACTATATTATTACACCAGAATATATGCAATACACTACTAGTAATTATACTATTAGCATTATATATATATATATATAATTATTATAATACATTACTATGACATTATTATTAAAATATAAGTCGGAAATGACACGCACACACAATATACTATTACTATATTATTAATATTATTATATATGATATGAAACATTATATTATCTATATAAATAAAAATGTAATATTTGTTTGTGGGATTAACATAACTCAAAAACCACTGGACGAATTGCTACCAAATTTGGACACAGTACATGTATCAGGCCAAAGAGTGACCATCACTCAAAAAAACACTGAAAAACACAGAAGATGTGCAAAACGACATATATACACATAAACACAAATATATACATAAACATATACACATATGTACACACACAAAACACATATACACAGACGGCCACAGCAACACGTGGCAGGGGACGGCTAGTATTATATTATTATTATTATTATTATTATTATTATTATTATTATTATGAATGCCTACCTGACATCTTTGTCTATCTGCAGCAGGACTTCGTTGTCTTTGAAGTAAGTATTCCACCGACTATCTGGGTTCGGATTCAGCGGCTTCACAAAAGAAGCAAGAAAAGATGGGGAAGAAAACAAAGGAAGTAAGCCAGAAATAAAAATTAATCAACACTAATAATAATAGTAATAATGATGATGATGACGATGGTATGAAGAAGCAGCCTTATGGTGGACTCACGTGGTCTTCTAGTGTCACGTCTTCCCTGGAGACGCCGAGGTTGGCTTTGGCGATCCCAGGCTGGATAATCATTTCCTTCAAGAACTGGGCGTACAATTCCCTTTTTTGGGGAGGACGGAAGAGAAAAAGAATCACGCCACAATGAAGGAAAAAACAGTTTTGCTCCCATTATGCAAATTATACAATTTGACGCAACTACAGAAACATATGGAATGTACCTCTGCTTCTTCAAGAGAGAGCTCCATAACGTTCTCTCGACTGGAAGGTAGTTCAAGAGGATCTGCATCGAGAAAAGCAATTTTATTATTATTTTACTAAAGGAAAGCGATTTGGGGACATTCAGGCTGGCACATTATTGATTTCTGTGTGGACATTCTAAATCAGCCACTGCCACAAGGGACACAGATTTTCATCTATGCTGACAATCATGCCACCACCACTCAAGTAAGGAACTTTGAAATGGTTGGACAGAAGCCCTCCAAAGCTTTAGCTGCTCTTATAGTTTCATCTATGCTGACGATTGTGCCATCACCGCTCAAGCAAGGAGCTTTGAAATGGTTAGACAGAAGCCCTCCAAAGCTTTGAACTTTCATCTATGCTGATGATCGTGCCAACACCGCTCAGGCAAGAAACTTTGAAATGGTTGGACAGAAGCTCTCCAAAGCTTTAGATGCTCTTATAGTTTTACCTATGCTGACGATCATGCCATCATCGCTCTAGCAAGGAACTTTGAAATGGTTGGACAGAAGCCCTCCAAAGCTTTAAACTTTCATCTATGCTGATGATCGTGCCATCACTGCTCAATCAAGGAACTTTGAAATGGTTGGACAGAAGCCCTCCAAAGCTTTAAATTTTCATCTATGCTGATGATTGTGCCATCACCGCTCAAGCAAGGAGCTTTGAAATGGTTGGACAGAAGCCCTCCAAAGCTTTAAATTTTCATCTATGCTCACAATTGTGCCATCACCGCTCAAGCAAGGAGCTTTGAAATGGTTGGACAGAAGCCCTCCAAAGCTTTAAATTTTCATCTATGCTGACGATTGTGCCATCACCGCTCAAGCAAGGAGCTTTGAAATGGTTGGACAGAAGCCCTCCAAAGCTTTAAATTTTCATCTATGCTGACAATTGTGCCATCACCGCTCAAGCAAGGAGCTTTGAAATGGTTGGACAGAAGCCCTCCAAAGCTTTGAACTTTCATCTATGCTGATGATCGTGCCAACACCGCTCAGGCAAGAAACTTTGAAATGGTTGGACAGAAGCTCTCAGAAGCTTTAGGTGCACTTATATTTTCATCTATGCTGACGATTGTGCCATCACCGCTCAATCAGGGAACTTTGAAATGGTTGGATAGAAGCCCTCCAAAGCTTTAACCTTTCATCTATGCTGATGATTGTACCATCACCGCTCAAACAAGGAGCTTTGAAATGGTTGGACAGAAGCTCTCCAAAGCTAAGATGCTCTTATAGTTTCATCTATGCTGATGATTGTGCCATCACTGCTCAATCAGGGAGCTTTGAAATGGTTGGACAGAAGCCCTCCAAAGCTTTAGGTGCTCTTATAGTTTCATCTATGCTGATGATCGTGCCATTACCGCTCAAGCAAGTGCGGAGAAGAGCAAACCACAGACCACAGACTACAATGCAGCCTGAGTCCTGGCACATGCATAATGGAGGACCTTTTCACAGCGACACCAGAGGCACGCCAAGTGGTCAAAGGAAATTGAGCATAATGCCAAGTTTTATTTATTTATCATGTCAGAAGCTATTCTCAATTAGCCTCTGACACGATAAATAAATAAAATCTATTTATTTATCTGTTAATAGAGATCAATACAGTATGATTCAAACCCGAAGAGGAATACTCAAGGGAGTGAAGGAAGCCCTCTCACCTTCCAGCAGAGACAACGCAAACCACCTTCAAAAGGAACCCCTGGGAAATAAGGGAAAGAGAACCACAAAGATTAATCACAGATTTTTTAGCAAGATTAGTTTTCCGTAGCTTTTGGAAAGGAGGCGGTTCTATTATGTATTGATTAGTAAAGAAAACTTGTATTTGACAGTTAAATAGTAAGCAGGCCTTGAGCCTATCACCAAGATGACTTCAAAGATTGCAACAGCAGCTAGTAAATCATTCGATCCTCAAGTTAGTATTTTGGCAACTGAACAATAGCTCAAGGTTTAGGTCTTGAATCGGAAATTGATTCCAAAGTCCATTTTGTCCTATTCAAAGAGTCAGGATTTCATTGGGAATTAAGAGAGCCCCATAGAATGAAGCTATCCATGAAAGGGGAATACTCTTATCAATAGTATCAATAATACAATAATATTATAATATAATATTATCAGTAATGCAAGCTCTCTTTCAGGGACAAAATAAGATAATAATAAAATAATAACATTAATAATGATTGATGATAATATTATCAATAATACACATGCTCCTTCAGGGGTAAAACAAAAACAGCAGCAGCAACAGCAACAATAATAACAACCTCCCTATAATAATAATAATAATAATAATAATAATAATAATAATAATAATAATTGATGATAATATTATCAATAGTAGTCGTGCTCTTTCAGGGGCAAAAAAGCAGCAGCAGCAACAACAACAACAACCTCCATATAATAAATAATAATAATAATAATAATAATAATAATAATAATAATTGATGATAATATTATCAATCGTAGTCGTGCTCTTTCAGGGGCAAAAAAGCAGCAGCAGCAACAACAACAACAACCTCCATATAATAATAATAATAATTATTATTATTATTATTATTATTGATAATATTATCAATGGTAGTCGTACTCTTTCAGGGGCAAAACAACAACAACAACAACAACAACAAAATGATGATGATGATAATAATAATAATAATAATAATAATGGATGATAATATTATCAATAATACAAGTGCTCTTTCAGTGGCAAAATAGCATAATAATAATAATAATAATAAATTGATATTATCAATAATACACATGCTCTTTCAGGAGCAAAATAACATAATAAAAATATAATAATATTAATAACAAATGATAATATCATCAATGATACAAGTGCTCTTTGAGGGGCAAAATAGCATTATAATAATAATATAAAATATAATGTTATCCATTATAATTTATGATATTCTTAATAATACAAGTGCTCTTTCAGGGGATAGCATAATAACAATTATGTAAAATATAATATATATTATATAAAATATAATAATGTTTTCTATAGTAATAATAATGTATGATATCAGTAATACAAATGCTCTTTCAGGGGCAAAAAAAAGCATAATAATAAGATGATAACAATATCAATAATACAAGAACTCTTTCTGGGATGAAGTAGAATAATAATAATAATAATAATAATAATAATAATAATAATATCAATAATACAAGTGCTCCTTCAGGGGCAAAACAGCATGCCAAAAAATATCAGATATCATTTATGAATCATGAGACAGCAATGTACGTATATCGACATCCTCAGGGCACAGTTAATGCCGCAAAGATGGTTATCTCCAAATGCTCAGCGAGAGAACCATCCATCGAATGCCGCAAACTATCACCCCAGCCAGAGGTGCAATGGAGGCACTCTCAAGACTTGAGCGTTCAAAGCCGACCTGCAAAGAATTAGCGAGAGCAGCTTGCTTACCACTAAAGCAGAGATCACGAAGCTTCTCCAGCATAATATTGGGTTCGCTGAGGATGTCTTGAAATTCGGCAATTCTAGAGAAAGACAAACAATAAAAAGTGTTGCACTCCAGGTCTGGAAACACCTATGACCACCAGACCATACAAAACTCCAGAAGTCAAACAATGTATTGTAAAACATATAAAAAGCAGGAATAAGAAAGGAAGATGTATAATCCAAAAAGGTTTAGCTACAGATGATAACCAGGCAATCATCCAAATGTCTCATAAAGCTCTGGAGAGGACAAAGTCAAGGAACAGCCAGAAATCACATCATAAATTCACAATCCTGAAGGAAGAACTAGTAAAACTTGAACAGAGGTACATAAAAAGGAATACAGAAAACTTCCAGGATATATTAAATCCAAAACCAAAGCTTGATTTGAACCAAGAATGAGAGAACTCAGGCTTAGATCCTCACTCTAATGCAGCGTTGCCTGAACTGACTTCTTGTCTAATAGACACCCATGAAATCATTCCGTTTCTCGTGAATTTCCTTCAAAACCTTCCTGTGTAATCTCTTAGAATGATGCAATCTATTTTTGGCTCTGATTTGTAAATGAAGACTTTTATTGATCTCCATAGGCACAGGTGGTTTCTCATGGGGACCCTTCACTCAATTCCTTATCTGCTGTTGCTAATTCTGACTCCTCGGACTTGCCTTGAGGTCTTGCACTTTCCGAGCCAGTTTTCTCACAGAGAGAATAATCATTTCCCAGACTTGAACTTCCCAGACTTGAGAGTCCATCCTCCATCATTCAACATCTATCAATCTGTCATCCATCCATCTACCTACAATCCATCTATTACCCATCTAGCAACCATCCATCATCCATCCAACTATAATCCATCTATCATAATCTATCTATCAGTTATCCATCATCCATCCATGTTATCATCTATCAGCTATTCATCATCCATCCATCTACCCATGTTTATCATCCAGTCATCAATCTATCATCCATCTATGTTTACCACTCAACTATCATCTATTAATCTATCACCCATCTATAATTACCTGTCTATCAACCATCAATCATCCATCCATCAGTCATCCATCTATCTGTTTATCAGTCATTTATCATCTATTAATCTTTAATCCATCTATCATCTGTCTATCGTCCATCCATCCTTCTGTTTATTTGCCACCTATTATCAATTAATCTTTCATCTATAGATAGAGCATTCATATATCATCCATCCATCAGCTATCCATCCACCCACCCATATTTCATCTGTTTATCAGCCATCCATCATCTTCAATCCATCATCCATCTATCAGCCATCCATCTGTCTATCCACCAATGCATCATCTATCTATCTATCTATCTATCTATCTATCTATCTATCTATCTATTATCCATCATCCATCTATCATCTATCAGCCATCCATCCATTTATCCGTCTATCCATCCATCATCTATTAATCTGTTGTCTATCATTCATCTATAATCCATCTATCAGCCATCCATCTATCCGTCTATCATCCATCCATCATCTATTTATCTATTATCCATCATCCATCTATAATTCGTTTATCAGCCATCCATCATCTTTAATCCATCCATCTGTTTATCAGCCATCCATCCATCTATCCGTCTATCATTCATCCATCATCTATCTATCTATCTATCTATCTATCTATCTATCTATTATCCATTATCCATCTATCTTCTGTCTATCAGCCATCCATTTATCTGTCTATCATCTATTTATTTATTTATTATCCATCATCTATCTATAATTCATCTGTTTATCAGCTATCCATCATCTTTAATCCATCTATCTATCATCCATCCATCATCTATCTATCTATCTATCTATCTATCTATCTATCTATCTATCTATTACCCATCATCCATCTATAATTCATCTATCATCCACCCATCAATTCATCATCCATCTATCACCCATCAATAATTCATCCTCCATCTATTTGTATCTATTTGTCTGACTATTGTCCATCCCATGCTCCGTTGCACATCCCTGCGAACCTGAAGGCAACTCTATAGATGCTGACAATTACAATCACACCCAAAGACATGGAGCTTCCTAGAAAGGACACCTCTTTAGGCATCTCCAGGTCCTCCAGTGCTGTTCCAGTGATGATGGAAGGCCCAGAGATTCCTAGAGGAACGTCCTCTTGGTCAAGAGAAGCCCAATCCGTTGATTCATGTCACGAGCGCCAAACCTCAGCCAATCGGGAAGGCTGGCTAGAGGCTATTTTGGTCCAAGACTCCAACCGTATTCTCACCTGGCAACAAATGGATTATGAATATAGAGCACAAGGGGGGAGTGGAGGGTTTAGGCCAGACGTGCCTTAGCAATGGAGGCTTAGCCTGTGAAGGTGCGCTGCAACGTCCTTCCTAACCCCATTGTAAACAGGCAGCGCTGATAAAAAAGTACAAAAGGCAAAGGAAACACAAAGAATCCCGAGAACAAACAAAACAGTTTCAAGCAGCGATAACGGCGGCACAATCTTAAGCACTTTCTGTGTGGAATAACATTACGTTTGGGTTTGCATCTCCATTACGAGCAAATAGAGAGAAATATGCATATGCATATATGGTGATGTATATGTCTATTGTCCAAGCCAACTGTACATCGGTGTCTGAGCATTATCCGTTGGCCCAAAATGCATTATTCAGCAGAGAATTGGAAACCGAAGAGCCGAGTCACTCTAACGGTCGATCGGAAGGCAGGCGTGATCAACAGGAAGAGGACAGGAAGGAGGAAGCAATTTGGGAAAGAAGGGGGAAGTAACAGGAAAGAATGGACAGGATGGAAAAAAGAAAGAAAGGGGAGTGGGGAGGGAAATATAAGGTGGGGAGGATGGCTTTAGAATTAATCTGGCCCCCATACCTCTGTATAGAGACAGTTTGGTGTGTATGTATATATAGTCCATATATATGTGTATATATATGGAGAGAGAGAGAGAGAGCAATAGTATGTATATGTTGTATGCTGCTTTCAGTCTCCTTTGGAAGAAAAAAGCAGGGTAGAAATAAAAATTATATATATACACAAACACATATATAGTGTGTGTGTGTAGATATATATATATATATATATATATATATATATATATATATATAGTGTTGTGTGTATAAGAGAGAGCTACATAGTGCATCCATGTCATTACATATGTGTTTATATAATGTGTGTTTGCGTGTATATATGGGTGTTTATAGTGAGCATATGTAGTGTCGGCATATGAATAGAGTGGGTATATATACATACATATATGTACGTATACATCCATATGTATTGTTGTGTTTGGGCTCGGCCTCATGTAAGCCGTACCGAGTCCCTTGGGGAGATGGTAGCGGGGTACAAATAAATTATTATTATTATTATTATTATTATTATTATTATTATTATTATTATATGTGTGTATATATATTGTGCCTATATGTGTGTATATGTGTATTATGTGTTTGTGTGTGTTTATATCTACTTTGTGTATATCTAGTGTGTGTGTGTATATATGATACAGAAATATATTGTGTGTACATACTCTCTCTCTCTGTGTGTATATATATCTATATGTATATGTGTGTATATATATATATATATATAACCCTCTGCTTGTGGAATAGAGCAAGAAAAAAAAGAAGTCAAATTCATTGTGTGTATAGTGGGCATATGTAGTGTCTACTCATGAATATGTATTTGTGTATATACTGTGTATATGTACATCCATATGTGTGTATACATACATATGTGTGTGTATATATATTGTGACTATATATTTACACAGATATGTGCTGTATATGTATATAATATATATACAGAAAGATACAGATATTATATATATATGAGAGAGAAATATCATAGAGACATAGAGATATTGTAGACATATAGCTATAGAGTGATATATATTTCTATCTGCATATATAGATATATATATAGAGTCATACACAATACTGTACATATAAAGTATAGATATATTGTAGATAAGGTGACATTACACATATATGTACTGTATATGGATATATATATATATATATACACATATATATATATAGAAATATATATATATATATTAGAGACATATAGATATTATAGATATATAGCTATAGAGTGATGTTATATATCTCTATCTGTAAATATATAGATAAATATACACACACACACATATATATACCACAGAGATATATTGTAGCTATAGTGACATTACATATATATGCACTGCATATGTATATGTGTATATATATATATATACACACACACACATATACACACACAGATATATATATATATATTATAGTGCCATATTATAGCGAAATATATTGTAGACATATAGCTATAGACTGATATTACATATCTCTATCTGTATATATGAATATAGATAGATAGATAGATAGATAGATAGATAGATAGATAGATAGATAGATAGATATAGAGAGAGACACAAACACATATATACTATAGAGATACATTATAGATATAGTGATATTACATATATATGCACAGAGAGGGAGATACAGATATAGAGAGATAATTGAGCAAATTTCCCTCTCAGTGTGAGGAAAGGGAAAGGAGAGAAGAAGCCATAGAGACGTTATTGTTGTTGTTGCTGACAACACAACAACAACACAACAAGGAGACCCCCCTCCCCTCCCCTCCCCTGCCCCCCTTCCTCCCTCCTACCTGGTCTTATGGAGGCTCGACATGGTGGGAAAAGGGGAAGGAGAAAGGGGAGAAAAAGGAGGAGAGGAGCAGGAGAGGAGTCCTTCTCCTTCTTCTCCTTCTTCAGGCCTGCCCTCCTCCTCCTCCTCCTCCTCCTCCTCCCTTGCTTGCTTGCTTTCCCTTGCCAGACTCCTCGCAGCTCCCCCTGGCGGACAGAAGCGGGAACAGGCGGAATAAAAATACACACACATACACATATATATGACTATCTATATTACTATATAGAATCACAGAATCCTAGAATCAAAGAGTTGGAAGAGACCTCCTGGGCCTTCATCCAGTCCAACCCCATTCTGCCAAGATGCAGAAATATTGCATTCAAATCACCCCTGACAGATGGCCATCCAGCCTCTGTTTCAAAGCTTCCAAAGAAGGAGCCTCCACCACACTCCCTCCAGGGCAGAGAGTTCCACTGCTGAACGGATCTCACAGTCAGGAAGTTCTTCCTCATGTTCTCTCTTGTAGTTTGAAGCCATTGTTCCCTTGCGTTCTAGTCTCCAAGGAAGCAGAAAACAAGCTTGCTCCCTCCTCCTCCCTGTGGCTTCCTCTCACATATTTATACATGGCTATCATATCTCCTCTCAGCCTTCTCTTCTTCAGGCTAAACATGCCCAGCTCCTTAAACCGCTCCTCATAGGGCTTGTTCTCCAGACCCTGGATCATTTTAGTCGCCCTCCTCTGGACAAATTCCATATCTCTAGATACACACACACACATCCTACACAGAATGAGATTTTAAATTTATGTATATATACACACACACACACACACAGAGTATGTGTGTGTGTGTGTGTGTATATAGTGTACATATTGTGTGTTTGTATATATACACGCTCCATGCAGTCATGCCGGCCACATGACCTTGGAGGTGTCTATGGACAATGGAGATGAGCACCAGTGCCCAGAGTCGGACATGAGTGGGCTTAACGTCAGGGGAAAACCTTTATCTAACCTATCTATATATCTATATCTATATCTATATCTATCTATCTATCTATCTATCTATCTATCTATCTATATATATATAGTGTGTAGAGTGTGTGTGTGTATATAGTGTGCACATATACTGCATATGAAAACCTTTACCTAACCTATATATATACAGTATATACATATATATATACATATATATACACACACATACAGTGTGTAGTGTGTGTGTATATAGTGTGCACATATACTGCATATGAAAACCTTTACCTAACCTATATATATATATATATAGAGTGTGTAGTGTGTGCGTATATAGTGTGCACATATACTGCATATATAGTGTGTGTACATATATATTGTATATGCATAGTGTGTGCATATAGTGTGCATGTTAATATATATAGTGTGTATATACAGTATGTTTATATAGTGTGCTTGTATATAGTACGTGTATATACTGTATAAGGTACTAGCTGTCCCCTGCCACATGTTGCTGTGGCCCAGTCTGTGTATATGTGTATATATGTGGTATTGCGCATTTGTTGTATTTTGTATTTTTTTGCCTTTTCCGCTGTGTTTTCCCGTGTTTTTATGAGTGATGGTCACTCCCTGGCCTGAGAGGTGTCTTGTGTCCAAACCTGGTGTCAATTTGTACAGTGGTTTTTGAGTTCTGCTCATCCCACAAGTGAACATTACATTTTTATTTATAAATAATATATAGTGTGTGTACATATACAGTTGTACATATATAGTTGTGTGTACATATAGTGTGTATATACTGTGTGTGTATATATGCAGTGTCAATGTATATATCTATATAAGGTGTGTATATATGGTATGTATATATGGTATGTGTATATAGTCTTTGTATATATAGACTGTATGCATATAGTGTGTATATATATCTAGTGTGTGTATTTATAGCGTGTGTGAACATATAGTGTGTATATGCTGTGTGTATATATAGTGTGAGTGTATATAGTGTGTGTATATATGTAGTGTCAAGGTATATATCTATATAAGGTGTGTATATATGGTATGTATGGTATGTGTATATAGTCTTTGTATATATAGACTGTGTGCATATATAGTGTGTATATATATCTAGTGTGTGTATATATAGCGTGTGTGTACATATAGTGTATATGCTGTGTGTATATATAGTGTGAGTGTATATAGTGTGTGTATATATGCAGTGTCAATGTATATATGGTATGTGTATATACTGTTTGTATATATAGACTGCGTGCATATATAGTGTGTATATATATGCAGTGTGTGCATATCTAGCATGTGTATATATAGTGTGTATACATGTAGTGTCAATGTATATAGCTATATCTATATAGGGTGTGTATATATAGTGTGATGTGTATATATAGTGTGTGTATATATATCTAGTGTGTGTATATAGTGTGCATATATATATGGAGAGAGAGTATCTATCCTTCTATCTCCCCTATCTATCTATCTATCTATCTATCTATCTCTCTATCTTCCTATCTATCTGTCTTTCTCTCTCTCTCTCTCTCTCTATATATATATATATATATATCTTCCTATCTATCTATCTTTCTATCTATGTTTCTATCTATCTTCTATCTATCTCTGTATCTTTCTATCTCTCTCTCTCTTTCTCTCTCTCTATCTTCCTATCTATACATCTTTCTATCTTCCTATCTTCCTATCTATCTATCTATCTATCTATCTATCTATCTATCTATCTTCCTATCTATCTTTTTATCTTCCTATCTATCTATCTTTCTATCTTCCTATCTATCTATCTATCTATCTATCTATCTATCTATCTATCTATCTCTCTATCTTCCTATCTATCTATCTCTCTATCTTCCTATCTATCTATCTCTCTCTCTATCTGCCTCTCTCTCTCTCTCTCTCTATCTTTCTATCTATCTCTCTCTATCTCTCTATCTTCCTATCTCTCTCTCTCTCTATCTCTCTCTCTATCTATCTCTCTCTATCTTCCTATCTCTCTCTCTCTCTATCTCTCTATCTTCCTATCTCTCTCTCTCTCTATCTCTCTATCTTCCTATCTCTCTCTCTCTATCTATCTATCTCTCTATCTTTCTATCTATCTCTCTATCTATCTTCCTATCTCTCTATCTTCCTATCTCTCTCTCTCTCTATCTATCTTCCTATATCTCTCTCTATCTTCCTATCTCTATATATTCCTATCTCTCTCTCTCTATCTCTCTATCTTTCTATCTATCTATCTCTCTATCTTCCCATCTATCTATCTTCCTATCTATCTCTCTCTCTCTATCTTCCTATCTCTCTCTCTATCTATCTATCTCTCTATCTATCTATCTCTCTTTCTATCTTCCTATCTCTCTATCTTCCTATCTCTCTCTCTCTCTATCTCTCTCTCTATCTATCTAACTATCTATCTTCCTATATCTCTATCTTCCTATCTCTCTATATTCCTATCTCTCTCTCTCTATCTCTCTATCTTTCTATCTATCTATCTCTATCTATCTCTCTATCTTCCTATCTCTCTCTATCTCTCTTCCGATCTCTCTATCTCCCTATCTCTCTATCTATCTATCCATCCATCTCCCATATCTCTCCCTTATCCTCCTCCCTTCCCTTCCTGTTCCGGAACCTTCTTCTCCGGGTCTCTGTTTCCTGGAAGGAAGGAAGGAGGGAGGGGAAAAAAGGCTGGCTCCTCCATCTGTTCCCAACCGGAAGTGACGCACGGATTTGTTGACAGCGGCCGTTTCTGCGGTGTGAGTGAGCCAGAGAGAGAGTCCCGAGGAGGGCCAGGGCAGGACCGGAACCGGAACCACTTCCAGGGCGGACAGCTTCGGCTTACCTGAGGGAGGCAAGCAGGCAGGTAGGTGAGCCTGGAGGCGGGGGGAGGGAGAGGGAGGGAGGGGGCTGAGAGAGTGTGACACCCCCCCCCCTTGGCCTCAGGGCGCAGAGAAACAGGGGGGTGCCTCATAGGGGTGGCTAAGAGAGGGGACCCCCTTGGCCTTGGGAGACAGGCCGGCCTCAGAGAGAGAGAGTGACCTCTGGCAGGCACCCAGGAACACCCGTGACCGAGAGAGTGGGACCCACCCCCTTGGCTTCATGAGGCACCTAGGCTCAGCCTCAGAGAGACATTGTTCTCAATATGATGCACAAAAGGACCTCAGGCAATATACATGTGCATGGGGACATAGGCATCACTTCATATATGAATTATTATAGCTAGCTATACAGTGTGTCCTATCTGTCTGTCTGTCTGTCTATCCATCCATCCACCCATCCATATCCTATACAGTCTATCTATCCTATCTGTCCTATGTAATCTATCTATCCTAACTATCCAATATATCCTTTCCTATCTATCTTTCTTTCTTTCTATCAATGTATCTATCTATCTATCCAATATATCCTTTTCTATCTATCTATCTATCTATCTATCTATCCATCCAATATATCCTTTTCTATCTATCTACCTTTCTATCTATCTATCTTCCTATCTATCTAACCTAGCTATCTAATATATCCTTTCCTATCTATCTATCTATCTATCTTTCTATCTATGTATCTATCTATCCATCCAATATATCCTTTCCTATCTATCTATCTATCTATCTATCTATCTATGTATCTATCTATCCATCCATCCATCCAATATATCCTTTCCTATCTATCTTTCTAGCTATCTATCCAATATATCCTTTCCTATCTATCTTTCTAGCTATCTATCCAATATATCCTTTCCTATCCATCCATCCATCCATCCATCCAATATATCCTTTTCTATCTATCTGTCTGTCTGTCTGTCTGTCTGTCTGTCTGTCTGTCTGTCTGTCTGTCTATCTATCTATCTATCTATCTATCTATCTATCTATCCTAGCTAACTACCCCAAATATCATTTTCTATCTATCTTTCTTTCAATGTATCTATCTATCCATCCAATATATCCTTATCTATCTATCTATCTATCTATCTATCTATCTATCCTAGCTAATTATCTAATATATCCTTTCCTATCCATCCTTCCATCCATCCATCCAATATATCCTTTTCTTTCTATCTATCTATCTATCTATCTATCTAATATATCCTTTCCTTTCTTCTCTCTCTCTCTATCCTAGCAAACTATCCAATATATCCTTTCCTATCTATCTATCCATCTATCCATCCATCCAATATATCCTTTTCTCTTTTTATCTTTCTAATATATCCTTTCCTATCTATCTACCTACCTACCTATCTATCTATCTATCTATCTATCTATCTATCTATCCTAGCTAACTATCCAAATATCCTTTTCTATCTATCTTTCTATCTATGTATCTATCTATCCATCCAAAATATCCTTTTCTATCTATCTACCTTTCTATCTACCTATCCTAGCTAACTATCTAATATATCCTTTCCTATCCATCCAATATATCCTTTTCTTTCTTTCTTTCTATCTATCCAATATATCCTTTCCTATCTCTCTCTCTCTATCTATCTATCCTAGCAAACTATCCAATATATTCTTTCCTATCTATCCATCCATCCGTCCAATATATCCTTTTCTATCTATCTATCTATCTATCTATCTATCTATCTATCTATAAATTAATCAAATATATCCTTTCCTATCTATCTTCCTATCTATCTATCTATCTATCTATCTATCTATCCTAGCAAACTATCCAATATATCCTTTCCCATCCATCCATCCATCCATCATATCCTTTTCTATCTATCTATCTATCTATCTATCTATCTATCTATCTATCCTAGCTAACTATCCAAAATATCATTTCCTATTTATCTATCTATCCACCCACCCATCCATCCAATATAGCCTTTCCTATCTAGCCATCCATCCATCCATCCAATATATCCTTTTCTATCTATCTATCTATCTATCTGACTGACTATCCACTATATCCTTTCCCATTTATCTTTCTATCTATCTATCCAATATATCCTTATCTATCTATCTATCTATCTATCTATCTATCTATCCTAGCTAACTATCCAATATATCATTTACCTATTTATCTATCTATCTATCCATCCATCCATCCAATATATCCTTTTCTTTTATATCTTTCTATCTATTTATCTATCCTACCTAACTATCCAATAGATCCTTTCTTATCCATCCAATATATCCTTTTCTATCTTTCTATCTATCTATTTATCTATCTATCCTACCTAACTATCTAATATATCATTTCTTATCTATTTTTCTATCTATCCCAGCTGTCTGTCTGTCTGTCTGTCTATCAATCAATCAATCAATCATAGGTAACTATGCAATACATCATTTCCTATCTATCTATCTATCTGTCTGTCTGTCTGTCTGTCTGTCTGTCTGTCTGTCTGTCTGTCTGTCTGTCCGTCCGTCCGTCCATCCATCCATCCATCCATCCATCCATCCCAGCTATTCAATATATACTTATCTATCTATCTATCTATCTATCTATCTATCTATCTATCTATCTATCTATCTATCTATCTATCTATCTATCCTATCTGGCCAGCTGCCCCATGTATCTTATCCTTTCCTATCCTATCCTATCTTTTCCTATCCTATCCTATTCATCCATCCTATGTCATACTTCCTAGTTATTTATTCTATCTTTCCCAGATATTTATCCTATTTTTCCTACCTACGTACCTAATTATTATAGCGATCCTTATTATTATGATATTGTTATTGTTATTATTATTATTTTAATATTATATTATTAATACTATTATTATTATTATTATTAAAACATTCCACGTCAAATTCCCAGCCTTCAGGTAAGTGACACACTCTCTCTTTCTCTCTCTCTCTCTCTCTCTCTCTCTCTTCCTGCAGCCTCCTGGATCCAGTTCAGACGTCTGCCTAGGAGGACCCCGGAACGGAAGGCCTTTAGGGGGGCTTGAGGGGGTCTTTATCGGGGCGTCCCCCCCTCCCAAGATGGCCTCCGACAGCCCTGAGTCCCTGATGACCCTTTGCACGGACTATTGCCTCCATAACCTCGAAGGCACCCTCTGCTACTTGCTGGACAACGAGACCCTCCGCCTCCACCCCGACATCTTCCTCCCCAGCGAGATTTGTGACCGACTCGTCAACGAGTACGTCCGTGCCAATTATTTTTCTATGCCCACCAAACCCTCCCAGTATTCTCTGTTGGTTATGGGAGTCCTGTATGCCAAGTTTGGTTCAATTCCATCGGTGGTGGAGTTCAAGTGAACTATAAATCCCAGCAACTACATCTCCCAAATGACAAAATCAATATCCAACCCCTTCAATTTGGGCGTATGAGGCATTTGTGCCAAATTTGGTCCAGTGCATGAAAATGCGTCCTGCATATCAGATATTTACATTACAATTCGTAACAGGAGCAAAATTCCAGTTACAAACATAATGTTATGGTTGGCGGTCAACACAACATGTGGAACTGTATTAAGAGGCCGTGGCATTAGGAAGGTTGAGAAACACTCATCTATTGTATTGTCGTGCTAATGCATTGATTATTCTTTTAACATACTGATCATCTTTCTCATGCCGTAATTTATGTATTTATTATTTATTTACGTCACTTCTGTCCTGCCCATATCAGCCCGAAGGCTGATATTTATTTAATTCTCCTTTTAACGCCTTGATTCTTGCTCTCGTGATCCCTTCTTTCTCTCAGCTATGTGGAGCTGGTCAACTCGGACAGCATCTTCGACCACAACGAGAACTTCTTTGCCCTCTTTTCGGACCCCCGCAGCACTCGACTGGCCCGGATCCACTTGCGGGAAGACCTGGTCCAGGATCAGGATTTGGAAGCCATCCGGAAGCAGGTACCCTGACCTTTGTTTGGGAATGAAATTCATACTCCCTATGGCAGACCTTTCCAAAATGTGTGTCGGGGTTCCAACCATATATATATATAAGGTAAAGGTTTCCCCTTGACGTGTCTACTCGTGTCTGACTCTGGGGGTTGGTGCTCATGTCCATTTTTAAGCCGAAGAGCCGGCATTGTCCATATTTATTTATTATTTATTTACATTATTTATATCCCACCCATATCAGCCCGTAGGCGACTCAGGGTGCTTTGACGCCTCCAAGGTCATGTGTCCACTGGCATGACTGCATGGAGCGCCGTGACCTTCCCGTCGGAGTGGTACCTATTGATCTACTTGCATTTGTGTGTTTTCGAACTGCTAGGTTGGCAGGAGCTGAGACTAACAGCGGAAGCTCACCCCGCTCCCTAGATTCAAACCTGCGACCTTTCGGTCAGCAAGTTTGGCAGCTCAGTGCTTTAACCCACTGTGCCACCGGCGGCTCCAGCCATATATATGTATATGGATATATGTGTTTGTGTATGTATGTATGTGTGTGTGTGTATATATATGTGTGTGTCTGTGTGTTTGTGTATATATATATATGTCAGTGGTTTTCAACATGTGGTGTTTTGGCCTACAACTCCCAGAAATCCCAGCCAGTTTACCAGCTGTTAGGGATTCTGGGAGTTGGAAAGAAATGGAAGGAGCGAGAAAGAGGGAGGGAAGGAAGGAAGGGAGAGAGGAAAGAGAGAAGGGAGGAAGGACAAAAGGGAAGGAGAAAGGGAGAGAGGGAAGGAAGGATGAAAGGGTGGAAGGGAAGGAAAAAGAGGGAAGTAAGAGAGGGAGGAAAGAGAGAAAGGAAGAAGGAAGAAAGGAAGGAGAAAGAGGGAGAGGGAAGGAAGGACAAAAGGGAGGGAAGGAAGGAAGGAAGGAAGGAAGGAAGGAAGGAAGGAAGGAAGGAGAAAGATGGAAGTAAGAGAGAGAGGGAGGAAAGACAGAAGAAGGGAAGGAAGGAAGGGTGGAAGGGAAGGGAAGGGGAAAGAGAGAAGTAGGAGAGGAAAGAGAGAACGAAGGAAGGACAAAAGGGAAGGAAGGAAGGAAAAGAGGAAAGTAAGAGGGGGAGGGAGGAAAGAGAGAAGGAGGGAGGGAAGGAAGGAAGGAAGGAAGGAGAAAGAGGGAGARTGGGAAGGAAGGATGAAAGGRGGGGAGGGAAGGAGAAAGAGGGAAGTAGGAGAGGGAGAGAGGAAAGAGAGAAGGAAGGAAGGACAAAAGGGAAGGAGAAAGAGGGAGAGAGGGAAGGAAGGATGAWAGGGTGGAAGGGAAAGAAAAAGAGGGAAGTAAGAGAGAGAGGAAAGAGAGAAAGAAGGAATGAAGGAAGGAAGGAAGGAGAAAGAGGGAGAGAGGGAARGAAGGACAAAAGGAAAGGAAGGAAGGAGAAAGAGGGAAGTAAGAGAGGGAGGGAGGAAACAGAGAATAAGGGAAGGAAGGAAAGGAGGAAGGGAGGGGAAGGAGAAAGAGAGAAGTAGGAGAGGGAGAGMGAAAAGAGAGAAGGAGGAAGGAAGGAGAAAGAGGGAGAGTGGGAAGGAAGGATGAAAGGAGGGAAGGGAAGGAGAAAGAGGGAAGTAGGAGAGGGGGAGAAGAAAGAGAGAAGGAAGGAAGGACAAAAGGGAAGGAAGGAAGGAGAAAGAGGGAGAGTGGGAAGGAAGGATGAAAGGGTGGAAGGGGAGGGAAGGAGAAAGAGGGAAGTAGGAGAGGGAGAGAGGAAAGAGAGAAGGAAGGAAGGACAAAAAGGTGGAAGGGAAGGAAGGAAGGAGGGAGGGAGAAAGAGGGAAGGAGGAAGGAAGGAAGGAAAGAACGGAAGGCTAGGATGGTGAGAGAGAGGAGGGCCTGAGAAAAGTGCCCAAGGGGGTTTGTCCATACCTGTTCTAAGGGGTTGTTTTGCTATTTAAAACTGAATTCCCGCACAAAGAGGCAGGCCTAGCAAGGGTGTTGCCTTCGTGACAAGCTTGGGAGGCCCTTCCTTACGGTCTCCCCGCTTCTTCTCTCGGGTAGGACCTGATGGAGCTCTTCCTGACCAACTGCGAGAAGCTGACGGCCAAGAGCCTACAGACGCTGGGCAGCTTTGGGCCCACCTTGGTCTCGCTCAGCCTCTTTGGCTGCACCAACATCTTCTACCAGGAGGAGAACCCCGGCGGGGGCGGCGGGGGCGGCTGTGAGGACGACTTCAACCCCACGCGGCAGGTGCTGGCCAAGGGCTTCACCTTCGAGGGCTTCCCCCGCCTGCGCTTCCTGAACCTGGGCCGCCTGACCGAGGGGGTGGACGTGGAGGCCCTGCTCCGGCCCCTGCCCGCCCTGGCCGCCCTCGACCTCTCGGCCATCCAGATGAACGACCTGCTCTTCCTGACCCGCTGGAAGGACAGCCTGGCCTCCCTCGTCCTCTACAACACCGACCTCTGCGAGGAGCACGTCCAGGCCATCGCACAGCTGCGCAAGCTCCGGTGGGTCTCCCAGTCCCCTCACCTCGCCATTGGGGCCTCCATTGGCCATTGTGTCTGCAGTTGAGAGTCCCCAAGTTACAAACATCTGACCTAATAATAATAATAAATAAATAAATAAATAAAAAATAAAAAAGGTTGGAGGTTTGAATCTGGAGAAAGTGTAGATGAGCTCCCTCTGTCAGCTCCAGCTCCTCATGTGGGGACATGAGAGAAGCCTCCCACAAAGATGGTAAAATATCAAAACATCCAGGCAACGTCCTTGCAAATGGCCAATTTCAGTTTCTTACGTCACTCCTGACACAAAAAATAAAAATTTGGAAGGTTGAGAGACACTGATTTATATTCTTTATACTATTGCTATGTATTAATAAAATAATTAATCAAATTAAATCAGACCCTTGTCCCCTTCAATACAAAAAAAGTGTATTGTATTATTGTCAGTGGGAATCCCCAGTGCTCTCTGGCTGTGGGCAGACTACAACGCCCATCGTCCTGTGGCACCTGTCTTCACGCTGCTTCTCTGCTCTTTTGCTAGGCACTTGGACATCTCCCGGGACTGCCACTCCAGCTACTACAAGTTCAAGCTCACCCGCCGGGTCTTGAGCCTCTTTGTGGACAACCTGAGCAGCCTCTCCTGGCTGGACATCTCCGGACACACCATGCTGGACAACTGCGCCTCCGCCTCCTCCGCCTCCGCCGACCTCGAGGAGAAAGCCGGGCAGGTCAGGTACGGAAGAAGGGCTCCCTAATGGGGATTGTACTGTTCCAATAGCGTGCAAGAAATGCCGTAAATAAGAAAAATAAATAAATATATTTCTATGCATAATCTATCTCCACCACAGGCACCCCAGTGTTCCTTTCTCTCTCCCTTGGTGTGGAATTTGCATGGCCCCGCCTGCTGCCTCTCTCTTAACCCTTTCAAACAGAAAACATGCCTTTCTTCCCGCAGCACCAACCCGGAAAAGAGCAGCATCACGCCTTTCCGGAACCTGAAGAGGCCGCTTCAGTTCCTGGGCTTGTTTGAGACCTCCCTCTGCCACCTGCCTCACATCCCGGCCTATAAGGTAAAGCAAGGGGCAAAAGAGACGGCAACAATACCCTTCTCTGTCCGTAGCAGTGTGGGAAGCGTAGTCCTTCCAAGCCATTACACCTACCTCTGATTCATTCTCTGCTGGGACTTCTTTAGCTTTGGTTGTAATGTGGGTTGTATGCTCTATAAGTATGTGTCAAGTGTGTATGCCAAGTGTTTTGATACAACCGATGGGCTAATCAATAAAATGAACTAACTATCTTCAAACGGAATTGAACACGGAACAGAATTAAACATGAAACCGTTTAATATAATGTAATATAATATATTGTATATACATATAATATTTATAATATTATAATGTAATGCAATATAATACTAATAGTGTTACTAATTAACTAAATAGTATATGACAAACAATTCCTTTTTCAGATAATCTGGGCACCTAAGTTAGTAATAATAATAAGATAATAATAATAATAATAATAATAATAATAATAATAATAATAATGATTTTCAGATAATCTGGGCACCGCCAGGTACCTAAGTTAGTAATAATAATAATAATAATAATAATAATAATAATAGCTAATAGTTTACCAGCTATTAGGATTTCTGAAGGCCAATAACATCAGTTTGAGAACCAGTGGGTTAAACCCTTGTGCCGGCAGGACTGAAGAGCGACAGGTTGGAGGCAACGTCCCCTGGGCAACATCCTTGCAGACGGCCAATTTCTGAAGCCCCCAAACCACTTAGAAAAGTAATAAAAACTTACCCGGCCTCCATTACAAACCTCGGAAGGCTCTCCCAGCGCGTAGAAATCTCATACCAGGAGAGCAGAGGGGGGACGGGACTGATTATAATGGAGGGCACGTAAGTTTTTACTACTTTTCTAAGGGATCTGCAGGCTTTGGGGGAGCGGGTGGGTATTTTGACAGTTTACCGGGCTTATTTAGCCCAGTAAATGGTGGGAATACTGGCTTGGCTGCAGTATTCGGCAGTCCAGAGCTAGAAAAGTTGATCCTGACACGAAAAAAAATTATATATTTATATTACATGTAATATTACTAATAATATTACAATATAATGGTATAGTACAATATAATAATATTTAATATGTGTATATATGTGTGTGTGTGTGTGTGTGTGTGTGTGTATCTTTTAAGTTGCTCGGAGTCCCCTTCGGAGTGAGAAAGGCGGCATATACATGTCGTAAATAAATAAATATTTTGAAACCTCCGGAGAAGGAGATTCCCAGTCTCAGAGGTCACCTGGTGGTCATTCGTTCGTTTGTCTGTTTGTTCGTTCATTTATTCCATCTGTTTTTGCCTGCAAAACCCTGGCAGGTGACAGGGAACGAGAACGAGGAGCAGGTCCTGAACGCCATTGAAGCCTACACCGAGCACCGTCCTGAGATCACCTCCCGCGCCATCAACCTGCTCTTCGACACCGCACGCACCGAGCGCTGCCACCAGCACCTGCGTGCCCTCAAGGTGAGCTCCTCACTCGCTTGGGCAGGGAACAATGGCTAATATAATAATCTACATATATCAAAATGTAATGTTAGTTTGTGGGGACCTCATAACTCCAAAACCACTGGATGAATTGACATGAAATTTGGACACAATACACCTATCAACCCAATGAGTGAGTACCACTCACAAAAACACAAAAAACACAGCATCAAGGACTTAAAAAAACCCAAAAAACCTAGAAGACGATACAGCGTATGCATGAAAACAACTCACCTGGCCCCGCCCCCCTCATTGTGAGGGGGAAAAAATCCAAGCGTCCATAGTGGAGGTGCTTTGGAAGCCAAGCACACACATGGCCACACACATAACTGACACAACAAATGCGGGATACTCACAAGGGGAGAGTGGGCGGGGCTAACTGCCAGAAATTGTTGCTTTAATGTTTATTGTTTTGCTTTATGAGTATTGTTGTTGTTATTATTATTATTATTATTATTATTATTATTATTATTATTATTTGAAATACAACAAGATGAGTCCACAGCAAACAAGGTCACTCTGCTGGCTGTTGTATTGGATCACACGTCGGACACTTCCCAAGTGTCTAGGACTGTGTGATGTATTATTATTATTATTATTATTATTATTATTATTATTATTATTATTATTATGTTTATTATTCTCTGCACAAAGAGAAACTCAACAAAACTTACATTAGAAGGCATTTAAATATGATTTAAAATCGACAAAGATACACACCACAATTAGACATCAATGGTATTAAAATGTGCAGTAAACATCCATACCAGCTATAACACACATTATTATTATTATTATTGTTGTTGTTGTTGTTATTTCCCCATAGGAAAATAGTGCTGGGATATTGCTTGACCTGCCTGGCCAAAGTAGGAGGTTGGGCTGGATGGCCTTTGGGGGCCCCTTCCCACTGTGTTCCAATTCTAACACCGTACCCCCCCCCCCCCCCGCCCTCTTTTTTGCAGCTGGTGATTGCAGCCCTGAAGTGCCACAAGTACGACAAGAACATCCAGGTGACGGGGAGCGCCGTCCTCTTTTACCTGACCAACTCAGAATACCGGGCCGAGCAGAGCATCAAGGTGCGCCGGCAGGTCATCCAGGTGGTGCTCAGCGGCATGGAGTCCTACCAGGAAGTCACCGTAAGTTGGCCATTCAAACCGCCCCCAGCAGATGGCCATCCAGCTCCTGCTGAATAATAATAATACCACTATATTGCTATTGATGCAACCTAGGATGGCGTTGGCCCTTTCCGCAGCAGCGTCACACTGCTGGCTCGTGTTCAGTCTGTTCTAAGACTCCCAGGTCCCTTTCCCAAGATTTATAATGGCTTCCCCAAATAATCACCCCTGGCAGATGGCCATCCAGCTCCTGCCAAATAATAATACCACTATATTGCTATTGATGCAACCTAGGATGGCGTTGGCCCTTTCCGCTGCAGCGTCACACTGTTGGCTTGTGTTCAGTCTGTTCTAAGACTCCCAGGTCCCTTTCCCAAGGTCTATTATGGCTTCCCCAGACAATCACCCCCGGCAGATGGCCATCCAGCTCCTGCTGAATAATAATAATACCACTATATTGCTATTGGTGCAATCTAAGATGGCGTTGGCCCTTTCCGCGGCAGCGTCACACTGTTGGCTCACGTTCAATCTGTTCTAAGACTCCCAGATCTCTTTCTCAAGGTCTATAATGGCTTCCCCAGACAATCACCCCCGGCAGATGGCCATCCAGCTCCTGCTGAATGATAATAATACCACTATATTGCTATTGATGCAACCTAGGATGGCGTTGGCCCTTTCTGCTGCAGCATCACACTGTTGGCTCGTGCTCAGACTGTTCTAAGACTCCTAGATCTCTTTCCCATGGACTATAATGATTTCCCCAGACGCTATATTGCTATTGATGGCGTTGGCCTTTTCTGCTGCAGCGTCACACTGTTGGCTCATGTTCAGACTTTTCTAGGATTCCTAGATCCCTTTCTCATGGACTATAATGGCTTCCCCAGACATTATATTGCTATTGATGGTGTTGGCCTTTTCTGCTGCAGTGTCACACTGTTGGCTCGTGTTCAGACTGTTCTAAGACTCCGAGATCCCTTTCCCATGGACTATAATGATTTCCCCGGACATTATATTGCTGTTGATGGTGTTGGCCCTTTTCCGCTGCAGCCTCCCCCCGTTGTCCCGTGTCCAGACGGAGGCCTGACCCCATTTCCGCCTCCCTTTTGCCCCCCCCCTTTCCAGGTGCAGCGCAACTGCTGCCTGACGCTGTGCAACTTCAGCATCCCGGAGGAGCTGGAGTTCCAGTATCGGCGGGTCAACGAGCTGCTGCTGAGCATCCTCAACATGACGCGGCAGGACGAGTCCATCCAGCGCATCGCCGTCCACCTCTGCAACGCCCTGGTCTGCCAGGTGGACAACGACCACAAGGAGGCCGTGGGCAAGATGGGCTTCGTCATGGTGAGGGACACTCCACCCCAGCCCCTTTTGTTAAAGCACCGCAAGCCATATCCACCCGAAGGATGGCCTTGACCTTGTTTTCCTTCTTTGTCCACAAACAGACGATGCTGAAGCTGATTCAGAAGAAACTGGTGGATAAGCTGGTGAGAACCGTTCCTTAACTGTGAAATGGAGTGAAATGGGGCTCCCCTTCCCTGCGTCTCTTGTCCCAAAATGTCCGAAAACCGGTCTGTTTTGGCCCTCTTTTCCAGTGCGACCAAGTGATGGAGTTCTCCTGGAGCGCCTTGTGGAACATCACGGACGAAACCCCAAACAACTGCGAGATGTTCCTCAACTACAGCGGCATGAAGCTCTTCTTGGAGTGCTTGAAGGTCAGCACAGAGTTTAGCCCTTGACATATATATTTATATATATATATACACACACACACAAGCTTTGGATGCATCAGTGGCTCATTTAGAGTCCTCTCCACTTATCATTGCTGCCATATTATTGTTGTTTTCCCCTTCTTTGCGCTCCATATTGCCTTTGGATGCATCAATGGTCCATTTGGCATCCTTTCTCTTTATCATTGCGGCCATATTGTTGTTATTTTTCTCTTCCTTCCCCTCCGTATTGCCATCGGGTACATCAGCGGTCCATTGGTCCTCTCTGATAGCATTGCTGCCATGTTATTGTTGCTCTCCCCCATCTTTCTCCTCCATGTTGCATTGGGATGCTGCCATATTTATTTATTTATGACATTTATATGCCACCCTTCAAACCCTGAAGGGGACTCAGAGTGGCTTACAAGATATATATACATATACATATATATACACACACACACACACTATATACTATATTATTAGCATAGTACAATATCAGGATTAAATATTACTATATTGTACTATTTTATTTTATTTATTTATTTCGTACATTTCTATCCCGCTCTTCTCCCCACAAGGGGGACTCATTATATTATACTATACCATTATATTGTAATATTATTAGTAATTATACCATACCATTATATTGTATTATTTATTTATTGTTCTTATACCCCACTACCATCTCCCGCAGGACTCGGTGCGGCTTACAAGAGGCCAAGCCCCACAACATCACAAAACAACCACAACAAAACAATGAATAACTTAAAAAGCAAAAAACAGTACAGTAATAACACGACACATTTTAAAAACATGAGGCAGGGCCAAATGTAGACATTTAAAGTTAAAAACTGGGGAGTTCAAGGGAGATAGGAGGAGTGTTTTGGGATAGGTAAATGTGCAGACCATTCTAAATCTCTCATAAGGTGCATTAGGGACATATTGCTTAGAATTCCTTATTCTGGAAAGGCACACTGGAACATCCACGTTTTCAAGCTCCTTCTAAAGACTGCCAGTGTTGGGGCCTGCCTGATGTCCTTAGGGAGGGAGTTCCAGAGTTGCGGGGCCACCACCGAGAAGGCCCTCTCTCTTGTCCCCACCAATCGCGCCTGTGAAGCAGGTGGGATCATGAGCAGGGCCTCTCCAGATGAACGAAGTGATCGTGTGGGTTCATATACAGAAATGCGGTCACGAAGGTAGATGGGTCCCAAACTGTTTAGGGCTTTGTAGGTAAGCACCTGCACCTTGAATTGGGACCGGAAAATAAACGGCAGCCAATGGAGCTCCTTAAACAGGAGGGTTGACCTCTCCCTGTAAGGAGCGCCAGTTAACAGCCTGGCCGCCGCCCGCTGTACCAACTGGAATTTCCGGGCCATTTTCAAGGGCAGCCCCATGTAAAGCGCATTACAGTAGTCCAATCTAGAGGTGACCAAGGCGTGGACCACCCTGGCCAGATCCGCCTTTATATATGGTATAAGTACCATTATATATAATGTACCATTATACTATACCATTATATTGTAATATTATTAGTAATAGTACATGTAATATAAATATATAATTATAATATCATGTTATTATTATTAGTATTATATTGCATTACGTTTTAATATTATAAATATTCTACGTATATACAATATATTGTATTATATTATATTATTAGAATAGCAGAGGAGGCAAAGAGACATATTATTGTTTTCCCTTCTGTCTCCTCCGTATTCCCTTTGGAGGCCCCTTTGGAGTCTTCTGTTTATCATTGCGGCCATATTGTTATTGTTTCCCCCCATTATTCCCCTCCAGATTGCATTGGGATGCCGCCATACGGTTGGCTTTCCTCTCTACCCTGAAGTGTGGTAGAGGCTTCTTCTATGGAGGCTATGGATGGCCATCTGTCGGGGGTGCTTTGAATGGGGTTGGACTGGATGGCCTTCAGGTCTCTTCCAACTCTAGGATTCTGTGATTCTTTCCCCTCCATATTGCCTTGGGAGGCCCCTCTGTTTGTCCTTGCCGCCCTCCTGTTGTTGTTTCCGGGCCTCTCCCCCATTCTTGGTCTCGCTTCTGCTCCGGGCGCTGCCACGCTGTGTCTTCCTCCTCCTCCTCCTCCTCGTAGGAGTTCCCCAACAAGCAGGAGCTGCACCGCAACATGCTGGGCCTGCTGGGCAACGTGGCCGAGGTGGAGGAGCTCCGCCCGCAGCTCATGACCTCCCAGTTCATCTCCGTCTTCAGGTGAGCGAGCGCCCCTCCACGCGTGCCCCGGCCAAGGGTTCCCAGGGGGGTCGGTCCAAGAGTGGCCTCCATCTCCTCCTTCTTCTCCTGCAGCAACCTCCTGGACAGCGAGGCCGACGGGATCGAGGTCTCCTACAACGCCTGCGGGGTCCTCTCCCACATCATGTTTGACGGGCCCACGGCCTGGGTCATCGCGGAGCCCCCCCGGGAGCAGGTGGTGGGGCGCATGTGGGACGCCATCCAGCGCTGGGACCTCAACTCACGCAGGAACATCAACTACCGGTGGGCAAGGAAGGGCAGGGCAGGGCGGAAGGGCCGTCCCATTGGGGTGGTGGCTGCCCAGGCCCCTCAAACCTTGACCACCTGCCCCCCCCCCTTTCTGCAGGTCCTTTGAGCCCATCCTGAGGCTCCTCCCACAAGGCATCTCCCCCGTCAGCCAGCACTGGGCCACCTGGGCACTCTACAACCTCGTCTCTGTCTACCGTAAGTCCCTCCCTCCCTCCCTTCTTTCTTTCTTTCCTTCCTTCTCTTTCCTTCCATCTTCTCCTCCCTCTTCTTCTTTCCTTTCTTCTTTTTTTCCTCCCTTCCTACCATCTTCCTTACTTCCTTCCATCTTCTCCTCTTTCCGCCCTCCCTCCCTCCCTCCCCTCTTACCTTCTGTCCTCTCCCCCTCCCTTCTTTCTTTCCTTCCTCCCTGCTTCCTTCTTTCCTCCCCTCTTCTTCTTCCCTTCCTCCCTTCCTTCCATCTTCCTCTCTTTCCTTTCTTCCTGCCATCTTCTCCTCTTTCCTTCCTTTCTTCCTCCCTCCCCTCATACCTTCTTTCCTCTCCTCCCTTCTTTCTTTCCATCCTTCCTCTTCTTCTTTCCTTCCTCCCTGCTTCCTTCCTTCCTCCGCTCCTCTTCTTTCCTTCCATCTTCCTCTCTTTCCCTTCTTCCTGCAATCTTCCCCTTTCCTTCCTCCCTCCCTTTCCTCTTACCCTCTTTCCTCTCCTCCCTCCTTTCTTTCCCTCCTTCCTCCTCTTCTTTCCTTCATCTCTGCTTTGTTTCCTCCCTGCTTCCCTCTTTTTTCCTCCCTGCCTCCCCTCCTTCTTTTGTTTTTCTTTCTTCCCTCCGTATTTCCTTCCTTTCCTCTTCCTTCCTTCTTTCCTTTCTTCATTCTTTCCTACCTCCCTTCCTTATCTCCTTCTTGCTTTTCTTTTTTTTCTTCCTCCATTCCTTCCTTCCATCCTTTCCTATTTCTTTCTTCCTCCTTCCCTTCCTTTTTTCTTTCCATCCTTCCTCTTTTTCTTTCCTTTCTTCTTTACTTCCTCTCTTCTTCCTTCCTTCTTTCTTCCCTCCCTTCCTTCTATCCTTCTTGCTCTTCTTTCTTCCTCCCTTTCCTTCCTTTCCTATTTCTTTCCTTCCTTCTTTCTTTCCTCCTCCTTCCTTCCCTTCATTCCTTCCTTCCTTCTTTTTTTTCTTTCTTCTTCCCAATAGATGGTCATCCAGCCTTATTATTATTATTATTATTATTGTTATTAATATTGAATTTTAGAGTTGTAAGGGACCCCCAAAGGCCACCCAGTCCAACCTCCTTCTGCCATAAAGGGAAGCACAATCAAAGCCCTCCCAACAGATGGCCACCCAGCCCCTGCTTTATCATTATTATTAATATAGAATAATAGAGTCCTAGAGCTGGAAGGGACCCCGAGGGCCATCCAGCCCAACCCTGTTCTACCACAAAGGACGGCACAATCCGATCCCTCCCGACAGATGGCCACCTGCTTCAAAAGCGCCAGAGCCTCTGAATCCCAGAGTTGGGGGGCCACTCCTGCCCATGGCTTTGCTCTCTTTCTGGCCACCTTCCTTTCTCCTTTTCCCTTCCTTTTGCAGCGGACAAGTACTGCCCTTTGCTGATCAAGGAAGGCGGGCTGCTCCTCTTGAGGGACATGATCAAGATGGCTTCCTCCCGGCCGGAGACCAAGGAAATGGGGCGGTGAGTGGGGCGGTGTGGTTTGTCTATCTGTCTGTCGTGATGATGTGGTCTGCAGCCCGTTACCTTCCCACCGGAGCGGTACCTATTGATCTACTCACATTGGCATGTTTTCAAACTGCTAGGTTGGCAGGAGCTGGGGCTAACAGCGGGAGCTCACAATACTCCCCAGATTCGAACATGTAACCTTTTGGTCAGCAAGTTCAGCTTAGCGGTTTAACCCGGTGTGCAACCTATTGCTCCTATTGCTGTATTACAATATTATTGTTTTTTATTATTAATAATATATTATTTAAATGGTAATAATAAATACTGTATAATTTTTAAATATTGATTTAAATAATATATATTTATTATATATTATTTAAATAGTAATAATAATAAATACTATATAATTATTTAAATGATATATAATATTTATTATATATTATTTAAATAGTAATAATAAATACTATATAATTATTTAAATATCTATTTAAATATCTATTTAAATAATATATAATATTATTATTTTATATATTATTTATATTGTATTAGTATTAATATTATATTGTACTACATAATCATATTATTATCAATACTCTATGTATATACAATATATTTTTAGCATAGTGGCGCAATGGATTAAACCCTTGCAGGACTGAAGACCAACAGGTAGGAGGTTCGAATCTGGGGAGAGCACGGATGAGCTCCCTCTGACAGCTCCAGTTCCCCATGCGGGGACATAAGAGAAGCCTCCCACAAGGACGGTAAAACATCAAAACATCTGGGCAACATCCTTGCAGACGGCCAATTCTCTCACACCAGAAGCGACTTCAAGTTTCCCACGTCATGCCTGACATGAGAAAATATATATTATATTATATTATATTATATTATATTATATTATATTATATTATATTATATTATATTATATTATATTATTATTATATTATTATATTATATTATTATATTATATTATATTATATTATATTATATTATATTATATTATATCATATCATATTATATTATAATGGCCCCCTGTGCAATATCCTTGCAGACAGCCAATTTTCTCACACCAGAAGTGACTTGCAGTTTCCTAAGTCACACCTGACATGAGATTTTCTCACACCATTATATTATATTATATTGGCACCCTGGGCAACGTCCTTGCAGACAGCCAATTTTCTCACACCAGAAGCGACTTGAAGTTTCCTAAGTCAAGCCTGACATGAGAAAATATATATTATATTATATTATATTATATTATATTATATTATATTATATTATATTATATTATATTATATTATATTATATTATATTATATTATAATGGCCCCCTGTGCAATGTCCTTGCAGACAGCCAATTTTCTCACACCAGAAGCGACTTGCAGTTTCTGAAGTCATTCCTCACACACACACACATTAGTATTATATTGTATTGCATTATAATATTATCAATATTATATGAATATACAATATATTATATTATTAGCATAGTATTACATATTACTATATTGTAGTACACCGCAATATTATTAGTAATAGTACGTGTTATATATAATATATAATTATTATATTACTATAGATTATTATATGGAACTATATTAATATACCACAATATATATAAAATACAGTCCCGGTATATTATACTACTAGTGTTACGTAATATATTTTACTATAGCATAAGCTATATATAATATATTATGTGAACATTTTATTGTATATTATTATTATTATTATTATTGACACAAAACCACAGTATATCACAGCAAATGAGATCTCTATGCTGGATTTCGTATCACAAAATCACAAGTCGAACACTTCCCAAGTGTAATTATTATTATTATTAGATTGTCATTTCCAACTTTTCTCCCCCCTTTTTTTTAGGAAAGTCAATATATAATATGTTACGTAATATATTATTTTATTGTATATTATTATTATTATTATTATTGACACAAAACCACAGTATATCACAGCAAATGAGATCTCTATGCTGGATTTCGTATCACAAAATCACAAGTCGAACACTTCCCAAGTGTTATTATTATTATTATTATTATTAGGTTGTCATTTCCAACTTTTCTCCCCCTTTTTTTAGGAAAGTCAATATATAATATATTATGTAATATATATAATATATATATTGTGTAAACATTTTATTGTAAAATATTATTATTATTATTATTGACACCAAAACACAGTATGTCACAGCAAACGAGATCTATATGCTGGATTTCGTATCAGAAAATCACAAGTCGAACACTTCCCAAGTGTTGTTATTATTATTATTATTATTATTATTATTATTATTAGGTTGTCATTTCCAACTTTTCTCCCCTTTTTTTAGGAAAGTCATCGAACACTGCAATAACTTTATGGACGAGAACATGGACACCTCCAGATAAGAGGCGAGGCAGAGGATGGGCCTCTCGCTTGTACATAGAATGGGACTTTCTCACCCGCTGGAGGAGGAGGAGGATTAGGAGGCGCCGCAGCCAGCCCGTCGCGTGTGTTTGGTGTGTGCGCCGCTCGGGAGGCCTTTGGGGCCACACAGTGCTCCGATTTGCACAAGGGCCCTTCCTTCCTTCCTTCCTTCCCCTTTCCTTCCTTCCTTCCCGCCGCACTTCGTCTGTGTAAAAAGAAAGAAAGAAAGAAAAGACGATCCAAAAAGATCTGGCGTGTCTGTCTGTTTTATGTCAACATTGCGGCACTTGGAAGAGGCTCGGATGTCGAGGAAGTCCTTCTTCTCCTCTTCCTCCCGTCCCGTTTGCTTCCTTTCTCATTTGCAGAGTTATTATTTGTGTAAATACAGCCTGTGAAATAAGATTTGCATTCATAAACCCACTAGGTTAGATTTGGGTTTGGTCTTCCGTGGGAATTATCATCATCATCATCATCATCATCATCATCATTATTATTATTATACTGACACAAAAACACAGTATGTCACAGCAAATGAGATCTCTATGCTGGATTTCGTACCACAAAATCACAAGTCGAACACTTCCCAAGCGTCTGGAACTGTGTGATGTATTATTATTATTATTATTATTATTATTATTATTATTATTATTATTATTCTGACACAAAAACACAGTATGTCACAGCAAATGAGATCTCTATGCTGGATTTCGTATCACAAAATCACCTCAAACACTTCCCAAGTGTCTAGGACTATGTATTATTATTATTATTTATAAGTATTTCATTCTATTTTATTCTATTTAATTACTATTATATTACTACTATCTGAACATGAGGAAGAACTTCCTGACTGTGAGAGCCGTTCAGCAGTGGAACTCTCTGCCCCGGAGTGTGGTGGAGGCTCCTTCTTTGGAAGCTTTTAAACAGAGGCTGGATGGCCATCTGTCAGGGGTGATTTGAATGCAATATTCCTGCTTCTTGGCAGGAGGTTGGACTGGATGGCCCATGAGGTCTCTTCCAACTCTAGGATTCTATGATTCTATGATACTATATTTTATTATTCTATTTATTATATTATTCTATTTAATTATATTTTATTTTATAATATTATTCTATTTTACTATATTCTATTATCATTATTATATTTTATATTTTTGTTATTACTTTATTAATTATTTTAATATAATATAATACTAATATATTATATATTGTTGTATTTTATTATTGCTCCTGCAACAAAAAAATTAAAATAATTAAATAGAATAATATAATTATTAAATATAATACTAATATGATAAAATAAGAAAATCAATATGTTTATTATTTTATTATATTATAATTATTATAAGATAACACTAATATATATTAAAATGAAATAGAATATCATAATTATTAAATATAATAATATAAAATAGAATAAGAAAATTAATATAAGTTTATTATTTTATTATATTATAATTATTATAATATAATACTAATATAATATTATATTAAAATGAAATAGAATATCATATTTATTAAATATAATAATATAAAATAGAATAAGAAAATATAATTTATTATTATATTATAATTGTTATATAACACTAATATATTATATATCATATTAAAATAATTAAATAGAATAATATCATAATTATTAAATATTATAATAATATAATAAAATAGAATAATGATAAAATATGATTAAGATCATAATTTTATTCTATTTTATATATATATAATATTCATTTTATTATTATTGTAAAAGATAAGCAAAGCATGTTACTTATATATTATACTATTATATATATATATAATTTTCTTATTATTTTTCTTTTATTTTATTTAATAATTGTTATTCTATTTTATTTAATTATTTTAATATAATATATACTAGTATTATATAAGTAGCTTGACATAAAAGCATTAGTATACAATTAAAATATTATGATATCATATTAAATATTATATTTAATATTTTAATATTAAATATTATTTTAATATTAAAATATAATTAAATATAATTATGTTTAATATAAATATTTTTAAAATTAAATATATTTATTTATATTTATTACATAATAAGAAGAAGGAGTCCCAGTCCAGAACCCTGAAGACAACAAACACATGGGGAGTGAGCCAGCATGGATCTGCAGGGAGAGATGCCTGTCCACAAGCCAGGGCTGGGCTGGGCCAATGGGAAGCGCCCCCTGCCAAGCCGCGCCCCCTTGTGGGCCCTCCCGCCCAATCAGCGCGGAGGGGGCGTGGTCTGCGCCACTTCCGCCTTGGCTCAGTTGTCCAGGAGGAAAGAAGTGGCCTCTTCTTCTTCTTCCTCTTCCTCTTCCTGGGTGCCACCCAAGGATGCGCTTGCGGGCCACCCAGGCCGGGCTCAGCGCCGGGATCGGGGCCACGCTCTTCCTCCACCCCACAGGTGAATGAGTGGGAGAGGGGAGCAGGAAGAGGAAGGAAAACAGGAAGGGGAAGCGGAAGGAAGAGGGAGAAGAGGAGGGAGGGGAAGGGGGAAAGGAGAGGAAGTAGAGAGGAAGGGAAGGAGGAAGGGAAAAAGAGGAGAGAAGAACAGAAAGAGGAAAATAGAAAGAGAAGGAAGGGGAGGGTGCTCTCCCCCTGAAGTGCATCCTGACCTGCCTCCCCCTTCCTTCTTCCCCTTCCTTTCTTTCTTTCCATCCATCCCTTCTTCCAATTCTTCTTCCTTCTCCTTTCCTTCCTCCCCTTCCTTCCTTCCTCCTCTCTTCCTTCTTTCCCCCTCCCTTCTCTTTCCGTTTCCTTCTCTACTTTTCTTCCTCCCCTCCTTCTCTCCATCCCCTCTTCCTTCTTTCCTCCTTCCCTTTTTCCATTCCTCCCTTCTTCTTCCTTCATTCCCTCCTTTCCTTCCTTTTCCTTTATTCCTTCCCCTCCCCCCTTCCTTCTTCCCATCCATCCTTCCTTTAACTTTTCCCCTTTCTTCTTTCTCTCCTTCTTCTTCCTCCTCTCCTTCTTTCCTTCCTCTTTCCTCCCCTTTCCTCACCCCCTCCTCCCTTCTCTCCCCTCTTCCTTCTTCCTCCTTCCCTTTTCCATTACTCCCTTCTTCTTCCTTCATTCCCTCCTTTCCTTACTTTCCTTTATTCCTTCCCCTCCCACCCTTCCTTCTTCCCATCCATCCTTCCTTTAACTTTTCCCTTTCCTTCTTTCCTCACCTCCCTCCTTTTATCCCTTCCCTTCCTTTCCTTCCTGCTTTCTTCCTCCTCTCCTTCTTTTTTCTTCTCCTTCTTCCCGCTTCCCTCACCTCCTCCTCCTTCCCTTTCCTCCCTTCTCTCCCTCCCTCCCCTCTTCCTTCATTCCCTCCTTCCATCCATCCTTCCTTCCCTCATTCCCTTTCTCTTTCCTTCCATCCTTCCTTTTACCTTTTCCTTTCTTGTCTCCTCTCCTCCTTCTTTTCCCCTTTTCTTCCTCCCCTCCTTTCTCCTTCTTTTCTTCTCCTTCCTTCCCTCTCTCCTACTTTCCTTTTTCTTTCCTTTTCTCTCCTTCCCTCCTCTTCCCTTCTTTCCTTCCTTCCTCCTCCCCTCCTTCTCTCCCTTCTTCCTTTCCCTTCTTTCTCTCCCTCCTTCCCTTCTTACTCCTTCCTTCCTTCCTTCCTTCTCACTCTCTCTCTGCCTTTTTCTCTCTTCTCTCTTTCCTTGATCCCTTTTTCTTCCCTTCCTTTCTCTTCCCTTCTTGCTCCTTCCTTCCTTCCTTCCTTCCTTCCTTCCTTCCTTCCTTCCTTCCTTCCTTCCTTCCTTCTTTCCTTCCTTCCTAGACTTGCGTCTCCAGGTGGAGGAAGGGGCCTGGCTGGCTCCGCTGTTCTTCCTGGGCTTGCTCCTCTCCTCGGTGGCCTTGTACTTCGTGGTCTCCCTCATGGACCCCGGCTTCGTCCACGAACAGAGGAAGGTACGAGGGAGAGGCACTCACCACACTCGGGAGCGAATGCAGGCTGGGGGCTTCTGGGAGCTGTAGTAGGCTGTTAGGAATGGTGGGAGTTGAAGTCCAAAACACCTGCAGGGAAGGCCCAACTTGGCCCAGGCCTCTTCAATCACCAAAACACAAGGAAAGTGTATTAAGAGTTAACCCTCCCTTTTGCAGGAATCGGGGAGCAAGGAACAGGAAATCATCGCCTTCCCGCAAGACGTTCCGGAGGTCCGGCTCCGTCGCTGCGGCTACTGCATGCTGAAGGTGGGCAACTTGCACCGGGAAAGGGGCCAAAGGCCTCACTGGGTGGAATTATTGCAAAAATACGCATCATCGTCGCCATTAAGGGGTGCTGTGGTTGGAATACCTTATTATTATTATTATTATTATGCTCTTTTCCCAGCAACCCATGCGGGCCAAGCACTGTCGCGAATGCCGGCACTGTGTCCGGCGCTATGACCACCATTGCCCGTGGATTGAGAACTGCGTCGGGGAACGCAACCACCGGCTCTTTGTCCTCTACCTGGCCGTCCAGTTGGCGGTCGTCTTGTGGGCCATGGAGACCGCCTGGTAAGCCCAATATATATAGGTGTGTAGGTATACAAAAATCATTGTGTGACATAGTGTAGTAATAATAATAAGAAGAAGTAGTAGTAGTGGTAGTGGTAGTAGTAGTTTGGGTTGCTTACCTGGATTTAATACCATATGTGCAATTCACAGTGTCCACGACAGAGAATAATAATAATAATAATAAGTAGTAGTAGTAGTAGTAGTAGTAGTATGGGTTGCTTACCTGGATTTAATACCATATGTGCAATTCACAGTGACCACGACGGAGAATAATTTTTTTTTTGTCGTTTAACAAACTTTCCCCATGTTTTGATGATAGAACCAATCAGGAAATGAGATTGATAAGCCAGGAACAAACATCATGTTACATAATGTAAATGATAATAATAATAATAATAATAATAGTTGGCATACCCGAGTTATGACGCGAGTGCCACATCTCTTTCCGAGCATAGATTCGAACTTTCTCTTGTCATGCTTCCTCTTCCAGGTCCGGCCTGGGTGCGCTGCCCTCCTTCTCCTCCTTCTCGTGGGTTTGGCTCCGCCACAACCTGTTGCTGCTGCTCTGCTTGCTGGTGCTGTCGGTGTGCGCGGTGGTGGCGGCCTTGCTCCTGGCCTCGCACGCCTACCTGGCCTCGTGCAACACCACCACCTGGGAGTTCATGTCCCGCCACCGCATCTCCTACTTGCGCCACTGCCCGGATGAGGAGAACCCCTTTGACCGGGGGGTCTTCCACAACCTCTGGGGGTTCTTCTGTGCTCGCAGGAGCGTCCGGTGGGAGAACCTCTACCCAAGTGCCGTCTGAGTCAGCCCAAGCGGCACATCGCCTTCCATCCCACTGGACCCTCCAGAGACTGAGGAACACGCCTCCGGGAATGTGCGCTGAACCGCTGAGAGTGCCTGCGTCCTCAAAAGAAGACTCTTTTATTTATTATTCATATTTTGTAAACAATTGCGGATACGTTCTCTCCGAGCTTCTGACATTGTGCCTTAAACGCATATTTATATATATATCTATATAGATATAATAAAAGTCAATGTTTGTATATATGTATGTGGATATGTATGTACGTGGCAGCTTTCCGATTGGCTCCCACTTCCACAGGCCTCTACGACCCGCACGAATGACGGACCTGGACCAAACTTGGCACACTTAACCCCCATGGCCCAGTTTACGTCCTGGTGCGACTTGGGGGAGGATGGGTAAGGATGATGGGATTTGCAGTACTTTCACTCACTACCTGAGACCACTGCGACCCACATCCCAATGACCGACCAAGACCAAACTTGGCACACTTAATCCCCATAGCCCACTTTACATCCTGGTGTGACTTGGGGGAGGATGGGCTAGGGATGATGGGGTTTGCAGTACTTTCACTCACTTCCTGAGACCTGTGACCCACACCCAATGACAGACCAAGATCAAACTTGGCACACAGAGCCACTATGGCCCACTTTATATCTTGGTGCGATTTGGAGGATGGACTAGGGATGATGGGACTTGCAGTATTTTCACTCATTTCCTGAGACCGCTGTAACCCACACCCCAATGACAGACCAAGACCAAACTTGGCACACAGAGCCGCCATGACGCACTCTACATCCTGGTGCGATTTGGAGGATGGACTAGGGATGATGGGATTTGCAGTACTTTCATTCACTTCCTGAGACCGATGTGACCCACACCAATGACTGATCAAGACCAAACTTGGCACACAGAGCCGCCATGACCCACTCTACATCCTGGTGTGGTTTGGAGGATGGACCATGGACGATGGAACTTGCATATGGGAGTTGTAGTTCACCCGCACCCACTGAACCCAGCTGACATTGGATCTAGACTAAACTTGGGGCACAGACCAAAAAAAAACCTTCCTCAAATAACCCGGGCACTGCTGAGTCACCAAGCTAACACACACACACACACACACACACACACACACACACACACACACATATATATCTTGATTAAATGTTTTGTTTGATGCACAAGGTTAAGATATGGGTATGTTCTCCCCAAGCTTCCAATGTAGTGCCTTAAAAGTGCATATGTATGTGTGTATGTATGTATATAATTTGATTAAATGCTTCATTTGATGCCTGAGGTTAAGCTATGGGTATTTTCTCCCCAAGCTTCTGACATAGTGCCTTCAAAACAAGAACAAAAATAAATATTTTTGTAATACTTGATTGAAATGTTTTAATTCGATGCCCAAGGTTAAGATATGTTGGATTTTATTTTCTCCCAGAGCTGGAGTTTTGTAAACTTGTCAAGTGGGTAAGTAAATACGTCTCAGGGCTTGCCAATAGTATTGAAATTGCCCAAAACTTCAAATCTTATATGAGAGGTATGCTACGTAACACTATGGTTCCTGGGTTCTTCCTTTTATAAAAATGAAGAATGGGAGGAAACTGCCGCTAAAATAGCGAGACATGGGAGGATTCGTTGTTTTTATTTACCAGGCGGGGTTCGGATCAGCTCAGCTAGCAAACAGGAAGACAACAGACACGCTTTGTCTCCCAAATCCTACAATTATAATGCATTATTCTTCTTGAGAGTACAATAAAGACTTGGGCCAGGACAAAGGCCTTTTTCACTCAAGACCAAGGCTGCAAACTGCCCACATCCTCTGTATACAATTATGACCAATATGGTGTATAGAATAACCCCCAGACTTATCTTTTCTGTATATGCAAGCAGTAAATATTGAGCATAAAACTGCAGAGTTATTATTATTATTATTTGATACACAAGATTGGTACACAGCAAACAAGATGACTATGCTGGCTTTTGGATTATTATTATTATTACTATTATTGTGTTGTCGAAGGCTTTCATGACCGGAATCACAGTTGCTGTGAGTTTTCCAGGCTGCCTGGCTGTGTTCCAGAAGCATTCAACAACATATAATTGTTTCCATGTCACAACATTATTATTATTATTATTATTATTATTATTATTATTATTATTATTATTTGGTTGCTGAGAGTTTTCTAGGCTGTCTGGCCATGTTCCAGAAGCATTCAACAACATATTATATCAACATTATTATTATTATTATTATTATTATTATTAGGTTGCTGAGTTTTCTAGGCTGTCTGGCCATGTTCCAGAAGCATTCAACAACAGATTATATCCACATCATGACATTATTATTATTATTATTATTATTATTGGGTTGCTATGAGTTTTCCAGGCTATCTGGCCATGTTCCAGAAGCATTTAATAACATATGGTTATATCCACATTGTAACATTATTATTATTATTATTATTATTATTATTGGGTTGTTGGTTTTTCCGGGTTATATGTCCATGTTCTAGAGGCATTCTCTCCTGACGTTTCACCTGCATCTATGGCAAGCATCTTCAGAGGTAGGGAGGTCTGTTGGAACTAGGAAAAAGAGTTTATCTGTGGAATGACCAGGGTGGGACAAAAAACTCTTGTCTGCTGGAGCTAGGTGTGAATGTTTCAACTGACCACCTTGATTAGCATTTGATTGCCTGACATTGCCTAGAGCAAACTTTTGTTGAGAGGTGATTAGATGTCCCTGATTGTTTCCTCTCTATTGTTGTGCTGTTGTAATTTTAGAGTTTTTTAATACTGGTAGCCAGATTTTGTTCATTTTAATGGTTTCCTCAGAAAGTGAAAGTTAAGGTCTCCTCAGTGAAGTAAGGAGTAGGGCGCTCTGCTTTATGTATTGTGTGTCCTCAGGGGGAAGAAATAAAGCTGTAGCTGCCGTTTTACTCAGCACTGTGGGTCTCTCCCTCCCAGCAACACTCTGTGGGTATCTCTGAGGGAGACTGTTCTGTGGGTCTCTCCAGGGAAGACACAGAAAGAGAAAGTGAAAGGTCTCCTCAGTGAAGTGAGGAGTAGGGCGCTCTGCTTTATGTGTGTCCTCAGGGGGAAGAAGTAAAGCTGTGGATGCCGTTTTGCTCAGCACAGTGGGTCTCTCTCCCCCAACAACACTCTGTGGGTATCTCTGAGGGAGACATAGAAAGTGAAAATAAACATCTCAGTGAAGTGAGGAGCAGAGCGTTCTGCTTTAGGTATTGTGTCCCCTCAGGGGGAAGAAGTAAAACTGTGGCTGCCGTTTTACTCAGCACAATGAGTCTCTCTCCCAGCACCAACTAGCAACACACTGAGGGTCTCTCTGAGGGAGAGAAAATGGAAAGTAAAGGCCTCCTCAGTGAAGTGAGGAGCAGGACACTCTGCTTTAGGTAGTGTGTGTCCTCAGGGGGAAGAAGTAAAGCTGTAGATGCTGTTTTACTCAGCACTGTGGGTCTCTTTCCTCAAACACCACCCAGCAGGTTTGTGGGTCTCTCCAGGAAAGACACAGAAAGAGAAAGTAAAGGTCTCCTCAGTGAAGTGAGGAGCAGGGCGCTCTACTTTAGGTATTGTATGTCCTCAGTAGGGAGAAGTAAAGCTGTGGATGCTGCTGTTCTCAGCACTGTAGGTCTCTCTCTCTCCCAGCAGCAGTCTTTGGGTCTCTCTGAGGGAGGCATCAAAAGTGAAGGTAAAGGTCTCCTCAGTGAAGTGAGGAGCAGAGCACTCTGCTTTAGGTATTGTGTGTCCTCAGGGGGAAGAAGTAAAGCTGTAGATGCTGTTTTACTCAGCACTGTGGGTCTCTTTCCTCTAACATCACCCAGCAAGTTTGTGGGTCTCTCCAGGAAAGACACAGAAAGAGAAAGTAAAGGTTTCCTCAATAAAGTGAGGAGCAGGGAGCTCTACTTTAGGTATTATATGTCCTCAGGAGGAAGAAGTAAAACTGTGGATGCTGCTGTACTTAGCACTATAGGTCTCTCGATCTCCCAGCAGCAGTCTTTGGGTCTCTCTGAGGGAGGCATCGAAAGTGAAGGTAAAGGTCTCCTCAGTGAAGTGAGGAGCAGAGCACTCTGCTTTAGGTATTGTGTGTCCTCAGGGGGAAGAAGTAAAGCTATAGATGCTGTTTTACTCAGCACTGTGGGTCTCTTTCCTCTAACATCACCCAGCAAGTTTGTGGGTCTCTCCAGGAAAGACACAGAAAGAGAAAGTAAAGGTTTCCTCAATAAAGTGAGGAGCAGGGAGCTCTACTTTAGGTATTATATGTCCTCAGGAGGAAGAAGTAAAACTGTGGATGCTGCTGTACTTAGCACTATAGGTCTCTCGATCTCCCAGCAGCAGTCTTTGGGTCTCTCTGAGGGAGGCATCGAAAGTGAAGGTAAAGGTCTCCTCAGTGAAGTGAGGAGCAGAGCACTCTGCTTTAGGTATTGTGTGTCCTCAGGGGGAAGAAGTAAAGCTGTAGATGCTGTTTTACTCAGCACTGTGGGTCTCTCTCCTCCAGCACAACCAGCAACACTGCGAGGGTCTCTCACCCCACACAAATACCACCAAAGTTGTTGCTCCCCAACACTGACGAGCAACCGTCTGTGGGTCTCTCTCACCCCACACAAACACCAGGGGATAGATAGGGGGAAAGCTTCAGCAAGCAGTCTGCTACTGAGCTCAGAGAGAGCAACCTATAAATACAGATTTTTGTATCAAACTTAAAAAAAAAAAAAGACATCCCCTGAAAATAAGCCATAGTGTGTCTTCTGGAGGAAAAATAAATATTAGAGTGTTTTATTTTCGGGGAAACATGGTAGGTTTTCCTGGTTGGGAAGACAATCCCTGTAATCCTCTGGTTGGGAAGAGAATCCCCAGAAGACAGAATCCAAAACGATCAGAACAGATTAGAGAGATGAATGGCCAAAACAACCACAAGGAAGTACAACAGGGACAAATGCAAGATACTCGCGATATTCCATAGGACGTGTGGAAAAGATCCTGGGAGTCCTCATGGACAGGAAGGTGAACATAAGCCAGGAATTTGGCCTGCATCAAGAGGAGTCTAGTGCCTAGATGCA